ATACAAAAACAATGGACTGGACAATAGACAATACCACCTAAGTTATCTAAACATTACACAAGCAGATAATATTTGAAAAAAGGTCTTATTGAAAAAGATTAGCCCATTTATTATGTAGTTTATCAAGTGACCCGTTTCTTGTAGCAATGGCTTTCTCTGTTTGAAAATACAAATATACCAAGTTTTTAAAGGCAGTTATCGACAAGAGAGGTAAATCCCGACACTTATTATTAAAGATAAACTTTTTCGCTACAACAATAATAAAAGAGATAAGACATTCCCTTTCCGGCAGTAATCCAAAACAAATATCTCTACAACTTAAAGTCACTGGAGCATGAGAGGTAGAATTAAGCCAAGTAACGATATCTTTCCAGAACAGCTGAATTTTTTCACAATCCCAAAAGAGATGTAGCAAACTCTCACGCTCTTCATTACAAAAGAAGCACGTGTCAGAGTCCTTCTTTTTAATTTTGTAAAGAAAAGAATTTGTCGGGATGAGAAAATGAATAAATTTATATTGAAAATACTGCAGCTTAGAATCTTTGGTAATCCTAAACGGAATTTGATGTACCTCATCCCACTGTGGAGAGAATCCAAGTAAAGTGGTCCACTTCTGCTGGCACTTAATAGGCTCTTGGGCTACAGCTTGGACAATAGAGTTATAAACATACTTGGAAGGCTTATTCTGATTACAAAACTCGTGAATCAACAATAAATTAGACTCAGTTTCATTTGTCAAGTCAAAGCCAACCAGCTGTTTCCAAGCCCTTGGAAGTGCTTTAAGCAGACCATAATACTTGATAAAAGAACACTTAAGATTACTGTACCTCAGCTGAAAATCATGAAAAGTAAGAATATTACCATCTTCTGAACAAAGATCTTTAAATTTTAGAACTCCTTCTTCCATCCAGGAGCGATAAAAAATACATTTATCATTTATTTTAACATTGCTATTGAACCAAATAATCTCCGACAAAAAATGGGTGGAAGGCTTTACTTTTTGCAATTCTAGCCAAGCCCTGACAACATCTTTAAGGAAGCTGTCTTTTAAGATATGGAATGGGAAATCTGAAGGAGAAATATTCAATTTCCAAATTATATCGTAAATACCAGCCTGTTTAAAAACACCATTGACATAAAGCTTCCACTTTGCCTCTTTCGAGCTGTCAAGAAGTCTTTTGATCCAAGTACACTTAAGACCCTTTTGGAAAGAGTCTAGATCAAGCATTTTCAAACCACCATGCTTGTACTCATTAATAACAACTTTCCGGCTGACTCGGTCAGGCTTCCCATTCCAAATAAATTTGTAAACCAGTTTGTTCACCTTAGCGATAAATTCCTGAGGAGGATTAGGTAGCACAGTCAACAGAAAAGTCAATTGTGACAAGGCTAAGCTCTTAACAATAGTGATCTTGCCAATTGGAGTCAGGTCTCTCCTGGACCACAAATTAAACAAAGTCTGAATTTTTTTCAACTGATCATCGAAATTCAGGTGAAATAAATCCTTTTCATCATGAGTAAAGAATATACCCAGAAATCGAACTGGCCCATTAGTCCAGGAGAGACCCCTACCAATCGGCTGAATATCCTTGCAAAATCTCATTGGACCAAGTTTCATAGCCTCAGATTTATTAAAATTAACTTTGAGGCCAGAAGCCAACTTAAAACTGTCAAGAATCTCAAAAGTACAAGAAATGGATTTTCTGCTCCCGTCCAAAAAAATAGTAGTATCATCAGCATAGGAACTGATTTTCAATTCTGTACCCTCAATTTGAATACCTGCAATATCATTAGAACGTCTAATACAAATCGCTAGTAATTCAACGGCAATAATAAATAAATATGGGCTCAATGGACATCCTTGGCGAACCCCTCTGGTAACATTAAATGAATGTGAAACATGACCGTTATTGATAATACAACTAGAAATATTACAATAAAGAGTAGAGATCCACTTGATAAAATCTTTCCCAAAATTAAAATACTTCAAACTTTTTTCTACGAAGGACCATTCTAATCTATCAAAAGCTTTTTCAAAATCCAAAAAAAGAACCATACCAGGAGTAGCATTTTCTGAGGTGAATTTAACAGTGTCAAGCACAAGACGAATATTCTCACCCATATATCGATTTTTCATAAAACCGGTTTGATCTTCATTAATAATTTTAGGGAGAACAGTCTTAAGTCTGTTTGCAAGTACTTTGGCACATATTTTATAATCGACATTAAGGAGAGAGATTGGACGCCAATTTTTTAAATCACTAGGATTTTTACCTGGTTTTGGAATTAAGTTTATTATCCCTCTCCTCTGATCAACAGACATTTGACCACAATTGAAAGAAAAGTTAAAAGATGCAATCATGAAATCCTTAATATCAGACCAAAAGACTTTATAAAATTCAGCTGGGATGCCATCACAACCAGGGGTCTTATTGTTACTCATTTCTTTAAGAGCAGCTAGACACTCTTTTTCTTCCAGAGAACCATCACACACAAACTGGTCATCTTCAGTCAACTTATTCTCAAAATTGCTAGGAAGGAATTCATCAAATTGGAATTGCTCTGTAGAATCAGAGTGATATAATGTAGAGTAGAAATTGAACTCCTGCCTCAAAATGTCCGACTGATCTGTAATGACATCCCCGTTCTCACACACAAGCTTAGAAATAGACTTATTTTTAAAATTACGTTTTTCTAAACTAAGAAAATATTTGCTATTCTTTTCTCCAAACTCAGTCCACCGAGCCCTAGATCTTACAATAGCCCCCCTAGCAATGCCTTCAAAAATCGTCTCTAGCGTGTTCTGCTTAGATTTGAGAGAATTCAACACCTCGACCGAAGAAGTCTCAAAGTAAGATTTCTCCAACTGCAAAATTTCAGATTCAAGAGAAGAAATTTCCAGCTTCTGGGCATTTTTCTTCCTGGAAGCATACTTGAGCGTTTCACCCCTAATCTCACTTTTAATAACTTTTAATAAAGTTACGGAATTTTGAACACAACCATGGTTGTGTTCAAAATTCCGTAACTTTAAGTACATTTGAATGATACTTGTACTAAAAGAAAGCTATTAATTGTGCTTTTATATCCTAGATTTTGATAGTGCTACATACAGAACTTCATTAAAACATTGGTCCTGCCATTTGGGTTTCCCATTTTTGACTCACCCTGTGTAGAACAATGACTAAACATTAGATTAATTGTAGGGGATAATTAAAACGATGTGGGCCAATACAGCTCGAGCGTGATTCATAAGTTAATTGTACACTAATTTATTTAAACATTTTGATTAAGACAACACCCTTCAAAGTTCAACGATTCGATCCGACTCAGCTTTTTAGCTGATCACGCAAGCGTTATATAGTCTGAGTCGAGTATTAGAAATTGCAGAGCCACGGTCGAACGTCTGATACATCCTAACATGCAAATTGTATTCGACCCCGCGCGCCAGCCAATCGGAGTCGACTTTAAAAACTGTGACGTCATTTCGATCAGAAATGTGGACTAGGTTGTTGATTGGTCAATTTGGAGGCCATGTTTTTGTAATACAACGGGTTACCGAAGATCCGTTATAGAAGGCGCCCGCTGAATGGTCAGAATCTCGAGTCAACTCAAGACGTGGTCTTGTTTTGCATACTTAATCGCCGAATCTGCTCGCATATCACAGACCCTTGATGTGCAAGGGGATATTCCATAGGCTGCAAGCGTTTAGATTTAGATTTAGATTTAGATGAGATGAAATGAAATGAAATGAGATGAGATGAGATGAGATGAGATGAGATGAGATGAGATGAGATGAGATGAGATGAGATGAGATGAGACGAGACGAGACGAGACGAGACGAGACGAGACGAGACGAGACGAGACGAGACGAGACGAGACGAGACGAGACGAGACGAGACGAGACGAGACGAGACGAGGTCAGGTCAGGTCAGATCAGATCAGATCAGATCAGATCAGATCAGATCAGATCAGATCAGATCGAACTATTATGGGAAATTAAAATGGTCTTGACAAAGAACGGGTTACACACAAAAAAAAAACAATCAGTAGGCCCCCCATTTTTTTTATTAATGTTTTAATGTCTTGATTCTTATGCAAATTTGCTAATTTTTAAATTTTTATTGTAAATTAATCAATTTATCCATCCGTCTCAGGCGCTTGCGTTGTTGGATGTTGTATGAACTAAATAAATATAAAATAAATAAAATATAAAAAAAAACACAAATTCAATGGTTGGCGTTCAAAAGAACTTATAGAAGAATATCAATTAAAAAAAGATCCATTTTGGGGAGAACACAATAGTATACAATTTCCACTTGTGTTAATAATTGGAATTATTTGTTCTTGTTATTTTATTGTTGTGCCACAGCACCTTTGGTTAGTGTCCTGATGAAAGTTCTAGACTCCCGGAAACTCACCATGATAGGCGGAGTGATATGTGCTGCTTGTCTGTGCTGCGCCGCCTCCTCACAGTCCATGCTGCAGCTTGGATTCTTGTTCGCTGGCTCGGGTATGTAATGATTGTTAGTACAACATAAAAAATAATTATTTCAGCACGAATATGGCGTGCTAGCAAATGTTAAAGGTATACTATCTGAGCGTGTTTTTTTTTTTAAAGCAAAGTCATTTCTTCTCTCTTCTGAATTTTGAGTATCAGTGGCGTACCCAAGCGGGGGGGGGGGGGGGGGGGGGGGGGCTTGAACCACCCCCAACAGTTTTTTTTTTGGGGGGGGGGGATTTTGTTTTAGCCCCACGATCTGACCTTGGTTAGTGGCCTATTTTTGAGTAGTATACTAGGGGTGTAAGTGGAACCACCAACGTCAAAATAATTGCCCGCCCCCCGAAAAAAAACCCAGATTTTTTTTCTGCGGCCACAACCTTTGGACAACATTTTTTGAAAAAAAAAACCTTCTAAAAAATTTGAAAAAAAAAATTTGAGCCCCCAGGAGGCCACATCCTGGGTGCGCCACTGATGAGTATTATAGCGACAAAATGCCTGCCTTTCTATTTGTGCATCTGCAACCCTCGAGAAAAAACCCAAGTTTATCCTTATTCCTCAATATCCACTTATGATACTCTGTTTGGTTTTGATATCACGAAATTTACGTTTCAGTTTTTTGTTTTTGTTTTGTTGGTATATAGGTTTGGCGATGTCTTTGATTCAAGTGTCGATTGTCAAGCCTCTCGTGGACTATTTTCCCGACGACTTTGCCGCTGCTAACGGCGTAACATTTGCCGGAGGGACGGTCGGTATCATTGTAATCCCACCGGTAGTGGAACACCTCGTTTCGATATACGGGTGGAGGAGTGCTCTTTTGTTGATGGGGGCTTTTTCCTTCAACTACGTTCTATGTGGAGCGCTTCTCAGGCCCCTGAGGCGCCCTCTTGCGGCACATTACAAACAGATACGTGGTGACGATGACACAGGATGTGACACACATCCAACGGGGAGAACCGATGGGATAGATCCTGAACGTTCGGTGAACATTTGCGGCAAATGTTGGCACATCGTGAGCGGGGTTTCTAACGATGTATTCACAACGAGTAAATTTCTGATTTTTCAAGCAGTGATATTGTTGTGTGGTATGGTGTTCAGCAGCTGGCATTTGTTTGTGATCCCGCAAGGCGTGGAGCTAGGTTTTGGCGACGGCCCAGCAGCGTACCTGGCCATTTTTGCCGGCGTTGGCTCACTGGTAGGCCGGTTAAGCCACGGGACTCTGGTTGATCGCGGTCTAATCCGAGCACCGTCCCTGTTTGTCCTGTCATCGCTGGTCTTTGCAGCGTCTTGCCTTGTCAATCCTTGGGCGGAGTCATCCTACGCGGCTCTGGCTGTTATTAGTACGGTGGGAGGAGTTGCCATCGGTGTCTTCTTCCCCCTCACGTTCGTCATATTGAGGGAAATCGTAAGTGACCGATACATTTCAGCTATTGGTTGGCTGTACTTGTTCCTGAGCATTGGGCATATCATCGGTGGAACACTGTCGGGTGAGTGACTTGCGGATGCAACGTGCCCAAAATGGCATGCCGTACCTTGTACATTACGGGCTAGCGCTTATAACACCCGCGTATTGCCGTGCTCAGATCAACCTGCGATTTGCTTGCGCCACGACGAAACCGTCGGCATCAAGCAGAAAAGTTATGCTCAGGTCACACAACTGAGAAATCGTGTGATTTTTGAGGGAGAAGTTCGCTCGTACCCCCGCCCTGATGAATTCGCGCTCTGATTGTTTGGATTTTGCGTGACCTGTGAACTGCGCGTCGTCACGGTCATGACTCTGCAAGGTTTGAAACGGCCGTTAAGACTGATTCATTTTTTTTCGTTGAAAAGCGTAATAATGTAAGAAATTCAGTAAAACTTATGTTGTAAATTTACAATTCCCGTCACTTGCTCAGGCTCCGTTTCGAATCACGAACGGTCAGATTGCATTATGCGTCTCTCAAAATTTTGTCCACATGGTCCGCAATGAACAGAAATCACATCCAGTATGGAATGTGCGCATTTCTATGGGAAAGTTTTCGGATAGCATTTGCTAAGATTCTGTGAAGCACATCAGCGTATCCCAGCGTCCTGTTTTTGCAGGGCGGGGGGGGGGGGGGAGTACGAGCGCCAGAGGGAGAAGCGGCATCTCGACTCAAAATAATCGCAACCATAATGCTCACGTCACCCACGACGTATGGACGTGATCATAGTTACGTCTTAAAAATGTTGATGCGTGTGTGGATAACGATCTTCCACGGTCACGTCTGTTCATTCGACCATTTTTGCCGCACGCTGATTGGCTACACAATGAAATACGATGATCCGGGTGCGCGCACGACGTCGTAACTTCACCCAGGTTGACTGCGATCGATTCTCGCCTGTACTAGCTGTCGGGAACATGTTCCGTCGCGGCGCAGAAGTTGAATTTTTTTCTACTCTTGCGAACTTATCAGTCGCCGATATTTTTTGTGCGACCTGAGTGTAACTGCGACGACATTGAGACAATCGGCATCATCAGTCGGGTCTGATCCAGATGACGTTCGATCCCTGCAGTTGAAGGCCCCAACACTTGGTGACGGCCAGATGTCCTGGGTTGTTCCACCAAAAATCTTATGTAAAACAGACCGTGGCGAAAGCCACGATAACGGGTGATACTTAGACCATGGAGAAATGTCTTCATGCTCCGACTACACAGGGCTCAGCGAGTGATATACTTGGGGACTTGTATTGGGGATAACCTATGACTGTGTGCCTTAAGCGGACGGGGGATTTCCTAGTGGATTAACTGGTGGATTGGGTGGATCAACTTGCGGATTTGGTGGATTAACTAGTGGATTGGGTGGATTAACTAGTGGATTGGATAGATTCTGGTGGAGGAGTCGCCTCTAATTGGCAACAATGAGACATTAAAGCAGGCACAGTAGACTTCTTTGACTTCTTTTGTTCCACCTAATCTAAGCGAAAAGTGAGGTTTATTCTATCTCGCTCTGCCCTCCCTTTATAGGCAAACATGATCCCTATATTTTGCTTACAATAAATGCACATCATTGCATCAAGTACAGAGGATGCATTAACTAATCGAAATGCAGTATTGCTCAGTAGATGACTTAAGCCACGCCCACTAACAGTGCTGGCGCACTAAGAAATGTCACTACATGGTTCATGTTACATGATTCGCCACATTATTTCATTGTGTAGCCAATCAGCGTGCGGCAAAAATGGTCGAATGAACAGAGGTGGCCGGCCGGCCGTGGAAGATCGTTTGATTATCAACAACGCGACGTGAGCATGATTCCGATTATTTTGTGTCGAGATGCCGGCCAGGCGTGGACACAATTTAAAAAAATGGCCTTGAGAAGTCGAGCAAAGACGTTTTCTTTGAGTGAGGGAGCCTTTTGAAAAACACAGTTTGTGTGCTAGAATTACACGTTGCAAATTGGGACACATTAAGAGGGGGGGGGGGGGGTGGGGGTGGGAGCAGGGTAAACACATTTTCCGTTGGGCAGGGGATAGAAGAACCTAGAAGGGGGGGGGGGGGTTAGCATTGATAAATCCCCCGGACACATTTACCGTGTCGCTGCCCGCATCGAATTTGTTGAAAAGCAAGGGCAGTAGGTCCTCATCTTTAAATTACTTGTCGATGAAATCTACTCCCCCTTTCCCGGTCTAATGAATACCTTTAACGTAATATGTTTAACATGTGGTTATTACAGGTTGGATTCACGATGTGTCCGGTAGTTATGGAAGTGTCTTCGTGTCAATTGGCGCTTTTGCAATTCTCATGGCAGCCTGCGTACTCTTCATCGACGGTATGGACAATTGCTATGGACGAGACGATTCCATAAGGAATACTGCAGCTCGAGAGTCTGATAGCTCCCAATAGGCCATCCGTGCTGAAACGTGTAGCCTGGATTTCCTTACTGGTCACCCGGCCGTGGCAAAATTAAAAATGCCTTTTGGGGAAATGTACAAATGGGACACTTCACAACTTTGCTAAATAATCTTCAGCACTACTTCAACTCAGACGCTGGTATAACAACGTGTGCTTCATAAGATCATCTACATAGACATTAACAGCTTCCTTCAGTTTAAAAGCCAATCAAAGCAAGCCAGAATATATACTAGAAGTTCCAACCCAAACCAGTGTACCATTTCACAGTCACAATCTCAAGTTCACATGAACTCCTTCCCGAAGACAGCAAGTGGAGCAGTCTTCCCAAGCACATTCAATCCATCTCCAACCCTGGATCAGTTCAAAGCAGCACTCCAATCACATCTAAAACTAGACTGAGCAACCTTCCCCACAACCATCCTGTTCTGAGTGTTGCTCAAGTTGAGCTGATCACTGCAGAGTAACCACAAGAAGGAGAGTTCTTCAGAGGACAATCTTGGACACTATCGGACAATAGGTGGCGACAGACACCCCCCTTCCTGCAACGCCCGTGTGGGTCAGTATAAATAGAGATCAGTGGTGTGGATTCGGCAAGTCAACCTCGTTCTCATTGTGTCGAGCAGTGCGCTCACACAAATACCTGCTCATCAGAAACGACGTGGAAAACAAAGTAACCCTGGGGATGAGGTTGCGGGCAAGTAGACTAATTGAAAAGCTTTTAAGTTATAACACCGAAAAATTAGCAACTATAGAGTCGAACACATTTTTTTAAGTGCGCAAAAGCAGCCATTTTGATGATTTTAATGACGCTAAGCGTAAACAAGTAACAACCTTTGCCAGTGATCATTAGTTAGCCATCGTAAATATTTGATGCCCCATTACATGGTGCTGACCCTAAACGTGGCACACTTCAAGAAGCTCTAAACCTTCCCGTTTTCTATATACCTTGAGTTTACCTACCCGTTACAAAGTTAAGAGAGAAAATTGTACTCCGATTTTATTTGTGCACAGCAGGGCAAACCTTTTAAAATGCATCCAACAAAGCAATTCAAGTTTCTGAAAAACCTGTTGTTGGATATAATTGTTTTTATGTGAGTGGAAATAAAATAATGGTTTATCAGAGTTTGTTAACTTGAAATTTAAAAGAAACTTCGTTCACTAGGGACTTTCCGGGATTTGTTCAAGCGGCGCTGCGTTTTCAAGGGAACATTCCAGTAATTTTGCTAAGATATACCATCGGGGTCCGTTAAAGGGACATTTGCAATTACACGGAAACGTACGGGTTTAAAGGGAAAGTCCCTTCTAAAGGTGCAGATAGGACTGGTACCAAAAACCTTGTGAAATTATTTCGCCTGAAATAGTATTATTCGCATGAAAACCAATCATTGCAGGTGGTTCTTAGAGAGTGTGCCAGCAGGCACGGATTTTACGTACGTTGGCAACGGAATCCAGTGATAAGACTTTAAAACATCGTGCATACGTTTTCTCTGTTTTAAAAAAAAATGCATAGTACCCACTGAGCTGAAACTTCAACAAGTTTAATAGTTGTTAAGCACCATTCTTAAGATCTTGAGGAATTGTTTTGCTTCAATCGAAAACAAAAATGCACAAAAAAAAACATGTTCTGATGTACGCCACTCATTACTAGTATTGGTTGACACTTTGTAAAATGCAGTCCATGACTAAAGTTTTAGCAATATTAATCAGCTTTTGTTCTGTTTTTGTTTGCTTTGTTTAGTAATATTCACAGTACTTAATTAAATATACACGAATCAGGGCACGTAGACACTGTGGTGACTGCTCTATGTTCCGACACCCCTATGTCCCGACACTGCCCGCACATAAGATTGTGTTATTATAAGATGATGTTATTATAAGATTGTGTTACTCCCGGTTACGGGTTATGGTTATGGTTAGGAGAATGTGCAGTCGGAACATAGGGGTGTCGGAACATAGAGGTGTAGCCGGTCACTGTAGCCCAGGTTGGACGACGTCTTCACTGCATTACGTAGTGAGGTAAGGGAGTGCACCTAGGCTATTTTAGTGAGGAAAGGGAGTCCACTTGGGCTAGTGGTGCCTGTACGCGTAATTTTTTTTCCTAGGAGGGTTAGGGGCAATGTCATGAATAATTCAGTTTTTCCTTTGAATCATTGCAAGACTTAGAATCTCGTTCTATTTTCCCCTTAATTTAAAATTATCTCCGAGTGATAAATTTGGAGAAGAAAAATAGCTGATGAAAATGAGCAGCAACGACGTGGATTCGAACCAGGGATCTTTGTATCCATAAGCTCATCTCGCTATCCACTAGGCTACTGTGTGGTAGCTCGACGACAACCGTTCTTTAAAATGCTTTAATGTATTGTAACTAGTTGAGTAACTATAACAATGCTGTTGATGTCATTGTCCGTTCTCATGGATAAACATAATTTTCCCATCGAAACTACTGAATTATTCATGACCCCTAACCCTCCTAGGAATAAAAAATACGCTGCCTGTACAGTACATCACTTACGAGGCCCCCTTCGATGGAGACATCACTGTGCAAGCCATTGTACAAAGCAACCGCACCGTGACGGATAATATAAACTAAAGCTGTCAGAATGTTTTCGCCATTGAAGGGGGCCTCCGTGTCCGGATTGGGTTATAAATGAAACTCTTAGCTGTATTATTCATAAGATGAAATTTTGCGTCGGGGTGATGTGAATCAAATTAGTTGGAAAAAAGTTGGAGTCCCACCCGAGTGTTTTTTTCCAACTTTCACTTGGGAGGACTGAGTATACGGTGTTTGTACGTCGGTGAAGGGCAAAACCTAATTTGACCTTAGCTCTATTGTCATTCAAGATGTCAATTTTTGGGGAAAATGGATTGAATATTTTAAAAACAGTTTATGGTGGATAAATTCCAATATTTGCATCTTGTTTTCAAGACAAATGTTGAATAAATTAAACTAAGAAGAAATAAAGTTTTTGAGAAAAATCCCTGTTTTTGAAGTCTTTTGAATTGTTTTCTCTCCAAGGACAAACGGAACAGTAAACAAATGAATTCAATTATATCTTGCAATTATAAAAAAAAAAATCATACTGTAAGTGATGATTAGAAAAACAAAACATGAAATTCACAGCGGGAAAACAAACACTTTTAACACCAATATTTTTTTTATTAAAAAAGACATGAGTACACATTTTTTTTTAAATTTCTTATAGTTTCAACCAATCCCCCATTTCTATACAAACATCATACTTGATAAAATGTGTCAATAGGCTCAACTTCAATATATTTACAAGGTTCAACATAAAATATACACAAATATATATAAAAAAGAATCCATATAAAGAAACGGGTCTTTCTATCAACAGTAGCTCAGAGAGACCTTTTGTATTTTTACAATTTTTGTTTTTTTTAGTATTTTGTGTACACCACATCTACCACCACAATACAATACATTAAATTTTGAAACGGTACAAACTAACAATTTTGTTCAATACGCTACACCAACGTTACACCTTCTTTACTTTGAAGCAATGATCAAATGCTGTTGGAAAAGCACCACTGCTTAAAATTATACACCGTATGAAAAGTTTGTAAGTGGGTTTTCTGTTGACCGGCATGGGACCTTACTCACGAAGTAGCCATTTCCGATCGCGTTCCCTAAATCCATTTTATAAAATGTAAACTGTTGAATGGGATGGTGCCAGACTATTTTATGAATGGAGTGCGCTCGAAGCCTCACTTTCAAGTTTGTGTTAAAAGTGGCTTAAACCATTAGGGCATGTTTATTAAATCACCAATTTTAAATTATGCACCGGAGCAGACTGGTATTAATTTGTAATGAACTTTTTATTTCATTGCTTTTGTTTACACTTTCAAGTCCCAAAAATGAAGATGTTACCTCGCGTTCAATTTAATATGGCTGACTCGTGAATAAAGTGGGCCACCCTATTGTCCAAGGACTGACTGACTGACTGACTCCCCGAGACACTGAACATCAATAATGCCCTAAACTGAGACTTTCAGACCCATCTCAACCAGGGGAGCTTTTAGTCACTTGATGAGCTGGCCAGAAACTGCTGACCATCAGCGGTGGTTTTCTTGTCAACATTGCTTGGCCGGGGGACCAGCAGCTTTAGAAATTCGAAAAGAGTGGTGCACAAGTAATATCACTAGTGATGCGGATCACTTTGCAAAGCAAACTGATTGTGCTGAGAATCTCTAAGAAACAAACCCCTGGTTTTCATTTGAAAAGTCATCGCTGAAAGATAAGATCACCTTGCTAGGGCAGTGACTCGTTCAGATTTTTCACAGCCACCAACAACCGTTAACATGTAGGTTTTGCTTTCTTGCATCCTGTTTACCTCAGAAACAAAACAAGGAGTTGGGAATAAATATGTAAAGACCAATTTTGATATCTGTGTACGACTCTTAACCAGCTGCAGACATTGCAACAGTGACATCCTATTTGTACTTACATGTACAGTCAGCATCTTAGAGACAATGACCAAATATGAAACTATTGTAGTGAGCATGCAACGGTCATACAAAACCAATAGTTTTCACTTACAGAAAATCGTGAAGATGGTAACAATTTTTGTCTTCTGTTTCCAGCATTGCTTTCAAGTTTCATTTCAGTAAAATGCCATTGCCTGCTGTCATCGCAACTTCAATCAGCACAAAGGTCTGAACCCATATTATTTGATTACGCCCCAACTACAGCATCGTCCCAATTTTAGTTGGGATGAACCCAACTATAGTTAGGTAAAGTTGGGAGTATCCCAACTTTAGTTAGGGCCACTGCTGTAGCTAGGATGTAACTACTTCACTGCATTTAGCTGTACCGAGAGGCACAAAGCTGCCGTATTGTGTATACACTTTTGATTAGATCAATCAAAAACACATACAGCACAGGGAGCTGCAAATCTTTCAAATCAAACATACGGAATGTAAGACACAAATTATAATAATTATTGGTGCGAATGAGCAGAAAAATCGACTGCCAAAAGTGTGAATACAAAAAAAAATTACCTAGTTATGTAAATTATCCCACATAATGCCCATTTCTCCACAAACACACCTCTTCTCAAACGTAACTTACAGTTAGAAATAATGAATACTGATTAAAAGTCTGAGTTCTGACGTAATTTCAACTAAACAATTAAAAAATAACAACTTGTCATACATGTACTACTTTCTGAGCTGACATTTCAAATACAGCAAGGGAGGATTTATGTGCAGGTGGGATGAACAAAATCACCAAACGTTTTGGGGAAAGTGTTAAAGTAGTAGATTTGAAGGCCGAGATATAAATTCATAACGAACGCTTTAACAACGATATAATGTAATCTCTTCCTTTTTTAACATACAAGAGACACGCCTTGGAAAAGAAAGGGATTACATTTATATCATTGTTATAAGCGTTACAATTGGTGGAGTATGATTGAAACAATTTTCTTCAACTGCCAAACAAACAAGAAATGACCTTAACAGCTACGAATAATATCTGCTTGCACATGACACAAATTACCTTGAAGAATAGAAAGTACTCTTTCATATTAATCTAGAACTAGAAGGGAAAAGGCCATTAACTTAAAAAAAAAAATTACAAGTCAACCTCTGGGATGGTAAAATTAAATTCTGATGCAATAAAGGAAAAAGAAATCCAATTTACAAAAAAAAAAAATCATTGCCAGAAATACTGAACGAGTTGCTTAAAAATTAATCAGGAATAATATTTGGCCCCTGGTTAAATAAGGAATACATTTTACGAAACACAATTAAATTATTTCATCAGGCTACTTGTAGCCTTTCTAAACAACTCATACTTCGTACTGGGGAAAAATCAGTTATTTTTTTACAAAGTTGACAGACAGGTTGGCCATGCATATGACTTGGGGGAAAATGAAAGCAATTGTGGCGATTCATGATTTCATCAGCTGTCTTTGAGACAAACATGATATGACAAGTGATATGATATGAACATGGTATGCGAAATGGAGAATTTTTTAACCTTTCTAAGTTGAAACGCTGCAGGTTGACTTACCACATATCCAATAATGATAAAAGTTATCAATGGCAAATTCAAGTAATGGTGATTCCGAATACAACAATATCTATCTTCTTCTTGGTGCTAGTTACCGGGTTACTGTTTTGGAAGGGGTCTTAATACCACATGTTGTGTTGACTTAAGTTTCATCAAAATGGTGTAAAAATAATGGAGATTTATGCAAACCTTAGGTAAGCACACCTACCCACTAACTTTTTCCTGTGTGCTTGTACCTGCAGCATTTCAGAATTCTAGTATATTTTTTTGACTGGGACTCTTCAACTGCAGATAATAAACAGCATTCTAGTGACTGAAATCCATTTCATGGACAAATTGCGCTTAGGTCTACACTGACCATTCCGAGTAATTGTTCAGCATACATGTACGATTTCCGCCGATTAGTACTACCTGATTTTAGTTACAGTTCAATTAAAGTGGAAAGATTGCGGGTAACGCTATGTGGAAAGTAATCTCTTCTTGGAGGAAGTGTGGTTCTGAAAAGAACCGGTTCTGAAAAGAGCCTTCCAAGAAGAGATTACTTTCCACATGGTGTTACCCGCAATCTTTCTACTTTATCTCATCCGCCGTGCAAAGCTTCAAGTCATATATACATATCAATTGTTTAATTTCTTGATTAGTACCTTTTCATTGATAAAATACCACATCTGTTTCCAGTCTGCCTTCTTCATTTACAATGATTGAAGTCAATTCCTTTTCCAACATATTACAAAGATCATCTTAACAAAATGGCCGTGCCACCCTTCCAAATGTACAATTAATTAATTCAATTACATATCTTAGCCATGATCACAAACCGCATACTTTAATTTACTTCATACATTACCCATTTCAAGTTTTATCGATAGGCCAAACTGCGATACAGTTTTGTTTTCTTTTAGCCCTAACCCCCTAGTACTTCCTCAGGACTACCCTGCTAAATCCAACAGACTCCAATCAGACTTTCCTATTCAACCATCTGTGCCTCATTTTCAGTTGTCTGCTGAATCCAACGGAGTCCAACAATGCGTTATAATGCGGTTCAGTTGCCTACTAAATCCAACATTTTGCATGAGGAATGTACACAAGGGGTTTACTGCTTAATCCAACAGGCTCCATTGGGTATGTGACATAGTTGGATCCTGTTGGATTCAGCAGGGTTAGGGTTAGCTAATGACCAATAAATGCACTAGACTCATATGGGTCCCAAATGGCAGACATTTAGACTTTTACTCACACTTTCTGTTAGCCTAAGGACCAAACCCATGAATTAGAAGCCAGGCAATAATGGGACTTCACCATTCTATTTCTACCAATCTCCACAATGATCAATGTATGGTGATATTTCTGAATTTATGTGTTGTACCAAGACAATTTGGTGACAACTTATCATTTGAGCTGAAGGGTGTTTTTATTCCGAACAGGGTGGGTTTACATACATGAATCTTCAAATTTTGATATAATTTTTCACACACCCTTGGGGTTAATAGGGTTAACCCTCCTATGCAAACATACGTTCTGTGCCAAGTTGTCCTTTCAGTCAAAATCAATCAAGTGACTGTTTTCAACAGTTAAGAGCTCCCAGCCTACACAAAGCAGGATTGACTGGCTGTGACTGTTTATGTAACTTGATACAGCTCCAGACAGCTGGATACAGGGACACTCGTCAATATCTGATCACCTTATTATGGGTAGGAAAACAATTATAAACAAATCATCAACATATTTTGTACACCTGTTCACGTCATCCACTACAGGGTGCTTGAACAGTTACATACATACAGATAATTATACACTTTTTTTACTATAAAACAATCAACATAATTAGTACTTTGCTATTAAAATTTACAGACATCATCATGGCCAGCATGAAATAAAACAATAATACTTAACCTGTGACAGAATTTTAACATGTACAAAAAACAAAAAAGTTGAACACAGTCTGGTTTTGAATTTGTGGTGAAGTTGCGTTCAAATTGCCAAGGAACGCTAATTGGACCAAACATGTAAAAAATAAATACTTGCTTGAAAAATTAATGCAAAAAGGTGTCAATGAATGTTCATGAAACATGCTTGTAATGTGAGTTCTGGGAACTGTCAAATCCATCAATATGTAGGTATTACAAAAACACATCCCCCCCCCAAAAAAAAATGCGCATGATAAATATCAGTAGTTAATTCTTTCAATTACATGTATGAACAAAGTACATGTAAGTTTTTTTCCTCTAGTAACTCCAAAGATCAGTTTTATAAGTGACATACATAGACAGTATCAAAAGTATCCCTCTTTTGTTTGTAACTTTTTAGGAAGACTCCCATATGTTTTGTACACGACCCCAATCGCAGACGTTTGCTGGGAATGGTGGACGATATTGTTCTCTTTTGTTCTCTGGAGGTTTTCGTCCACGGTTTGAATAGATGAACACGCCCCCATGCGCACAATGATCGCAGTGCGATATGCATTTTTATAGACTCAACACGTGGCCATTCTAGACCAATGACATTACAGTATTCAAGCATACGATATAACAATTTGTTTTTGTGCACGCTAAATGCAGTTATTTTGGCATACGCATACTTGACTTTACATCAAACATGGGTGATTTGCTGCCAAGATACTAATGACAGTCAATTATCCACACAAACAGGTGCGCTGAGGTTCATCAGAGATTAGCAGTCCCAGGGTTAACTGAGTAATGGGAATCGTTGAAGGTCCATGGACATGTTACTGATCTGCAATTGCAATGAAGGTGCATGTCCCTTGTTCTAGTGCCATTACTGCTAAATGTGTCTGGCAGAAAACCCAAACCTACAGTGGATTGCACGCTTTGTGGCTAGAGTACATGAATAAGACAACAGGAATGTTATGAAGACTGAAACCAAGGGAACGCTTGATTAATAAAAAGAAATAGTAATAATAATTGTATCACTACAAAGGTGACAAAGTATGCATTTTTACACTAAAAGTGAGACATGAGAGTTAGCAATATGGAATAGCAGTGTCTCTTTCAAAACAACAGGATTTCTTGTCCTTGCTTGACCGTTGGTTAGGTTGCACATTGTTCATCATACAATTCTTAACCTTAACCCTCCTCAATCCTCCAAAATCCTCATGGTGGTTTTGGAGGGTTTTGGAGGGTTGAGGATGAATGGCGTTTGAGAAACATGACGATTTTGGAGGATTGAGGATGAATGGTGTTTTAGCACATGGGGAGTTTGGAGGATTGGTGATGAATGGTTTTTGAAGAAGAGGAAGATTTTGGAGGATTGAGGATGAATAAATTTTTTGAGGCAAGACTGTCTGACGATTTTGAAGGATTGAGGCGCTGGGTATCCTTCATTTGAAAGTGCAAACTTTTGATGGATTTTGGAGGATTGAGGATAGTTCCTACCAAAAAGGCCCTAGGGGTTAATCAACTCCTCCACACTATGTGCAAAAGTTTATGGCCGCCACATAAACCGCATGCCCACAAATAATGAGCATGTTTGTATCGTATGACAGGCATAACTTACGGTGGTACAGAGTTAAAGAATTCCGGTCACATTAATACCTAAAAAAATAAACTAGTTGATGAAAATACTTGTATGCTGCTTGGTTTCAAATACCATACATGTACATGTATATCTTAATGCATACACATAAGCTGGTGTTATGACATTTGAAACAGACTATTAAGTTGTGTCTTGCAGTCTTTACCAACAAATGTACCCATGGTTTTTTTTCTTTGCTGTGTTTGACTGTTTAACGAAGACAGTATGGTGCTAGTTTCACATTGTGATACACATGCACGTATGTAAGGGTACAGACAAACAAACAAAAATACATACAACCTCACAATCTGAAGTTACTTTTGTGTATGTATGCTGTGCAGTGTGCATCCATTACCTGAAGAAGCAATCAGGAATGTTGATGAAATTTAGCGTGCAAAAAAGAAGAAGAAAAGCCTTCAACCAATAACTGATTCCAATATCAGGAATGACAGAAGTAATTCCTACTATATCCTGTGCTAAGTGCCAACAAAAAGTGATTTAAAATAAAATAGAGAACACTTCCAACCACAATGATCGAAAAAGCTGTTAGAAATGTCAAATTCCAAAATCATTTAACGAAAATTCAATTACCCTAATCCAGCCTAAAGTACTGTCTGTTACACGTACCGTTACATATGGGGAACACTAAACAGACAGTTCAGCTGGTTGAGATTTTGGATACAGTACGAGTCAATGATAAGACAATAGTTGGAATGGCCCTTTGAAAATTGTATAAATGAATCACTGACTAGCAGAATTTGAAGCAACAAAATGTTTTTCAAGGGAAGGAGGCTGTGGAATGCTGATTTACAATTAGAGAAAACCCAAGCAGAATGTTGTCAAACCGGCAGTTAAGAGAGTATCTGCAGATCATTGTTATCATTTTCCCCATCAATAGTTATTAAACCAATACACCAATAGATAATGATGAATACAAATTCTGTAAATTAAGAAATATCTTTACCACATAAGTGAAACAATTACCTCTTTACACTGAATATCAAGAATACATTTGAATGAATTCCAGGAGTGTTTTTTTTTTAAAGCAAAACTCTTTCTTGATACATGTGCAAGACTGGAATTGGAGAACTGCTGCCGATAACATGTCAGCTGAGAGTTAAAGATCAATAAGAATTATATTTAAGAACCTGTGAATGAACGCATTCACCTGATTCTCACAGAACAGAGAATCTCAACACACAGACAGGAAGTACTAAAGATCTAGGAGGCTACACCCGTAAAAGAATCCAATAAACCACCGTGAAAGTACCTGGACCTTGCCACAATCATCATAAGAATTCCTCCTCCAGCTCACGGACCGAGGCCTTCCTTGGTTTAGTCTCATGCCCTTCTCTGACTAACGGCATCGTGCCGTCTGCCTTCTGACCCGCCATGTCCTCATCCAGTAGGGATGGGTGGTGCTCCAATACCCTGTGGTGGTGCGGAGTGTGCGAGGGTGTGTGGTGCGGCTGATGCTGCGGGGTGGTGTAATGCTGCGCAGCGTGGGACGGGGTTTGACTTCCGACGTGCGGGTGGTGAGGTGACTGGTGATGCTGGGGTGTGTGCGGAGGTAAGTAGTGGTGAGCTGGGCTCCTGGAGAGCTCGGATGCACCCTGGTGGTAGTAGTGGGCTGGACTGGGCGTGGCAGTGCTCCGTTGCATCTCGGCACCTCCTGCTGCTTGGTAGTGGTGGGCGGGACTAGGGGTAACGGAACTCAACGATACATCAGATGAGTGGGTACTGTGCTTCGGAGTAACGCTTGCTGCTGCCGGACTTGGGCCTATGGAACCAAAGGTTACATTGATTAGCAAATGCTTTTCATCTTGACGCTTTGTAAATGCCTTTCACTCAGTTACACTTTGAAAATAACTAGCCAATCATGGAACTTCCTTCAGTAATAAGCAGGGCTCAATTGCATGGCATTGCTAAGCACACAATTTGCTGCTAACTAAGCACACAATTTGCTGCTAACAGCACCTCCATCTATTTCATGGAGACTGTAAGCAGTAAGCACAGCAAAAGCACGCTCAAACCCAGAGGAAAAAGTTACTTAAATAAGTGACGTAACAATGGAAATCTCCATGCGCATGCACACAACCTTTAGCACATCCATGCCATGAAATAGTGCTTAAGATTAGCACAACTTTCTGCTATAGTAAGCATGACTTTCCTACTTACCGTTAAGCAGCGCTATGAAATTGGGCCCAGATTGGGCCAAGATTGTTCAGGGAATTGCCAGTAGTATGAAATTGGATCTATCAGTTAACATGTTTATCAGGTCACATGGTGTTTCTGCTGGCCTCCAATACCTGATCACTGGGAGAAATGCCATTGTCCTATGTTGGCTTTGTATGAAATCTGGGCCCATTTTATAGCTCAGCTCACCACATAATCCCTTCCTTTACAATCACCATTTATTACTAACATTACTAGCAAAATAATTTCTGCGCTAACCCTATAAGCACACAATCCTTAGTGACTGGATGTATGCATATATGGGTAAGCCAAAGTTCCTCGCTAACCCATGAGGCTAACCGTAATTTTCTGCTACAGAAGTGTTTTTTTTAATATCAAAGACAAGTAATCAGCCAAAACCTCATCTAATGTATAATGCATGGGACTCTTTCTCAGCTGATTCATTCTTAATGGACGTTCATCATACTCAGTGCGTCAACCATCACAAAAGCGACTTTGTAATGTCACATTCAGTTCTCAGACCCCGTCACAGGTCATCAACCAATTGCCGCCAGAAGATCAGTCGGCCTGAAGAAGTGTCCAGGATAGGACGTGAAACCGTCACAAGTTTACATAGTATTAAAGTCCAGTTGACTAGATTATAGTATTTCAGTGTAATGTCACATCAAGTTTTCTCACATACTCAAGAGCGAAAGTGAATGCGAATGCCAATCTGTGGTATCATGTCAAGTTTTGCAAATTGCAAATTTGTAAACGTTGAACACAGTTCAACTCTAGCAAAATTTGCAGCAAATGATTCAATACAAATTCGTTTTACATTCAGGGGAAGTATCACCAGTCTCATCTTTCTGCTTGAAGTAGTTTTTCTTTTTTAGCTTCCATTTTCTATCCCGTCTTTGTGTAGCCTCACATCGCGTCGCTCTTAAATAGGGCCTTGCAATGGGTGACTCTCATTGAAAAAAAAAAATTATCAATAAAATAAATAAAATAGACACAAAATTGCCCAAAGTATTTTTTTTGACTTAGCAGCTGCATAGAACTGGCCACTTACCAAGTGGTGAATCCTGGCTGCCAGGCTGCGGGGTCAGATGGGCCCTGGGGTATGGCCTTGGCCTTGGGGAGATATCCAGAGTGCGTGGCCGCTCGGCGTGTGTCTCTGAAGGTAGCACTAGAAAAGGAAAAAAAAACATTCCCATTGTACAGGTATGTTAGTAAGAGACCCACTTAGTGTATCAGCATAACACAATATGGCATAGCAGAAACGCTGGCTAGGCTTCACACAAATATGAATGTGAATTGAAACGCGAAACAAATGCTGTCATGAAATATTGCGGCGGAATTCACCGTAGTTGAAATGTGTTCTACTTTAGTGAATAAACATTAGGCCCTGTGTGCTAAGGCAGAGTCGGAGGGCAACTGTTTTGTATCACCTTTGTCCAGTTCGTTAGTGACTTCGCCATACACGTGCACGCACCACTGATTACAAGCCCCCATTGGTTTAACACTCAAGTTGCGTTAACTTCCGGTTCCATTCGTTCTATGCTACACTGTGTGAAGTATGCATGGTTAAGTTGATATGACGTCACACTAACGAACCAAATAGGTTAAATTATGCATTTATTATTAATTTAAAATACCAAAGAATAATCAGGTCTACTGGCAATGCGATTGCCTGTCAAAAAGTCACAATTACGTACGCTTTTATAAAAAAATATGAACTCGCGTAACACTACTGTAAGGAACACTTCTACACACTAAACATTTAGAAATAATGAACGTCCATTTAAGTGTCAATGCCTGTTCAGAATTACCTTTATACCAAAGAGTTTTTTCCCCATATGACAGGGAAAAACTATTTCGGTAATATATGATTTCATTTAACTGTCTTGAGACAAACATGGTATGACTAATGATATGCAAACATGGTACTGGTATGTGAAACAAAGAATTTTATTGTTTCCCAGTAGAAATGCTGCAAGTGGACTTAAAAAATTCCTTTTATTTTCAATAATAGAACAAAAAGAATTGATTTAGTTTTTTGTGTGATTTACCCAGGCTAATTCTCCTAGGTGGAGCTTGAGGTGGGTTAGGTAATCTGGACACATCCGACTCAGGGCTACTCCATGGATCGGTCCCGTCCCACTTGACAGTAGACGTGAAAGACGAATAAGATGGTGACGAACTATCCGAGGGAGTCCTTTTGTGCGACAAGTAACTCAGGTTGTTGTCCGCTGACGCCGTGCGCCTGTGCGTCTTGACGGCCGTTTGGACAGGCTCCGAGGGCGCCACGGCCTTACTCTCCCCATTGAAAGCTGGATTCTGCTTGATGGTCACATTGGTAGAGGAGTCTACAAACCCTTGCCAGGACCCTTGTCTGAGGTAGTGCTTGTTATCGTCGTTGGTGGACGTCACACTGATGAGTCGCACCGTGGATGCCCTGGACATGGTCGGGGAATCGTCCGGGTCATGCTGGAATGACAGACTGCCCTGGCGGCTGTAGCTCTCCGAGGCTGAGGAGTTCTTACGATGGTGGAAATCCAGCTCGTCCTGTCTGGACTGGTTCAGCGTGCGGATGTCGAATCCCATGGCTACCGACGCCAGCATGGCCGTCATGGTGTACAGGCTGGCTGTGGTGCGTTTCCTCTCTCGTTTGAGGGAGTTGCGGGGCGACGTCCGAGAGTCATCTGTGGATTCACCATCATCTGTGCTAGGGCCGACACTAGGCCAGTGGGCTTTGGGAAGGCCAATATCTGTTGGCCACTCTGCTTCTACAAAGACAAATACAATATGGCTTCCATTATTTGTATCAAAGATCGCCTCTAAACAGGTTATGGGTGCTAAATAAAAGAAATTAATAAAACTTTTATTAAAATGAAAGACACATTTAATCAAAGCATGAACAAATCTTGAAAGGTACCTTCTGGCTAATGATAAGACAATTAAATGTGTTTTGCTTTTTGTTCGATGCACGGCTTACAGAACATTCTTGTACAGTAGAGGTTTTTAGTGAGTAAAATTGCAGGAAATGTCAATCAAATGTTTCCAATGGTCTGCAAGTATCATGGACAAGTTGACATCAGCAAAAGGTCACAAAGTTTAAGGGCAGTCTCCACAAGTTCAAAACTACACTTGCAATCTAATTATCACACAGATTTACGTATACAAGCCTTAGCACCACAATTTGTTTACATGCAAAGTTGGCAGTTAAGCAGAGTGATGACAGAGAATAACACCATCACACTGCCACTGCCGGTGAAATAAAATCTTTCTTGGCGTCCATGTTAATTAAACAAGAAGCAACAAAATGAATGAAGTTCCTTATTTTCAACCTACCATTATCGTGGGGAGTACTACCCATGGTGTTGTACCAGTGTGGGTTGCCCGGTGCACTCGTGTTGGTAAATTTCTTGCCCGTGGCTTCTGACATGGAGTAGGCCTTAAACGGCCGATCCTTCAGCTTCTGCTGAACTGAGCTGGGGCCCCAAGTCTTACCCTTGATCCCCTTGGGCACTGGAGTGGGAAAAATAGCAGGATATTGCGTGAGGTCAACAAATAATATTGTTATATCGTGTGCTTGGATACTGTAATTTCATTGGTCTAGGATGGCCACGTGTCTGGACAATATAAGTGCATGTCACACACTGAGGGTGATATCGCATTGCGCGCGCGTGTGGAACCTACTGGCGCACTAGCTTCGCCAATGAGAACTGCAATGTCAAACGCTCAGTCTCATGTCCAGCAGGACATCAAAACCTTGATTTATCAAATGTTACATCACAGTGATTTAATTTATTTCTCACACAGTAAGTTACAACCATTTACCCTTTTGAGTTATTGGCACGATATAACAAAACAATTTTTGACTGCTGTGATGTGGGATATGCTGTTTTAACCCCCTTGGGGCGCATAGTATGCGCCTCTCGGGTGCTAAAAACGTCATACATGTATCCAGCATCACAGCAGTCAACAATTGTTAAATAATAATGTGGTGCTTATATAGCACTTTATAGCAAAGGTCTCAAAGTGCTTCACAATTATTACCCCTGTTCATCAGGCCATGAGACTGGTTTTTGCAGCAGCTCGAGATCAGTGAATTCTGGTCACTACCTTTACAGGTACCCATTTATATACGTCTTGGTGGAGAGAGGCAATTGTAGTAAAGTGTCTTGCCCAAGAACACAGGCACCATGATCCCCGTCAGGGTTCGAACCCACGTACCACGGCACGTGAGTCGAACACCATAACCATTGGACCACATTGCTCCACAAAAAGTGCTTTTGTATCTCACTTTATTACACCTTATGCACTTCTTTCATGGGTTGATGTACCAGTGCATTGGGGAAATAGAGGTAATTGTACATGTAGCTATCCTGCATGCGCAACACGCGTGTGCTCTTTCCCAACCAGTTCCTGGGACCGGAGAAGTAGTCTCCCTAGAAGTTTGACAACAGATGTGATTGCAAGTGAGCTTGCTGGCGGCACCATACTACAATCTTCACATCAGACAAACAATTATATTTAGTACCTCTTAGTAGGATTTCCAACATAATTTTTTTTCTGCTGTTGATAATCAAACTTATGTGATTAATAAAACAAATACAACATGGTTTGTTTAATAGGGGAAGAAATTACTGGTTCCTCTGTGTTGGTTGCTTAAAGAGGTTGTGGAATGCTCAAAGACATTTCCGTCATTTTTTGGGTATATGTAACCTAAGGTGTGATGAAATAAAAACGACTATTGTTTCTGTCATAAAATGAGTACAAAGGGTACTTTTGAGAGCTATTTTTCAGGTCCTGTTTCGACCCGAATGTGCAATTTGTGTAAAAGTCGTCGTTGCGGGCAGCAAACAAAACACAGTAAATCGTGACGTAATAAACAGGACTCGTTTATGCTACTCTGCATCGGGAGTCCTGTTTATTACGTCACGATTTACTGTGTTTTGTTTGCTGCCCGCAACAACGACTTTTACACAAATTGCACGTTCGGGTCGAAACAGGCATGACAGGACTTGTAAAACAGCTCTCAAAAGTACCTTTTGTACTCATTTTATGACAGAAACAATAGTCGTTTTTATTTCATCACACCTTAGGCTACATATACCCGAAAAATGACGGAAATGTCTTCGAGCATTCCACAACCTCTTTAACACCCTAGGCTTCAGCAACATCAAGGGAACACTCAAAGAGGCTCAATTTAACATATTAGACGCAGATCTGTAGTTCTTTCAGGAAACAAGTGACAAAATTGCTACTTTTCAACAGAACACTTATCGAACAGGTGGTGGAATTTATACTACCAAACTTGACTTACGTGCAATGACTCTCAACCTGGGCAGTGGGCTTTTAGGTGGGCTATCTTCTGGACTCAGTGGCGACCGAGGGTCCCGCCTGTCATACGATGGGTCTGTCCTCACTGTCAATTTGTGCTGGAAATCTAATCATCACACAAAAATGAAATTCTTAATTCCCGAGCTGCACCAAAAAATATAGACAAAATGCATCTCACGACTCCAGGGGCAGATTGCAATAACTGGTCTTAAAGCTGTCTATGCGCCTTAGACAGTCTTAAAGCTAGTTAGCCTGGGTTGGGGTGGCTTAAAATGGTCTATAGTTGGGATTCATCGGTGTATTGAAATATTCTTTCCTAGAATGTATTTTTGCACTTGATGAGTGTTAATTTTGCACTTGATGAGTGATAATTTAAATAGAAGAATACTGCTTGGGCAAAGGATTTTCCAGAATAAAAGGAATCTTCCAGAGAAACATAATGACACTGAGTTGAGTTGCAAAAACAAATTTCTTGACATAAGATCTTGAAATTGACAGATTTCATTTTGCATGATTTGAATCAGACAAACCGAAAAATCGTGCAGCCTCTGCGGTATTACGGCGCATGATGAGCGCCACATCTTAACAGCCCGTAACCATGGAATGTTTGTTTGGGAATCATTACTCTAAGCAGGCTTAGTAAAGACTGGCATATCGCAATGGGCTACGTTTGGTGTCTTAACCAAGACCGTCTAAAAGCAATAGCCAGCTAAAACCGGACTGATTAAGCCAGCCAACTAAGACCGCGGTATTGCAATCCGCCCCAACTCATGCCAAACTCAGTCGTCATTTCAGTGATTCAGAACAGTACTCATGTCACAGTGAACTATAACTTGGGTTGTGGACTTGACTCCTTGGAATTATCATTCCATAACTTAAAGTGGGCCAATATTACATTAAAAACTCACTTGATGTGCAATACCTTGCATACTACAAGTCTTCCTAAGAGTAATTTGAGGCACAATCCAAATAGGCTCCGCCCACTATGTAGTGGGCAACACTGCATACCTTCCAATGCCACACTACATGTTCCAACTGCGTACGTCATGCTTGCGTGCACTCATGTCGGACCTTAATTGTGATTGGTCAGAATACATACCACTGGGTGGGGCTTAATGGATTGGTCTATTGCATGCATAGCAGAGGTCAGAGGTATAAAAACACACAAATTTTGAAACCATTTTCAATGTGTGCACCCATGGCCAATTTCACATTGTTTTGCAACCCAACATTATTTATAACTCAAATTATCTAGATGTTATTATGTGTTGTTTAAAGCCAAACTCCCTTGGCCTTTTTGGTAGGATGAATCCTTAATCCTGCAAAATCCTTCAACTGCCTCCATGTAAAAAATTCATATCCTGCAAAATCATCTGTTAGTTCTTGAATATTGTCCTTGGAGGGGTCACTACTGCCTCAATCCTGCAAAATCCTCCAACAATCACTGTCAATATGTTGAGGCAGAGCCAGTGACATCCTGGAGCAGTGCGGAGGATTTCAAATATAATCTATGCCCAAATTTATGCACGGCTGAGCATAAACAACACAAAGTCCAGGCCAAGACCTTGACACAGTGCATCCTCCAAAATCAGCTACACATTTTTGCCATATAGCCTCAATCCTCCAAAATCTTCCATTTTGCTAAGAGGATTTGGGAAGGTTAAGGGTTAATGTGGTCTCATAGTCCTGACATCTGAAGATCTACAATGTGCATACATCATGTACATCATACAAGTCTGTTAATACAATGCACGTTTGTTAATGGATGTACATGTACATGTAAGGACGATTTAGTCAATAACTCAAATACACTGCGTGTCTCAAAATGATTTTCTGTTTTGTGTCGGAAAAATTATAATTACTAAATCACAGAAACATACCACTTTATGTAAAACTAAATTGTGACTCAAAATGGCAAAATACAATGTACACATACTGTTTTTGTTAGGCCCCGAGTACAAAATTAATTCAAACCTCTGTCAATGCTTTAAAATTACATGTACAGTTTCCAAACTGGAGAGGGGTCAAGTCGGACCTGCATGTAATTACATCATCGGGTCTAACGACAACTCAATAATTCTATAAATAAAGAGCAACTCTTGCTCCCGGCTAAAAACATCCATCTGGCTGGCAAAGCAAGCGTGATGGCTGTACCATGGACTTGAGTGACTGAGATGTTTTCACCAACGAGCAAGCAAGCGGGATGCAGATCTAATCGCCAGACAACTGTTTGCTTGGGAGGGGGATTAATTCTCCTCAATGGAGATTTACAATGTTTACAGTCACTGACTGTGCAGTGCCATTAAACAAATTTGAGACTGCCTGAATTTATCAAATCCGGATGTTGAGATTCTTAAAAAAAAAACCAAATCCCCCACTCCCTCCTCCAAAAAATCTATATCCACTTAAATCACAGACTACAACTGGTTCCATTCGGACGGCCACTGTACACAGAGCTGTCATGTGATTATCTCAATATGGTTCGGGTTTAATTGCCTGTACCATGGCCTCTGTTCCATGAAGTCCACATGAATTCATTACACTTATCAGTGATAAGCGTGGCCTATCATTTTTTTTTACGTCATAGCACCGTGCTGACCTAACCTCGACCCAGATTTCTCTAAGGCGTATGTGTGAACATGTACTATCATTTTGTTTCTCCCGACATGGTGCCCTGACTAGATCATGCTAATTATCTCCATGGGTTTTGTTCTTACAGTAAGTTTGCAAGGCATCTGTTCATGCCTCCAGGTTCGAGTCTGTAGCTGCTACATGTACGTGTGATGTTTACGGCATAAGTCAGGAGCAGCGATTTATGCAGTGGAGAAGTATATGCCTACATAAACATGGACGCTAATTCAACATAAATAACAGGGTATCAGGGTCTGCAATCCAGCATTATACAATGTATTATATTATGCATGCAGGAACATCTACAAAGACAACAGGTGGACATGAATAAGGAAGCTTTGCCTGATAATGGTTTGAGAAAAATGTGATGAGTTATATGTACTGCACTTAGATAATGTCCCAAAACATATCTTCGTGCCTCTGAATTTCAGTGGCAAATTAACCTGTCACTGAAAGCCATGGTGACGAGTGATATATCGAACAAACAAGTCTGCAAAACTGTGTTTGGTTGCAAACACTGTCCATTACATATAATTCATACAAGGAGTTAATAAAATAGAGATAAATCATCTTAATCCTTTGCTTTTAACCGTAACATCCTGACTCCTCCAATCTTCATAAGATTTTTCACACACCCTAGATACCGTAGTTATGGTTAAGCTACTGTGTACATTTAAATGTAAAGTAAAAAATAAGGGTTGAAGTCAGCAATATGCCTATGTGAACAAATTTACCTTATAACCTAGATGTTGAATCTAGCTGTAGAGCAGAACTTTTACAATGTTGGATATTGTTGTATTCACATGTGTCAGAATGAAAGTTATAAATACTTGGAGCATGGTAAAGGTTAATTCAAGAATGTTGACACTCCTTTCATGTTATCCTGAGCAGGGCAATAAACATTGTTGGTTTGCCGAAATATGGGTAACAAAAGTTGTGTACATGCAACACAGAATGGCTGAACAGTCATTCAATTCAATCAATAAAAAAATCTGAAAACTATAACAAAAAAAACAAAAAATTAGTAAGATAAATGACTTGCCACATTTCCATCAGGGATAAAAGAGGACACGTACATGTAACACTAAGCCAGAGCCAAAAAAGACAGAAAACATCAACTTTGCATTATTTTAATTTTTAAGTTGAACAAAAAAATTTACTCGGGGTTCGAACCTGTGACTCCCAGATTACCGTTCCAGTGCTCTACCAACTGAGCTTTCCAGCCCTATGTTGGCGGCTCCCCATTTTATCCATGTCTTTGTTCGAGGGGTGCTTGTCAGAAGCCATTTCATTAACTAATAATAAATTCATGGTGGATTTTTTTATTCTTGGCGTATTATACATGTAGTGTTAACTGTGATAAAATTTTTTTTAAAAAGTGAGATGTGATGCTTGATGCTAATTGTAGAATATATCATGAATTGTTTGAACAGGGAAAATTGCATTATGAGCATTTGTATTCAGTACTGTAAACTTCCCTCATTTCAACATATGTAAAATATAATGGACATAGGACACCTTTGAAACACACTCTCAGAGGTCACTTATTCTAGGCCACCGATCCACAGTGGGGATTCAGCTCAGTCAAAAGCTTTTGTTCAACCACCTTTGCACTTGGGTAACCATTAAAGATCACAACAGCTCCCACATCTAAATGTCAACACACACGCATGATAAAACGAACCACACTGCTCCCTTTTGTGTTTTTACCTGACTGATAGAACAGACAGGGTTTCAATTCGGGTTTTATAACTGAAATACCATAGGACAAAAGGCAAGTCAAGGTTACACTGATCATTGAGAGTGTGCAAAAAAACAGCTACACCTAAGTGTAAAATTTCTTCAAATTCATGTACAATGTTAAAGCTTATTTGGGGGTTTCCCCTGAAATTGATTTCCTGATATTGCGAAATCATAAAGTTCAAACCTGTTTATACCCTCATTTAAAGTAATTTTTTTTTGCTAGTTTTGCTGGCAAAAAAACTGAATGAAACACAAAGCCACAGTTGTGGATACATGCTGATGAGAATAAATGTGTACAGCTGCGTGAACTCAATCCATAAAATAACAGAAGCCACAAAGCTTACACTGCATCTCCTCATTGTGGGATTCACACAAGCATATTTGGATGGCTCGGGGATCTATAATAAGGAACGCCGAGGGGGGAGAGAATGACGGGAAATCCAAGCTGCTTGCATTGATCATCAATGTCTGGATTTCCTCCCTCAGTGCTCACCGTGGGCAAGAAGATACAGCCTGTTAAGGTTTGGCCACCCAGCAACATGTTCCCTTTTCTCAGTTTACAATACGTTGAATTCTTATATACATTTCCAGGAATGAATCTTAAAACCTACTCCTAATGTGACAGATAGTAAAGGTGTGAACTCCCCCCCCCCCCTCACAAAAATTACAAAGTCAAATTCTGCACTGGCATGACTGGGCGCTACAGTATGAATAAATCAAATGTTTCCTTTTGAATACAGGTGATCTCTCTTGAATATTTTACACCACAGCTTTCAGCTTTCAGCCAATTAAAGGGCAATAGCTATCCCTAACATTCCTGAATCCTCCAATTTCAATACGATTTGCACACTTATTGTTAATTCTCTTGCACACCTGGGAGTTTTGCAACTACCTTTCAGAGAAAGCAATAGGGCTCGCTCAATGACGGCCATCTCTGTAGGTGAACTGCAACTGCATATTTTACGCAATCATGCACGCATTGCGCAGTGTTGAAAATGTTCCAAACACACACGCTTGTTGCTTGAAATGTGTTTGAAATACGACGCAGCCGCTGCGCTTTATGCAAGTTGACGCTCAAAATGCCGATGCACGTGGATGATCCGTAGGAAATGACGTCATTTGAACGTCTTGAGACCTATACTAAGATCCAAGATGTGAGAAGCAAGGAGATCAAAAAGATTGAAATGGTAGTTGCAATACCTTTTACAACAGGCACACATACTGTACTTTATACATGTACAATGCAGTTGTACAGTGAACAGTGTACTTCTACGCAAAAGGTTGGCAACAGGCCTAAAGTGAGAAATCTCTAGTGTGGAGTACATGTAAACAATCGGGGAAAATCCAGGATTGCCATTAACCTACTAAATAGAGCTGGCTGTACGAAACTACACTGAGGGCATCTACTTTCACAAAAACATTGTGAAGTTTCCACGTTTCAGGATTTAATAGCCACGCCGCTCTTGTTTTTACCCTTGCACGATAATAAAGGCTTACCGGAGGGTCCGCTGATACGCTTGTTGCTCCTGCGCACTTTGCCCCGTCTGAATTTGTTCCTCCTCTTCTTGGGCACGGGCTTGTCGTCCTGCTGCTGTTGTAGAATCATGATGTTGAGCTCTCGGCCCAGTAGGTCGATCTCCCGTTCGGCCAGCTCTTGCTCCCGCTGGCGTAGTACCCTGGCGTGACACTGCTGCTCTATGTTCTGACGCATCAACTCCTCTTCTCTCGTCCTCAGCTCCTGTTGGCGGAGTAAACATTAGGAGGTCAAGTTTTGTAAACATCTGCCTTGCCGACTTAGCAATTTTAGCATTTACCTTATTCAATCTGTACTTTAAGATGCAATGCACTCATGTACTTTCATGAATATTATTAACAGAGAATTCTTTAATCACTTTTTCGGTCGACGTCTCATTCAAAAGTGAATAACTTTTTGTATTGCTAGACAAAAAGCAATTTAGAAAAGGAATCTATTTTTCGGGATGAAACTCGTAAATAGCATGGGGAACGCAACTTTAAAAATTCCCTTTTATGAAGTTCGCCTACATGTGTTATTTTTGTATGAATGAAGTATAGATGTAGAAGAAAAACTGACAATATGGTACCTTTTCTTTGAGTCTGATCTCGTCAAACATCTCCTGGATCTCCTGCTTCCAGTCCTGTTGCATAGAGCGGAATGACTCGTGCGGTGTGTCGATGAACGGTGAGTCTTGAATTTCCCTGAGGTGATTGAGGATCTCTGGAAAGCTGGGTCGTTGGTGGGGCTCTGGGTTCCAGCATTCTGGGGACCAAATCAAATGACCAGAAGATGATCAGTTACATGTACTTTTATAAACAGGGCTTGTAAAATAAAAACGTTGTGCTGACAGTATTTAAGTTAAACAGGAGTCATGGCAGAGCTACAGTGTACATGGAAACTGAACTGTAAATTTCTTCATGTTTGTTCTTGGACAAACAAGGTATCCAAATGTTTTTTTTTTTATCAAAATAAAAGGCGATTCCAGAAAAGACACATCGGTTCAGTTACAACATTTACAGTCACTTAAGTTAGGCTTGTTATTTCAAATTAATCAAAACCTGGCCATTAATCCTTGCAGTGCCAAGGGCTATTGAATATCATGAAATTTCAATTAAGTAACTTTGACAAAATTACAATGTAGCAATTTACACCCCCAACTGGTGGCACTCCACACACAGCACAGCTTGGATTAAAGGCAAACAGGATTATTTGCTTTTTATGCATTTTTGTTCAAAGACCAATGTTCAAAACCTAACCTGTTGAAGTCTCAGCTCAGTGGATAATACACTTTCAAAGAAAGCAGTCAAACACAAGGCACACAACCTATTTGATCACGCAACACAAATTCATCAATAACTCTTTATTTCAAAAGATCAGTCAATTTTCAGATCGTTGGAAATCAGCAACATTTCTCAGTTTCTTCAAAATGACAGCAAGCCAGATGGAATAATTTCCACTGGGTGTTTAGAACCAGGACGATCTTTAAACCAAATAAGCTCTTTGATTCTGAAATTTGATAATTTGCTAGGTTACTTTTACGACAAATGCAAAAGTAATGCATAGTAATACATAGTTCCTAATCATCAAAAATATGTTTCTATACAAGTACACAAGGCCTTACACACACACATATCGGTACTAGGGGAAGACCTTTGTTACCCTTCTTTTGTTATCCTTGGTTCCTATTGAAAGCTCAAAATCCATAGCGTTTCCCTTATGGGGTAGATTGATTCCCAAAGACTTCCTTATGGGGTCTATTGTTCTATTGTGTTATCTACCCCATAAGGAACCTTATAGATTGACACAGGTATGTTATAACTGTATCTGAGCCCAGACTTAGGTCAGTCTCTTGACTTACTGTTCATGAATAAAACATATTCAAAATCCCACTTAACTTTTGATTTGTGCATGTAAATATACATTGCTAATATATATATTCAATATTCATTCAATGTTTTTGTATCACTATCAGCGCAGTTGTTAATAATTCTCTTTTGGAGTTTATAGTTATTTTGCACTTGTCGATTTCAACTTATTCAAATCAAATTCGCACTTCTTAAATAACTCTATCAAGGCAGTCTTCTGATGACGAGCAGAGCACACTGTATGAAACATCGAGTTTAAACAACTGGTTCTTCTCAGAACCACACAACTCAAAAAGAGATAAAATTATCATGTAGTATCATTTTTTTTAACTTCAACATTTCAACAACTGTTTGTACTAACAAAATTTTTCACTTTTTCTTCAAGTGCTACAGGTATGACAGCTTTACAACAGTGAGCACAGCAAACGGTTCATTTGGCCAGAAGCCCTTGAATTCTTACGAACAAACCTAACTACAGGGAAAGAGTTACGCAGGTGCAGATGTTTTTGGCTTGTCAGGGGAAGAGAAGCATGAGACGAAGTGGGGTGTAAGTAATGTATGAAAGGGCACAGTGGCGCATCCCTCCCCCACTCACTGTAGTCACAGCTGAGGCTGCAACACGTCAGTGCCTTGTCTGAGGTCATTATCCGAAACATCACAGTGCTTTTAAGTTCAAGGTGATTTTTAATTGACTTCAAAAAAAGAAGAGTTGAGGATAATATTTTATGATGAATAGTGGTCATGTTAAGATTTGATGAATTTTTCTTTTTTAGATATTTATCAAAACTTAAATTTGGTATGATAAAACCACAATTTGCACATGTAGACCCATATCTGTACAAGTGTACATCCGTACATAAAAAAGTACACATTGTAAAAGTACAAAGTACACATTGTAAAATACATTCTATTTATGTCTTGTGTACATGTATGCACTGGTAATGTACATGTATTCTATAAATTGGGGGTCCACTATTTTCCTGTCACTGTTACAGTTTTTTAATTCTGCATCCACTCTTGAACCCTCACTTATCAGGGTATGTGAAAAAAAAATATCATATTAAATTTGAGGATTCAGGACAGTTAGTTGATGCTTTTTTCCTCTATGAGTGATTATGTAAAGCAAACTACATGTACATGTACCTACCCAACAAACGAGAATAATTTGAACTCATTTTTAATGATATTTGAGCGAGGAATTAAAGAATTCAGAGGCAACGGGGACAAGAAAAATGTCGCACTTTGGACCCTAAATTTAAAGCATGACCGGTGACCCACTTGTACATGTATAGGTCAGATGTACAAAATAGCTACATGTACATGTATCAGTAAGTCAAGGACATGTGTTCACAATTTTATATTTTGTAACATCATGTGTTTACGTTTAAGGTCACAGATGAGTGTACATGTACATGTATGTATGTACACCGTATGCATGAAAATAATATCACAAAGCTCACATTTTATGCATGTACCCATCACATACAGGTACCACCTTCAAATCAACAATTGCACTATTATGAGATTTGAAAGGCTGAAGCATTCACAAGCTTGTCTGGTGGGTGTTTATAGTATGCATAAATTCTGGACTTGATTCTCACTGAACCATACGACACATACACTGAGGACAATGACAGTCTGTTTTGAAGTGGATCGTTTTCCACAGGTTAATCAGCAATGCCAGTCGACTACATGTTTTTGTAGGGGTAAATTTTCCCAGCGCAGTTAAAACTGACACGAATCCCCAGTAACAGAGACACTCACACCTGAAGCATGGAGTGTCTGATGTCAGGCCTTTATGTATACGTACATTGTTTAAAGAGAACGAGTGATCTACAGGAATTATCTGCACATGCTGATGCAGAGACACAGGCCCTTCTGGGCCGAAGAATTATTTCAAGACGTCAGTCAGAATTTTCCGGCAGAATAATTGAGTGGCACTCTTAAGGCATGCGGGCAACAACGACCCCGCAACCTGATACACACAGGGGAATTCGGCATCAGAAGACAAGATTCAGAATTCCTCCAAGACAAACGGTGAAATCCCAGATGATGCAGGCTTAAATGTATCTTGAGTTTAGGTGTACCGTTACAGGCAGAGGCAGTGGCAAACACATTAATGCTAGGCTGACTGTCCGCAGCAATAACAAATTAATTTTGATGTTATAAAACTGATCCTGAATTCTCTGTACCTTCCCACAAATCGTTTTTACAGATAGTGGAAAAAGAGGGTGTTACGGTGATCACTATTTTCCATAATTTGCCTTTAAAGGGAATATACATCATTTGCTGTTGCTGTAATTTTCAGAAATGGATGGAATTGGGGGGTTGGAAATATATAGCAAATATAGTTACACTGACTTTGTTGAGGTTTTGGGCTCGAAAATGCTATAAAAAACCAAGAAAAACAATCATTTTCCTGTAGTCTGGTTCCCTGACTCCATATAAGAAGAAACAGAGCAGTTTACATACATTGGGGAATTGTAAGGTCAGGGAACCAGTCTAGCTGGCTCGTACCCGTTCATAGGTTTGTAATCGATTGCAAACAAGTGCGATGGTCAATTGGGGCCAGTATTTGAAAAAAAAAGCCAGTTTTTTCCAACGCTGGTCGGCCGACCAGAATTGGAAATTGATACAAAAATACCACTTTTCTTGAAAATGACAGTATACCAGGTGCCATGATTTTACAGGATGCTTTACACTGTCATTCACTAACAGTCGAGCAAGGTATTTCAAAATGATTTGGTAGTTTTATTTTTTGATGTTTGCAAATGTTGTATTCTCCCTTTAAGTATGTCCAAATTTTCTGAAATTTAAAAAAATTTGTATATGTTTCCCTGCACACCATGCTTTCAACAAAATGGTTTTTCACAATTAACTGACGTTAAGGTCCATCTCAATAATTAAGCCTTCCTCAAAAGAGTCAATTTTTCTCCTTTCACACTGTCTAACCCTAACCACATGTATACACTGTCAAATCTGAGATGAGTTCGATGGTAAGGGCAATCTTTGGCATGTTACACCTTACACTCCGCAGTTGTCAGTTAGGAAAAGGCTAGTGTACATGTATGTTCAGGAATCTATTAACTCAAAAGAAAAACTATAAAACTTTATAAAACTTAAAAGAAATCCATGTACACTTCAGAATTTCCTGTGGAATCGCCCAACACACCAACCAAGGGATTCATATTCTCTCACTCAGTTTATAATTTTGATCCTTTAATTAAAAATGCTATCCAATGTCAACCTAACAGATTGACAAAAAAGAGGACATTACCTTCTAGTATTCTGACAAAGGGCTCTGGACATGTGGTGGGTATGGGAAGCGTGAGTTTCTGGACAGCGACGCCGTAGGCAACAGCCAGGCCATCGATGCCTTTGTAGGGTATCTCTCCTGTGAGTAGCTCCCAGAGTAGTACGCCATAGCTGCAAGATCCAGGAGATAAATCACATTAGCAATCTATGAAAGACTGAAACTGCAGGCAAAACTACGAAACAGTGTCAACAATGTTGATAATAAAAGTAAAAAGGCTGTCTCAGCATCGTCTTTTTCATCGTCAACCCTTACAAAACTACATGTGACTTGTATTAAATGAACACATGGACAACAGGGACATACACAAGTTACTTTAGTAAGAAATACAGCTAGGCACGCTTTAAAGGGAATGTACATCATTGGCTTTGCTTTAACCCTAACGTCCCTAAATCCATCAAAATCCACCCCCCTGTTTCGGGGATTTCGGCGGATACCTCCATATTGCACAAACTGGGGGATTTCATTGATTCAGAATTGGAAGCCTAGCGGAACTGGCAGATTTTGATGGATTCAGGATACCTCTATTTTGAGCTGTTGGGGGACTTTGATGGATTCAGGATCTCAACAGTTTAACTCTTTTGTAATGTTTGTGGTCAAGTACATTGTAAATACTGCTGGCACTAGCCCTGCCAAGTCTGCCACATAGTGTACAAACATGTACACACATGTACTGGGTGGACTTGCATGGAGGGTCACGTGCTGGAGGAAAGATACAAATAATGCGCGAAAACGTGACGAACGCAACGCCGTTTACGCGCAAAGAGCACCATGTGCATCGCTAATAATTATGTGTGCGCATCGCATAAATACTCGGTGCGCATTTCTAGCTTCGCGCGCATTGAGCTAGGTCACGTGCTGCAGGAAAGATACATTTAGCTCCAGTACTTTGCGTTAATTTGTTGCGCTTCTACGAGAGACAACCAAAATGGTGGAGATTTATCACACAGTGAATGGGCGCGTGTGGACGCGCTGCCGATCTAGTCTTTTCATTCTATCTATGGTTTACGGGCTGAAACACGCGCTAATGTCTTTCACAAAAATTTTGTGCGCGAGATGTATTCACTTCGGTACTCCATGCTGGGGTCACCATGCATTGGTGTATTTTGATGGATCCTATGCAACAACACACATCACAATTTTCATGCGAGCATGGTATCCTGAAACCGTCAAAATCCACCACAAATTTAGGTGATGGATTTTGAAAACTCTATGGAAAAACATGCTGTATTTTTGTTTATGCCACCATGGTATCCTGAATCCGCCAGAATCCATCAAGACTTTTGCTGGTGGACTTTGGCGGATTCAGGATACCTCCAGTATCTACACTGGGGGATTTTGATGGACTCAGGATACCAGCATTTTTTGCACGACAAAATTGGTGGATTTTGGCGGATTCAGGATACTTTCTAGTAAAAGAGCCCCAGGAGTTAGGGTTAATTTTCAGAAATGAACTATTTGAGGGGTTAGTATTATAGATCAAATTATTGTTGCACTGCCATGTTTGAAGTTTTGTGTTCGAAAATGCTGGAAAAACCAAGAAAAACACAAATGTCCAAGTAGTCTGGTTCCCTGACTCCACTGAAAATGAAATGGATCAATTTATAGATGCCGGAAGATCGTACGGTAAGGGAACCAGTCTAGCTGGCCTGCCCCCACTCACGAACATGCAACCAATAGCAAACAAAATTTGGACTTAAAATAAATGGTAAATTTGGAGCAGCAGTTGAAAAATAGTTGGGTACCATTGGAAATGTATAAAAAAATAACATTTACTTGAAAATGACCGCACACCAGGTGGAATAATTTTACAGGATGGTTTAGACTGTCATTTACCAACATCCTGTAATGTATTTCGTAAAAACTTGGTAGTTTTATTTTTCGATGCTTGCAAATGTTGTATATTCCCTTTAAGAAAATTCAAGCTAAGGGTTAAGAAGAACGAAAGAAATCCTCTTTGAGCATGTGACTGACAAGATCTATTTTGATAATTGCAATCTACATAATTTATGTATAGGTACATGCACAAACTGCCATTCTGAGCACCACAGCAGACAGCACAGCACATCATCAACGAATGCGCTGCACTTGGCCCCCCAGCTGACACAGTGGACCTCGCCATTGTCAGCGAACAAACAAGAACATGGCTTAGACAACTGGACGGAATAGCTTGACTTTATGCTGCCTCAAACGAAAGAAGAAGACGACTGCCATTCTATTAAGTTTGTCACAACGTGCCATTCTATTATAATTTATCATTGTATAAGATTGGACAAAAGGATATCTAATCAAGGGAACTCAAATCAAATCAAATCTCTCCAAAAGAAGATCTTACCTCCAAACGTCACTGCCTTTTGAGAAGAGTGATGACTTGATGACTTCTGGGGCCATCCAGGCATAGGTGCCGGCAGCGCTCATCCTGGTGGTGCGGTACATCTCTCTGGCCAGGCCAAAATCTGTGATCTTCAGTGTCTTCCCATAGAAATCGTTGTCAACAATCTTCTCATTGATGAGGACTGTAAAGTACGGAAGGAAACAATTTTTTTTTTAGAAAATGGTTAAAGACGACGAGATTTTGGAGGACATGTATCAGACACACGCACTGTTTAGTATACGTGCATAAAAGCATGCTCTTCAAAAACAAACCAAATAATCTTCCTGCACATCAAGTAAAACTGTCAGAGATTCTGCTGTTTTTGCATATCTTCCTCTTTATTTCCTCCTATTTTTCAATATATACCAAAGGTAACAAAATGTCAGGGCTGTGGCTTTCAAGACAACTGAATACCACATAACAGCCATTATAATGTATGCACATGTACACTTGACCATGACGTACATGTATACATTGCACTCATGCTTACCCATGTACTGTATTGAAAGTGCATTCTGACAGAATTTAATATCAATTGATATACATGTATACACATGTATAATACATGTACACTTTGCAATGTGCATGTTCATGAAATATGCAAGTTAAGTAGAGTCAAGAACTATGTTTATACACCACCTTCTATGGAAACGTACAGTAAGAAATCAGTTGTGTGCACATGTACACATACACTTAACCCTCCTTGTATTTAAACAGTCACAGACAGTCAAAATTCACTTCCACTTCCCCTGCTATACTTTTAACAAAGGCTAGTCACCAGCAGTCAGATCATATGTCCAGCAAGCACTATGACTAGTCAAACTACGGTAGGTTAACAGACAAAGCAGGCAAGTTGTGGTCACAGCTGTTTTATCACTCACCCCCAGTCAAAGTATAGCTGTATCAAGTTAGTTAAACAGCCCCAGCCAGTTAATCCTGATTTATGTACATTGAAGGCTGGGAATTCTTAACTGCTGAAAACAGTCACTTGCTTGATTTTGACTGAACATGCTGAAAGGACTACCCGTACTTGGCATAGAATGTACGTTTGCATAGGAGGGTTAATAGGCTACATGTATGTTAATTATGTCATTAAAACACACACATACACTATTAAAACTATCAGAAGAACAGCTGCATTAACAGTCCAATTATATTTGTTTTAATCACTGAATAACTCCAAGTATTTGTTCTAATCGCTCCTGAAATCAAGCACACACACACAAAAACCACCTTATATACACAAAATCATCAGGTTAAATAGAGGGCTTTATCCTTTGAATGCAAACAGCAAAGTTCAGATGTGCTGCATGCACAGTGCCAAAAGTCTAACCAGAAGTTATGAATGGATCGTAAATAATGCTTTGGATGAGTCATGACTTATATTTAGAATATTGGGTTCACCCTCTTTTCAATCTCATCATTGAATGTATTGGTTTTTTTTTACTACTTGCAGCTATTATATTTTACAAACAAATCGGTACCAAAACTAGTCAATTCTTAAAGCTATAGTCCATCATTTGCAGCCATCCGAAAAAGTAACTGGCGTATTATTGTTGAAAAACATACTTGGTTGAAAGATAGTAAGTGGACTAAACTCCCTGTGAAATTATTCTTTCTGGCAAGCTATCATTTTGAAGTAATCAACGAAAGAAGGCCTTTCCAACGGTACGTCTTAAGACGCACCGTAGGAAAATTTAAACTAGTAGTTCGTTTCGTTATTCGGCCCAGCGTGCGCAAGCATTGGCACGACGCACAGGCGTGCGCGGTTGCTATAATTCGTCGGATCAGTGCGCGATATCGCGTATAGCTGCAATTCAAAACATGATTCAGCAACTTTTGATTTGAATTTGAGATCCTAGAGTGCTGTTTTTCTCGGAATATACAGCTGAAGCTGAGCCGAAACTTCATCAGGTTAGTTGTTCGGTATCCTTCATTAGATTTTGAACACTTTTGTTGCTTCAAACGAACAAAATGCACAAATTACAAATGATGGACTACATGTATATCTTTTTAACTTCAAAGTAGAAAAGGGATAAACATGTACATTATGCGCATGTACATGTACAATGTATACAGCCTACACTGTACACATTGTGAATTGACAACAGTTTCGACATTTAAAAATCTCAGAAAAGGGGTGGCTCCAAGTAAATAACAAGTCACCTATCAATTATCACTGATATGAGAAATAAGAAACTTACTTGTGTTTGGAAAAAAAAAACCATAAAAAAACACTACATGTATGATCCCAAAGTTCAGATGTGCTGCATGCACAGTGCAAAAAGTCTAACCGGAGCTTATGAATATTGTAAATAATGCTTTGGGTGAGTCATGACTTATATTTAGAATAACGGGTTCACCCACTTTTCAATCTCATCATGGGAAGTACACAAGATTTTTTTTCTACTACTTGCAGCTATTACATGTACCGGTATATAGATTTTTACCTACAAATCAGTACCAAAAACTAGTCAATTCCGAAGTCAATTGAATTTCAAAGAAGAAACGGAATAAACATGTACATTGTGTGCATGTACGGTACAATGTATACATGTGTACAGCCTACACTGTACACTGATTTGACAACATGCAACCATTTCAAAATCTTAGAAAAGGGATGGCTCCAAGTAAATAATAAGTCACCTATCAATGTTCACTGATATGAGAAATTAGAAACTTACTTGTGTTTGGAAGAAAAAAAATAATAAAGAAAAAAACACTAAATGTATGATACCTGTAGTGAGATTTTATTATTATGAAAACATTTTATTATTTTGTTTAATTAATTCACTACATAGTTACCCTAATTAATTTTACATTTTAAAGTTGGACAGTGTCAGTTTTGAACGCAACCTGTCTTCATCCACCAACACATTTTGTACAGCGTGGATTAATGCTGGCTAATATAATACATGTAGTCCAAAATGATGCCCATGGCTTTTTCAATGCAATTCATTGAGGCAGCTGACAGTGCATTATCATTTCTAATTCAAAAACAGTTACACTGCAATATGCAATGAATAATGCATTGATGTGATCCCAAGCCAATTTGATTGGAGTACATCCTGAATTGTCAAACTGAACAGGTTCACTCGCTGGCCAAGGCTATAAATAGATCTGAACTGGCAGGGCAGTCTCTCACCGACTTTAACAACTACGTGTATGCATGCACCATTTGTGTACAGAACACTGGAAGATCACGCCAACGTGTTTTGCAACTACGTGTCTGTCACCATGAATACACTAAGTGAAAAGCTTCAAAATCAACCCTTATTGTGACAACATACTGTATTTAATTTGGCCATGAACAACTTTTATCAATTTCTGATAACATACTTGTGCAATCCTGATTAAACAAAGTTTTAAAATAAAGCTTTCAGTTGATGTACATGTACATGTTGTAATGCAAGGTCAGTTTTCAGATGTGGGTATTCCACCTGATTTATCTGTCCGTGACCCAAACGTTTTGTACTGTTTGCAAAGGAACCTTGTAAAACACAAGTGCCTGAGTGCCTCCATAAAAACACATATACATGTATGTGCTCGTAAATGTCCATGTACACTGTACATGTACATTTTTGTTCAAAATCAAATTTCTCTGTGACAGGGTTTTAAAAAATACACACACTGAGCACGTACCTGTACACCCCCACTTGTTTCACATGACTAGTGTGGACTTTCCATTGCTTTCGTGTAGTTAAGAAAAACCAGTGAAAAAACTAATTTTTCTCAAACTGTGAAAACTCTTTCAACCCAATTTTTTTTCTATGATTCCCTTTAGTGTTTCTCTTCATTCTGCTACGGATAAACCTAACCCAAAAATGCCTCTAAACCTGTTTTCCAGAAATGGGGAAACACTGTGTGGACGTGGGCAAGTCCACACAACGTCGGTGCTACCTACATTATGTGGACGTCTTTTGTTCGGAAGTCCACACTGCGTATGTAAGACAAGCTCACGTACATGTACTCATAACTCAATGTATGGAACAGTACACTGTTTACTGTAAATTGCACACACAAAACAGCATGAACAACACACATACGTGTACATTTGTAATGATGTACATGTACTGATGTACATTGTACATGTACATGTACATGTAAAATTCTTGGAAATTGACACTGGTTTGTGCAGGCAATAAACCTGCTGAAGTCTTCTCACCAGCTGCTCAGAGTACATGATGCATTATGTGCATGTACATGGGCACACACTACTGGTATAGGCATGGAGGAAGGAATAGGTCAGAGCAGTAGTGATTTTGTCTGTACATGTGCATTTAAGAATCCTACATGTACATGCGCATAAACAACAAATCTGATGTGATGTTATACATTTTTGTAAATGCTCAAATTAAGTCACATGATAAATAACCAGATGTTTGTACCACATAACCTTCCTCCATGGCCAAATTAATACATCTACAGTACACTGTATGTGTGTTGACAATAATACCAGGATACATCATCAAGCATCCCATACATGTAGTTTTTAAAAATAATAATTATGGAATTGTGAGTAAAATGTTCTGCAAAGATACAGGTACATAACTTGTAAAAAAGAAAAAAGAAAAGGAAGATTGTTAACCATGTTTTGACATGTTCGTAACATTAAATGTGTGTGTACAGTATGTACAGTGAACTTCATGTACATGTACACATGTACCGGTAGGTGCTCATGAATGTATTGATAACACATGCAGTAATGCGTAGTGGTACACTATCAACCTGATGTTTCAAGAAGTGTAAATTTATGCATTGTGTATACTATTAAGTATTTTTGGCAGCCGTTCCATTCGTTTGAGTTAGAATGGCAAATTTTTGACAATGAAAATATTCTGGGTCAATCAAGAGACCAAAAAGTTACTTCGTACCAAAGTACCGTACTTCCCATCTTTTTAATTAAGGCTTTTTGTAAACCGTACGTACTGGTACATGTCAATAAAAAACTTCTTGTGCAAATTTACCCAAAAGTCACATGATGTGCTGCTATGCAGTTATCCGGTGGGTACATGTACACGTCAGTACAAACCACAATTTTTCTATTCTTGTTGATCAACGGACTGTGAAAGGTTTCAAGGGAATAAAGGAATTGTAAGCCATAGAAAGTCAGTGGATATCGCTTTGCAGCTTTGCACAAAAACACACCTTCAGTACATGTACCATACATCTGCAGGTCTGTAAGTGTACATGATACTTATGTGCACATGTACAAATGTTCTTGCACAAAACGTACGTAAATGTATGCTTGCTAAATGACATGGTGTGGAGGTTTTATCCTAAAGCCATGTCACCAAAGGCCACATATCACATCCTACACTTCATCAGTTAAATTAAAATGTTTTATAATGAGTGAAAATATTAACTTACATGTACTCAAGACAACTTTAATTAAGTATAAAGTACCGGTACTGTATGAACCACAAATGAGAAGAGTAAGCTGAAAATTTGCAGTAATATGTAATGGTGTGGACAGAAACGAATAATAAACAAGTGCCACATACTGCTGAATTCGCAAAGCAGAAACAAATCTGAGATACAGAGCAACTGTACAGTATGCAATGGCTTTTCATCATCCCAAAAGTCATCTACGTTAAGGCCAAACAAATATAGTTAGAACTGCTTCCAGTTTCCCTACCAACCCTATTCTGACAGCCCCTATCCTAATTTTTTTTTTACACGAAAAATGAGAACCCACCAAAAACCATAGATTTCTACCTTTTACCCATGACTTACATGTACATGCAGACGCCTCCATATGATCGTACACAAAAAATTGGCACTTTTTTTTTAGTAAATTCCCTACCTACCTACCCTATTTTCTGATGCCATGTAAATCGCAAGCAGCACTTTTGGGGGGGGGGGGGAGCTACCGGTAATGTACATTTTTCATGTAAAGAAAATCAACAACCAATGTTAAATCCTTTTAATAGGCCTACATCAATTTATTATAGACATAAATTTGCAATGGCAAGGCATCATTGAATAGCTCCACACTATTTCTGGACTTCTGACACCTTGACATCATCAGATATGCAGCTGTACACGTTACGCCTTTGGTCATGTTGGTACAGCAGAGGCTATACACAGATACAATGTACACTTGTACAGAGAGTATCATTCGAAAAATGTGTAATGTGCTTAAAAATGAATATTAGTATCATTGAAAAAGTCTATTAAACTCAAACTTATTTGTTGTTTAGCAAGTGGTTATAGAATAGTATGAGAAATTCCACAGGTGTTTGTCGTCATCCATTACCTTCAGACCAGCTATCTTTAGTAACTTCAAGGGAATTCCCTGAGAGGGAAGCTGACATCATACATTGTACATCCATGTACATGTACACTTGCACACTGGACACATGTTTATTGTTAGTGAACTATACACAAGTTAATAGTGAAAACAAGTACACAAGTTCATTTTGTTTACCATTTACACTGTACATACCATCCTTCAAAAGTTCATTGTGTCTCTTGTAAAAAATAAATTAAAAGTGTTTCATGAAAATGTGACAATATTTGCCAAAGTTTTGTGGCATATTGCTTTGAACAGATCCTTTTATACCGGTACATGTACCGGTATGTACATGTAGAATAAAAATAAAGAAGACACTTAACTTTTCTTTTTGCAAAAATCCAAGTATATTGTCTTTTTTGGGGGGGGGGGGGGGCACCCAAAGGTAATTTCAGTGATTTAGGTTTTACCATTTATACTGCACATGACCTTGTACATTGTGCAGTTCATGTATGCATGCATGAACAACCAAAACTAAATCAAATACATGTACATGTAATTCCAAGGACTGAACCCAAGGGTGAACAAAAATTTAATGAAAACAACTAACACCAGCATTATCTGGATTTTACAATTTTTTTTACGAGTGTCTCATGCAATATGAATGGTGTAATGTTTCCTACGTCATTAACCCTAACCTTCCCAAAATCCTCCAAAACCTTCTTTGCAAAAGGAAAGTTTTTGCAGGATTTAGGCTATGCGGCAATTTACTGATTTCGGAGGATGCCCTGTTTTGAGGTCTTATACATTGTACCACTACCAGACCTTGTGTTGTTTATGCTCAGCTGTGCATAAATTTAGGCCTAGACTATACTTGAAATCCTCTGCACTGCTCCAGGATGTCTCTGGCTCTGCATATTGACAGTGATTGTCATAGGATTTTGCAGGATTGAGGCAGTAGTCACCCATCCAAGGACCACAATCAAGAAATAATGGAGGATTTTGAGGGATTGAGGCTGTATGCAATTTTTACATGGAGGCAGTTGCAGGAGTTTGCAGGATTGAGGTGAAATCCTAGCAAAACGCCTAGGGAGTTAACGTATGGTTAAGCTGAACATTGCACTTTGCATCCCATTACAATGTAACTGTTCCAGTATGTAGTATGTCGTCATAATATTAATGTGAAGATTGCGTGAAATCCTAGACATTGTACCCCCGGTATCTGCAGAATGAGAGTGTAACGTACATGTGCATACACTCCTCCAAGACGTTATTTCAGGATGTCAACATTACAATCCTGCTTGTTCCCTTCTTCTGGAATCAAATAATTGTTTTTCTAAACTATAGATGTAACAAAATCAAAATTAGGCACCATCATCATGTCAATATATGGACTTTGCACTACATGTATGTGTTAAATTGCAATTGAACACAACTTCATGACTTCAGTACCCAATGCCTTGTAAGAGAATGCAGTACATGTATGTTGTGTTACACACGTTACATAATACATGTACACACGTAACAACATGTACATACAGGTTTGCAAAGACAGTATCCTCCACCTCCCCATCTTAGTAATTCACAGAATGGTAGAATGATCTAACAGTAACAATGGAGTTCCTTGTAACTAAATGGACAGTGCTCTAATCCCCAATCCAACAAGGAACTGAAAGAGTGCTCTTAGTCTTTTGTAACAATGGTGATGCTCTGCAAAATGAGTGCATTGTCCTGATGTTCATTGTTCAAAAAAGAGTAGCCCCTGTCTTCAAGATTGCATGCAATGTTTTGATGTCCATTGTTACAAAGAGACTGAGTGAATTTAACAGACACTTCAACTCACTTCTGCCATGTGATGCAACAATGCCACACTTGTTTCAAGCATGGATCTAACTCTAAGCATGGAGCTATAAAAAGGAGGAACCTACCACAGTACATGTATGGTATGCAATGATTTCTGTTTCTCAATGTACATGTATGGATACATGGGTCATTCTATAAATTCAGGGTTCGTAGTGTGACATTTTTCCCATTCTTGTCACCTTGATACTGTTTAATTTGCCAGTCAAGTAGTTTGCTCTTCATTTTCCCTCTTGGATAACGACTGCAAATACCTCAGGATTATAAAAATCATAATGTCAGATTTAACAGGGACAGGAAAAAAATGCGTATGCCAAATTTATAAAATGACTCACAAACATATTTGTACAATCATTGTTCATGATAAAACAGCCACAATCTACCGGTTTACAAGGTACTTGTACATGTACTTTGAAACATACTTTTAAGATTTTCTGTCCCATAATGACAAAATTTGAAGCGCTAATTATGTATATTATTTAATATTGGGAAAAAAAGGTAAACAAATATCTCAAATCCCAACACAAACTTGAACATATATCTAGCAAGGATTTAAGCCATGCACTTTTTTTTCTGCGACTTGAAAATTCAGATTTGAAAATTCAAAATAATTTCTGAATGACACTAAGAAAGCCCTTCTGGTTTACATCATAAGAGTATACAAGTAGGGCTTTTATTTTTAAAAAAAATGCATCACTTACTATTGCTGGACTTGAGGTCTCGGTGAATCAGAGGTATGGGTGCATCCGAATGAAGGTAGTGCATACCTTCAGCAATCTGGTATGCCCACTCAACGAGAACGTCAGGGGGCAACCCCAACTTTTTGCAGTTGTTACTCAGCACTCTATTCAAAGCCCCACCCCTGGCATATTCCATTACCAGGCATATATTTGGCTCCACCAAGCATGCTCCCTTGAGCGTGATGATGTTCGGATGTGACAGTAAACTGAAGAGTTTTGCTTCTTGTCGCACATTGTCCATGATTTCGCCTAAATCCTGTTCAGTGTCTGTCCGTGCAGCTTTCACGGCAACCTCCTCTCCCGCACAAATGCCTCTGTAGACCTTCCCAAATCCGCCCACTCCAATCACCTCACTGAGGACGATGTCATCAAAGTTGATTTCCGTAACCCCAAAGTTCTTCTCCTTTTGAAGTAGTACGTGGGGCTGGCTGACATAGTTACTGGGGAATATCCCCTCTTTGTCGCGGACCTTTCCTGTCCACCATCCATCATCTCCAGACACAGACACCTCCTTGGAAATGACTTCTACAAGATCCCCACGATGGAGCGTAAGCTCGTCCTCCGCTGTTGCCTCGTAGTCATAAATGACTGTGCACAAACTTGTTCCATTTTCCTTGGATTCATGTTTTTTGGAAGCTCCTGGTGATTCAGGGACACTCTGTAGAGGATCCATCGTGCCCATGGAAGTCCTGTCTCCCACAGGGGACATTCGAGGACCGGTATCACTAGGCTAGACTTAGCCTGTTTCTGCTGTGCTGACAAAGGGTCAATATTGACTAAGGAGTTACTTGGGGGGAACACAGTTGTCGCAGTCTTCATGTCACATAAATATCTGACAGAGAAAAACAAAATCACTGTATTTAAATTGTTAAACATTTTAACATCCATGATTTAAAAAAAAATAACTTTTTAATACTTCAAATGTTTTTGGAGTACTATAAATACATACAGTACTCAAGTTTTGACTGCAGGGCCACTAGTATGTCTGGTCATGCCTCCTAAGAGACGTTAAGACAAGGTAACGTGCATAATGTCTAGGGTTATACATGTACTTCCCTCTGGTGTCCAACTAACGCACCAACCGTGTGTATACATGTCCAACTGCTGGGAAAGAATGTTGCGACCTGACGCTGCTTTTTTCCTTCATATAGCATCTCAATGAAGGTCAGTCATTGCAACAATGAGGATAAGACATGAATCTGGGACTGGGAAATATTTCCAATTTTGTTAGGAAATACTTAGAAATTGTTCTTGACTCTCCATAGACTTTGTACACATCCGCTGAAGTAGCGTCAGGTTGCAACATTCGTTCCCCAAACGGTTGCGTAACGATATCAGTTGAAAATCGCATTATGGCTGCTTTGACCCAACTTATCACCTTTTTAACATTCGGACGTGGTTAAAAAGGCGATAAGTTGGGTCCAAGTTACTCGGACTAGGCCCCCAGCAACACAAGGCCCACATCAGTAGAAAAGTGGCTTCAGGAAACCCTGGGTTTATCTAAAGTTATGGAAAAAATGTTGCAACCTGACGCCACTTTTTTTCATAGGCCTATATCATCTCAATGAAGCCTGAAGGTCAGTCATTGCAAAAATGATGATAAAAATGAACCTGGGACTGAGAAACATTTACAATGAAATGTTGTTTATTTAGGAAATACTAAGAAAATGTTCTTCACTCTGGAAAGATTCCCATATCTGGCCATCACTAATTTTTCCCATCAGTGACCTATCAGTCATCAGAAAGTGACAAAATGTCCTAAAAAGTCAAATTTAGCAGGAAAAATATGTAGTCATTTACTGAGATAACACAAATTTTCAGACCAGTCTCATACATTGTAGGGTTTGTGCACAGGGTGACAAGTGATGGCCAGATATGGGAATCTTTCTTTGAAAGTAATTGAAGGAAAGAATGTTGCAACCTGACTCCATATCGTCATACATATATCATCTCGGATTACTTGTACCTTATCTTTAGGACACCTCTATTTTTTACCAGTTCTGTTCAAAACTGACTTTTGCTGAAGCAGTCTTTTTTCTTCAGATAAATTCATGATAGTTGTAATTTTGAAAGCACTTTCAAAGAATATGTGACTTTCCTACCATTGCAGTTCGCCATCTTGCTTTTTTGGTCTATTTTCTGTTTGTCATCGTCATCTTTTACCCCTTAGTTTCCCTCATAAATCAAAGCCTTGCCCTCTTTCCACAAAATTAAACCCGCTGATAATAGTGATATTCAAGAAGGTGTCACTGCCAACTGTTCAAATGTGTCAAGAAATTTCAGAATGTCACTTTTGAGTGTCATTTAGTCAGCTGTTTTGGTGAGTCTTTTAACCTTATGGAGTACCGAAGTGAGAACGTTACGCGCACAAAATGTGTGTGAAAGACATTAGCGCGTGATTCAGCCCGTGAACAAACACGCGTGCGTACTCAATTCGTTTACACTACACTTTCTGGTTCTAAATGACGTCACACTTCGGTCATCCATAGGAACAGGGTCCTAAAGGTTAGGATTACCATCATCTCAATGAAGGTCATTAATTGCAAAAATGATGATAAGACATTAAATCTGGGACTGAGACATATTTCCAGTTTTGTTAGGAAATACTTAGCAAATTTTCTAGACTCTCCATAGACTTTGTACACAATCGCTGAAGTGGCGTCAGGTTGCAACATTTTTTCCTAATGTAATTGAACACATGTCATAGGCCTATACGGAAAGATTCCCATATCTGGCCATCAGTAATTTATCCATTAAATGACCTATCACTATCTATACATAGTAGTACTAGTGTAGTACCAAATCAGCCATCAAAAAGTGATATGCCCAATTGCATTAAGTCAAAATTAACACTGACTACAGTAATAGTAATAATTAACAGGGACAAATTTAGAATTTTTAGGCCTAATGAGAAAACACTTAGAAATTTTCAGACCAGTCCCATTGGGTTTATGCACAGGGTGACAAGTAATGGCCAGATATGGGAATCTTTCCACATATATTCCCAAAACATAACCGCAAAATAGCGTAACTGGTCAAGGTTATACTGCGTGCCATTTGTTGTACATAAAACAGACGAATAACTATGCGCCAGCGCCAGTCTGATCTGACACTGCAGGAAAAATGGAGCAACTATTTCTCCATTTAGAAAGACAAACAATACATTATATTTATTTTTAATTACTATAAAGACATACAACTTACATGCAACATACTTTTGAGACAGTTTTAAAATCGCCATGAAGAAATATTAACGAGAAATTATACGTCAATTTCCGCCCCAGGTACGACGATAACAGCACGGCCATGTCATCGATAATCTCCGCTCCGTGAATATATTTTTTACCTTCGCCGTCGCGCACTTTGACCCGTTGGCAGCAGACGTTCTTTTTTTGCGGTCACAAACTGTGATTGCTGATTGGATAACTTCGACAAGTCATGCATATGCAGATCTTGTCGTTGTTAATCAAGCTTCCAAAACTGACATTTTGTTTGTTTGGATTTATTTGTCTGTGTTGAAATAAAGACAAAAATGAACAAAAAATGGTAAAACATTGAATAAAACTTTACAAACTTTCATTCTTAACTTCTAAATTTTGGGTTACTTTTGTATGTCGCCATTCTCCTTCCAGCGGGTGAAAAAAAAGACGGGTGCCGTTTTCCATAGTTCCTAGACGTACATTGTCAAATTGCATACGCGATGGGGGTCAGACAAGTCGACCGTTGAGACAACTCGACTCGGGACAAGTCGACCGTTGAGACAACTCGACCGTTGAGACAACTCGACCGTATGTGCGATAAATGGAAAGACAAGTCGACCGTTGAGACATGTCGCCTCGCATGATTTTGGGCCTAGTTTTGGGGATAGTACCGGGGATTTTGACGGCGGCTGATCGCCGTTTGGGAGTTATGACACATTACTTTGTTTTGTTGCATAGAGCAGAGCCGATATAGCGCGATTGTCCGTGCACATGCACATCGTTCGTTTTTGCCGGGCCTGTGCGCGCATCTCCGGTCAACCGCGTGGCCGTACCGTGCACGTGCCGTGCACGTTAGCTGTCTCAACGGTCGAGTTGTCCCGAGTCGAGTTGTCTTAACGGTCGACTTGTCTCAACGGTCGAGTTGTCTCAACGGTCGACTTGTCCCGAGTCGAGTTGTCTCAACGGTCGACTTGTCTGACATCCACACGAACGCCTACTGCAAAATTGAAAATGGCTGCTGCAATGTGCAATGTTGACCAAGGAATGGAGTGATCTCTGATAAATTCAGTTGGGCAACTCGGCTTTTTACGGCCAGGGTCTCTCCCTTCGTGTTACTCAAGATGGGTTCACACACGCTAGAAGTGTTACGCCAGGGCTTGTGGGGTTCTTTAACCGGGGGATGGTATTTTGACCCACACCAGAGTATTTTTTGCAACACACTCCACCTGTATTTGTGGCTCTTCCTGTTGTTTTTCCCATTGGGTTTGTACATGGTAAGTTATACAATTACAAGTCATACTCATTAAGTTCGGCATGATGACGGTGAACATGAATGATCATGATTTCACATTGACATGTTTTTATGTACGGTCAATTTGTATATTTGTTTACATTGTGATTTTTGTGAACATGTCATGGTAACATTATATTTTAGAAGGAACTCTCGTGGAGTGCCTTCTAATTCTAGAACTAGAACTTCAGTCATCAGTCATGTCAGTAGAAGTATTATTTTACATTCCTTTCCACAGGTGACAGGTTGGTCGTGTTGGTCTGGCGACGTGTCATGCCAAAAACTGTCCGGTCATGCCGGTGCTAAATAGTGTCCGGTCATTGGCGATCATGTAGTCCTAGACCTAGTGTGGGGCCGACTCTTTAGTTTTGATCAAATTCAAGTCAAGGGACAAGGGTTGTTTTTTGTCATTTAAAAACAAGGTTTTCAACCAAATGTCTCTCAATTCTAAAGACATTATTTTGGGTAATTTTGTACAGTTTCTTGGTGTAGAAATTGTGTTATTTAATACACGATTTACGGTCAACGGTTGGTGCCATGTGAATCAGAGCGGTATTGCGCGTGGACGGTACATCGCAGTGATCACAGTCTTTATTTCTGTGTTGCATTTTATTGTCGTCAACGTTATTTTATCCCCACATTTCCCTCAAAAGTTCAATTCAACTGTAACTTTTTTATCTGTTATTACACCGATTTGTATAATTTGTTTTGACATAATATATTAAGTTTGGAAGTTCTTTTCCCTGTTGTGCTCTTTCTTGCAATCTGCGCAATCTTAAGAATGAGCGCGCATTCTGAAAAACGAGCACGCATTCTTAAGAATGAGCACGCAATCTGAAGAATGAGTGCTCATTCTTAAGATTGCGTGGGAATATTACTTGCGCAATTTATGAATTTTGCGCAATCTTAACAAACACTGCACATCATTACTATGTTAAATTAAACGTATTAGAGGTTAATGGGGAAATAATCATATGACGAGAAAAGAAAATGATTTATGCTTCTGTACCCTTTGAACTGCGATAATTTGAATTCAATTAAAGCTGCTTTTTTCTGTCCCCCATGGGAAGTTTTGTAATAACGGAGGACAGGGAACTAGTCTGGGAAGTGCTTTGTTTATTCTAGACAAGTTACATGTCCCTCACCATACATGTACGCATGCTGAGTGATAAGGAATACGTTATATGTTTGTGTTATCAGAATTCTTTCCACCAAACTATTATGTCTCTTATTATTTCCCCCAATACGCATAATACTTTCATGGCTACTTTACATTGTTATGTCTTTTCCCTAGTGAATTCGCATTGCCACAGTATAATTATTTAAGTACGGCCCAAGAATTAATCAGTGAACGAAGATGCAGCTAGACTTTACTGAGGCATAATCCATTGTAAAACTACTAAAAATTAATAATCCTTTAAAGCCATGTAAAGTGGTGTAGTCCAAACCTTGCCTCCTGGAGTGGTTCTGAGGGATCTGTACTCAAAAGTAAATATTCAGACTTTTTACTTCCCCTTAGAAAAAAAAACCAGGAAAAATATACTCTAAAGCCATACATAGTTTACAATTTATGATGAACAGTGAATGGAGCCTGTTGTAAAAAGTCTCAAGTCCAACACTTGTAATTGTACTGCAAGATTAGGATCTGTGGTCATAATGAAAGAACTGCATCCACTTATCACGTTATCTCCCCTCCCCCCCCCCCCCAAAAGAGAAAATTGCCCCCCTACAGTCTTTCCTTGACAGTCTGGCTCAAAATTTGATGTTTGAAATGCATCAAACTGTCAGATGTACACAAACAAGGTTTTCCCAATGTTTTCTCCATGAGTGTAAGACATGTGGAATTACAGTAACCAGACCTTTGCAATAAGGAAGTTTAACAATCTAAAACATGATTTTGTTTTGTGACATGTGGCAGAATAGAATGTAAACCTTTAAGGTGCCGAATGTGCACTTTGAAGGTGCTTAATGTGCACCTTTAATGTGTGAATGTGCACATTTAAGGTGTGAATGTGCACATTTAAGGTGTGAATGTGCACATTTAAGGTGCTGAATGTTCACATTTAAGGTGTGAATGTGCACATTTAAGGTGTGAATGTGCACATTTAAGGTGTGAATGTGCACATTTAAGGTGCTGAATGTGCACATTTAAGGTGCTGAATGTGCACTTTTAAGGTGCTGGATGTGCACCTTTAATGTGTGAATGTGCACATTTAAGGTGTGAATGTGCACCTTTAACGTGCTTAATATGCACCTTTAAGGTTTTACTTAACCCTGCAAATTGCATTACTCTGATCACATGAAATTCCAATGAAGTACTCGTGTAAATGAATTGTAAATGGATTATATGTCTGAGCTCTCTGTGTATCTGTACACATAAGGTACATGTACGTTATGCATGACTTTTTTCCTCTAAGTTAATTCAATGCTGAAAATGTCATTCCTCACAAGAACCAAGTTAACATGCATTGGGTATGTGTACTGGTTCTTGTATACTGTGCAGTGTACAGTATGTCCCCATGAGGTCAATTTTGAAAATTTTGGGTTGTGCAGATACTCCTAAGCCTTGGCCTCAACCCCTATGAGTTTCACTTAATTTCAGTCACGCATCACTACACAACTGTCAATTGATCACAACAACATTTTGAACCCTGTGACCAAGTTCCTTGCCTTATCCAATTTCAGTACTGTGTTACAAAATGTAAGTAAAGGTGTATTAAATCCTTTATGTTGTGAAAAGGGCTGCAGTTGGGATTGGAATCATTTGCCTGGCTGTCAGTCATCATGGCAAGACCTCAGTTTAATGCTCAAGGGCAAATGATTCCAATCCCAAACCACATCAGCCTTTTCTTCTCAACATGCAGGATTTTACACAGCTTACATAAAACAGCACTGAAATTGATTTAAGGCATGGAACTTGGTCACAGTGTCCAAAAATGTTGTTGTGATCAATTGACAATTGTGCAGTGATGCGTGACTGAAATTAAATGAAACTGATAGGGGTTGAGGCCAAGGCCTAGGAGTATCTGCACAACCAAACATGTTCAAAATTGACGTCATATTTTTGTAGTTATTTAAAAACAGTCAGACGGACAGTTTTTGGGGACATATTGTAGACAACCATACAGCTCTATCATTTAACTTTATACATCACTATATATCCAGCGCCAAGCTTATTAACCTTAATGAACATACCCTGCCTGATCATCTTCAATTGCAGTTCGAATTTGTTACACCGTCTGAGGCCGGGAGATAATTAAAAGAAAGGGATAGTTAATCAGAATGACAGAATAGATGATGCAGGAAGACTACAGAACCTCCATAAAAACTTGGAGCAATGGAATGATTTAATAGCTAAAGTCTGTAGGACTTGTGCCTGTTAGCTCTAATTGATTGATTTTTTTTCTCAAACAGGTGAATTTGCATAGGCCTAATTGTTTTGCCCTTTCCCACCAATGTTAACCCTAACTCCCTAGGGGGTGTGCAAAATCATATTAAAATTGGAGGATTCAGGACTATTAGGGATAGCTATTGATGAATTGTATAAGAAATCAAAGACCTTTTTGCATTTTACTTGAAAGAGTGAAACAAGAAGCGATGTTTAGGTTACATGTGGATGTTCCAAAAGCTTCACCTGAACAGCTGAATCTTAGTAATTGTTTTGACTTGTGTAATTCCATCAGCCAGTCTCCATAGTTTCCTGTACAATCTTCTGTCTTCAGACTTTTTCCTGACTTATGCTCGTGTGAATTAAACATCGAGAAACTCCAGATTTGGGTTTTACCTATATATTGGGTTTGTCGCTCACTGATATATTACTACTGTGTACTCAGTGCCTCACTCTATACTGAGTTGTCCATGAGCTTACAGGGGAAAAAAATAAGCATGAGATAACTTGTGTAGAAGTTGATGAACCCACGGCCTCCTGCTTACTAGTGCAGACCAAGGGCGGATCCAGGGAAAGGGGGCCATGCCCCCCCCCCCCCCAAGCGAAACCAATTTGTTTTTGTTTTTATGTGACATCGCAATAAAGGCAGGCAATGAGTACACCACCATCTTTTCCTCAAAAAAACATTGGTTAAAGTGGTCAGAAATTGCCTCAGATCGCACCACAAAGCATCTAGAATCCACAATTTTTGACCAATCCAAAATTTTTGGTCAAATTTTTCACCCACTTTTTGGGGGGACTAACATTTTTTTTGGCCCCCCAAAAATTGTGTTCTGGATCCGCCCTTGGTGCAGACGTCTCAACCACTTGACTACCAAGCTTGCCGGGGTCGGCTAGCTGGTTCAAATCTAATGTAGCAGGGGTTACAGCAAACAAAATCTTGTACGTGTTCATGTACAAAGCAGTGGGTTCTCGACCGATAGTAATGGGTAAACTGTCTGAGGTATTTATGAATACCCAGTAACTTAGAGAAACAATAACCTAGCTTGTCAGCTCTAGCAAAAACCTGAATGCCGTAAGACCAGTGATAACAATTTTCAATGTTTGATTTTTTTTTAAAAGTAAAGCCATTATTGTGTTTGGCTTTCATGCAGGCTTTTCCCCCCTTCCCAACGATATGGGCCACCTACTGCGTCTTGACCGCCGTCGTCTTTTCCTGCATCAAGTTCGTCAGCCACCGCATGCATGTGACCTTCGATGCCGGGGAGGAGGCAGCCCCGGCGGGGCAAGCAGAGGAGGAGAAGCCCAGCGAGGACGATGGCAAAGACAGGGAGGCTGGGGAGAATGAGAACGAGTTCAGCACTAGCAGCCATCAGAGGACCAAGTTTGGGTGAGTAATCACAGAGACCATGGGCGGAGCCATGTTTGCAGCCGACTCTTTGGATAAAACTCATTGAGACAATGGTTACTTTCCTTATTTGAAATCCATTGCAAATTGCCTGAAAGAATTTCCTCTCTTGAGTCCAGTAGTTAGTTTTACCGGCCAAATTCTGCCCAGTAAAATTGTCCAGGTCCAGAAATCCGTTAATCTGGGTAGACCATGAAGGTCACTCTTAAAAGGAATGTACATCATTGGCTTTTGCTGTAATTTTCAGAAATGAACTATTTGAGGGGTTAGTATAATAGATCAAATATTGTTTAACTGACATGTTTGAAGTTTTGTGTTCGAAAATGCTGGAAAAACCAAGAAAAACAAAAATATTTAAGTAGTCTGGTTCTCTGACTCAACTAAAGATAAAATGGATCAATTTATAGATGTCGGAAAATTGTAAGGTAAGGGAACCAGTCTAGCTGGCCTGCACCCGTTCATAAACATGTAACCAATAGCAAACAACATTCGGACGGAAAAAAAAATTGTAAAATAGGAGCAGTAGTTGAAAAATAGTTAGGTTTTTCCAACGGTGGTCGGCCGACCACCGTTGGAAATGTATACAAAAATACCATTTTCTTAAAAATGACTTGACACCAGGTGCCATAATTTTACAGGATGCTTAAGACTGTCATTTACCAACATCCTAGTAAGGAATTTTGTAAAAACGTGGTAGTTTTATTCTTCGATGTTTGCAAATGTTGTATTTTCCCTTTAACAGGCATTATACTAATGCACAAAATGTGATTTATTTTTCTTTGATTGGCATGTCTATCTTTTTTTTTTACGTACTGCGCACTGCACGTCAGTCTATCCCTCTGCTTCTACCAATGCCCTACCAAAATAAGATTGTGTTAATTAATTAATTAATTGATTCATTTGTTTTGTACCTCCAGCATGGAAGATGATGCCATTGAGCTAGAGGAGCTAAATAGCAACCCCCAACATGTGGCATCTCATTCAAGAAGAGACAGTTCCAGAGACTCCTTCCATCAAGACAACGAAAAGGTACGTGGAAGGCAGGGGTACTCCAATCTCTTGGGAATCTTACAGGCAGTGTCTATTTTAATTTAAACCATTGACTTGATGCATATTCCTCTTGGATATGATGCATTAACACTATTAGCCCTTAAACCTCCAAGATCAATGCGGCGCTTTTGGAAAATCTTGCGAGGATTGAGGTCGTATGGCAGTTTAGTCCCTGTCGATCTTGGAGGATGCATTGTGTCAAGGTCTTAAGCTGTATCTTGTGTAGTTTATGCTTAGCAATGCATAGATTTATACCGGGCATCATCGTACTGCTTCTGGATAACAGCACTGCCTCAAAGTATAACACCGGGATTGTAAGAAGATTTTAAATGATTGAGGATGCCCTCTATCAAAGAACACTAGGGATTTAGGATTAAGACTGGTTAATACTTGGCTTGCACTGAATCCCATGGCAAGTAAGCGCTCGGCAAATTTGCAAATGTTGAACACTTAACAGTGCTAATGACCTTGCCCCAAGTGTTTTGCTACATCTAATCTGCCACCGTTTTTGTATTCCACTGAATTGTAACATGGATCATTTATCAATCAATCAGCCTAATTTAGGAGTATCCAGTTTTACCAATAACAAGCCATTGCTAAGGATTGTCACTGCCATGGTCACTTTCATTGTTGATGTCATTGTCGCCGTTGCTGTTATTGTCGCTGTCACTGTAGCTGTCACTGTTGCGATCATTGTCGCTGTTGCTGTTATTGTCGCTGTCACTGTGGCTGTCACTGTTGCGATCATTGTCGCTGTTGCTGTCGCTGTTGCTGTTGCTGTTTTTGTCGCTGTCACTGTTGCTGTCATTGTCACTGTCAATGTCACGGTCACTGTTGCAGCTGTCAGTGTTGCTGTCACTGTTGTTGTCACTGTAACTGTCACTGTCACCATTATGTCCTTGTTATCTGGTAAAAACAGGGGGCATGGAGTGACAAGGATCTGCCGGGGAGCATCCGTGTGGAGATCCATCCCCAGAAGGACCCGCCTACCACCAGTCACCTGGACGATTCCCTGACGCAGGCCCTGGACGCGTTGGACAACATGGAGAATGACCTCAAGCTGGATATCGTAGACGTGTCCTCAAAGCAACTTGGTAAGTCATTTGGAGGGCTTTGTTTTATAGTGCGGCGGCACTGCAAAAATAGAAGTTACACTCCATGGCAAATGGAAGTTCCATTAAACGGTCACGCTATTGGGGACTCTGACCAATCAGATGACGAGGATTTATTCAGGTGTTGCATAAAACAAATAATGATAGTTTCACATTCCTCACTCGTGCATTGGAAGAATTTTCCATGCCACGTGGCCATGAGCCATTTGTAAATTATTTGTTTCTTGATATTTAATTCCATGGACATATTCATCAGATTGATATTTTATTGTGATATTTATGTATTCTATTCAGCTTGACCATTCGGAGAAACAAGTTGCAACTGGGATTTGACTTGTAGTTTTTTTATCATAAATCTAATAACTGAGCTCTTTTCATTTAAAATTTTGATTATTTTGCAAGGTGGGAACGAAACAGTGCCACCAACAACACTTAGGAGTCATGGTTCACCTCATAGCAGAAGGAAAAGACAAGTCTCCCCACAGGATTCAACTAGGTTGTCCAATCGTAGACGAAACCGTACATCCATGGGAACCAACACAGGTAGGGCCACACCATCCCCAAAGGGCCCCTCAAGCACGGAACTCGGCAGCGACACAGACTTCAAGACAGAGAGAGGAGTCTTAGACTCAGTGCCGGCGTCGCTGTCGACCGTATCTATGCAAGAACAAAGCTCTGGGACTCCGCAGGGAAAGTTGACAAAGAGGGACCTTGAGAGTTGCCCTCACCTCGGTTTGTCCAGCATCACCCCACGGGCAGACTCTGACTCCCTTCTTGCCATGCTCACTAAAGAGAGAACTTCCGAACAAGAGACGGAAGTGAAAGATGAAGCTCGCAGGAGGACTAAGAGCAGTGGTAGTGGGGAGAGAACCAGGAACAGACACTCTGCTGAGCAGCTCTCGGCATCAGGCCGACCTGGGAGGTTTAGCTTCCTAGACAGCTCAGCAGGACAATCACTAACCCCACCTAGCAGACGAAGAACTGCCTCTGGTAACAGACAAATGTCTAGTAAGAAAAGCAGGCGACAGAGTGACCGGCAGAAGGAGTTAGCTTTACCCATCGAGGAGAATAACAACGAGCTGAAACAGTCTCCGGAACCCAGAGACAAACATGATAAGAGAACTCCAAGCCCAACTGGGCATGGTAGACGCACGTCTCCCGACGATCATAGAAACTCTTTATTGAAAAGAGCATCCCCAACCCATGTAGGGACGTCTCCGCTGTCTGGAATGAGTGATGGCAGCCCTCGCTTGCAGAACCTTTCAGACACTGTGTCCGAAGATTCTTTGGACCTGATTGTCAAGAACGTTCTAGGCTCAGGTGTGGAGATTGACGAAAACTGTGACTCCAGTCACACCCTGACCTCGTCTAAGAAGTCGGGGCAGGGTGCAACCAGCTCAAGCTCTGATGATGATAGTACAGTAGTGTCGGAACACTCAGCTTTCTTAGGATCATCAGGCAATGCAGCAAGTTCCAGGAGTACATCTAGTTCCACAGGAATCCAGTGGTTATTCAACACAGAAGGGGAAGGTTCATCAGATAAAGGTATGATATTCTTCAATTAAATGTACAAATGCACGGAAAGCGTGCCTATTATTAAAAGTTTGCATCTTAAGGAATTCAGTAATTAAAAAAAAAAAAAATTACATTTTGAAAAGTGATCTTACCTAAGTCATTCTGTGTAGCTTTCTTCTTTTAACACATTTCATAAACAAATTTTTGACTGTGTGAATTTTAACAAACTTATAAAAGATGAAGCCTTTTCAATGAACTTTGACCATATTGTGGTGGTTGGTGCTTTCTCACCATAAATATGGACATATCCCTCAGAAAAGCAAGACACATTGGTTTATTTATGTGTATAGAAAAACAAATTGTTTGAACATGATCATAACATCAACCAAGCATTTAATGTAAAATGCTACACATGTGTTGTGCGTGTTTGATATAAAGTAAACATACTGTCATTGGAATTCCTACACTACAGGGGGTGAGCTGAGTTCCACGAGTAAAGCGTCAGCGAGGGAGCCCTCCCCACGTAGCCATAATCGGGCTAAAGAGGGCGCTATACCAAAGAGGAAGGCCCGTCTGAGTAACAGTACTAGCCAAAGTGAGTCAAAGTTTGCAGTCATCGAACTACTGCAACAATCGATCTTTCAACAACTTGTGCTTGAAGCATCCAAAAATTTATTTCAAGTCTTTTGAGTAGTTTGGTTTGTTGCAGCTCTGGAATGGCAGTCTGAAATAATATAAATGGATACTTATAATATAGCGCTTTTAACTAAAATCAAAGCCCTTTCCCTATTATTAACCCTGATCACTGAGCCAATGAAACCTTCTAAAGGAATCTCAGCTCCCTGGGGAGTATACAGCTCAATGCTGCCTGTTAGGTGCAAAGCAGCTAAAATCAACCACACTAACCATCTCTGCTCTCACAGGTACCCATTTACCTCTGGGTGGGGAGAAGCAATGAGTGACAAAGTGCCTTGCCCAAGGACATGCTCATAAAAAAAAAACAGGCTGGACTCGAACCCACAACCTGCAGAATTACCCGCAGACTATGAGTTCAGTGCTCCAGACCACAAGGACATGGCACTCCACAAATGAATGTAACCTTTTTTCTTTGACAGGTGACGAGGAGATCAAGCCAGAGCTTGAGGCAAACCAAGAGAACACGGGAACCAACAGCAGTAACCGTCTGATTGGCAGGATGATGAAACGAGTCTTGAGGGAGGAGTCACTCCGGTTCCAACTGGAGGATGGTGAGTTTCATTGAAAATTAAATTAATAATATTTAAAATAATAATAATAATATGTGGTGCTTATATAGCGCTTTCCACCAAAGTTTGGTCTCAAAGCACTTCACAATTATAACCCCGTTCAACAGGCCATAAGACCACTTTTTTGGACTGAGATCAGTGCAGTCTGGTCTCTACCTTCACAGGTACCCATTTATACTCCCCGATGGAGAGAGGCAATTGTAGTAAAATGACTTGCCCAAGAACACAAACACCAAGTTCCCTGTTAGGGTTAGAACTCACGTACCATGGCACATGGGTCAAACACCTCAACCATTTGACCACGTCGTCCCTGCTTGGGAGTCATTAAAGTTTCTCGTATTTTATTGCAAATAAATAAGACGTAAGGGTCTGCATGGTAAACATGATCAATGAATGGGAGGTACTGCGGAGGCACGGCAGTGATAGAGGTCCTACTGCGGTCCTTGTACGGTACCACGGCAGTCATGGCGGTGCCGCGGCGATCCCACTGCGGATTGGCCCTACCCGCGGTGGCACTGCGGAAGTTTTGAACATGTTCAAAGTTTGCACCGTGCCACCGCGAAGGTCCGCGGTTTTGACAGTTTTCCGCGGTGCTACGGCGATCAATGACGGAACCACTGCGGAACCACGGCGATCATGGCGGTGCCACTGCGGTTTATGCCGTACAAGCACCGCAGTGGCACCGCACCTCCGGTGTGACGGGGGTATAACACCATGTGAATGATATCTCTTAGTGAGTTGTGTGGTTCTGAGAAGAACCAGTTGGTTTAACTCGACGAACTGATGACGAGCAGAGCATACTGTTTAAAACGTCGAGTTAAACCAACTGGTTCTTCTCAGAAAAACACAACTCACTAAGAGATATCATTCACATGATGTTACCGCAAACCTCCCATTCATTTATTGCGAATAAGTTTATCTGCTATAGACACCATGCATGGACAGTAGGTGGCGCTTTCTGACCTCATTCGAGAGGCCCCATTGGGAGGTACACAATGCATGTGCAAACTGGCTTGTGGCCATATGCCCAAAGTTCACACAACTCATTTTATATTCCGAATGCGAACAGACCCATAGCATCTTTGCTTGAGCGCAAGGCTTACGGCAGCAATGCCTTCAATGCAAGAGTCCCTCCAGTGGGTCTCCCCGCTTACTTTGTAGCTGGTTAATTATTACATGTGTACGACGTCCATAGGTGAATTGTATTGGGTATAAGTTGCATGGTGCTGAGCAACTTCCCCCGGAATCTTCCCACAGTGCTGATAGCTTCACTAAACACACACAAACATTGTGATTAATATGTGAGCCTATACCCACATAAGGTACTCTGTGGCTGTGGCTTCAGTTTTTGACATTGATGCGCTGCGGTGAATGGCCATAGCCATAGACACTGAACAGTGCAGTTTCAGACACGGGGATTAAAAGGCCTTTACGCACGTGTCGCCTACCCGTGTTGAAATAAACATGGGTCCCTTGTAAGCAGAACCAGGGGCCAATTTCACAGCGCTGCTAAGCAAAAAAATTTGCTTAGCACAAAAAAATTTCTAGCTTATAAAAGCAGGTTACCAGCAAAAACTCCATGTGATGTATGTTGCTCTTGATTAGTATTCAGCTGTTGTTTGCTTAGCATGAAAATCACATGGAGTTTTGGCTGGTTACCCGCTTTTATAGGCCAGACTTTCTTGTGCTAAGTAAATTTGTGTGCTTAGCAGCGCCGTGAAATCGGGGTACAGCCTCTCGACCCTGGGTAGAGCATCAGATCCACGTAGAAGTTGTGTTGGATTCTTGCTAGTGCGAAAGGCGTTCCCAAAATCTTCATGTTGGAACCGGGTCCAACACGGAAAGTTTAGGCAGTATGAAAAGGGCCTAAAATAAGTCCTAGGGAAATGATCCATCGAAGTATAGGTCTAAATATGTCTTTTCATTCATCAATACTTGTGGTTCCCAATTTCCAAGTTATTCCCCCCCCCCCCCCCGGCATGCGCTATTAGTGTTATCACAATTATGCTCGCCCATTCATGTACTCTGTTATTTAGTGTAAGATTGTGAAACAGCGTGCCATCCCTTAAAGGGTCCATGAGATGAATTATTCTTAAGAACACATTTTGTGCAACTTTCTACTCCTCTTACATGTATGAAAACTATTTGACATCCTTTTTGGTGAATTTTATTAAAAACTGCTCTTATTTAAACATTTAAAATTGCCTATGCTTTTCTGGACAACAGAGGGCACTGTTGCTGTGATGTCATTTCAGGAAGACACTGTTTAGTTTAGGGATTTTCTGTTCAAATTGTAAACACAAAAATTAGCTCATTGAATAACATTTGTGAGAAAAGTGTGTTCATTGGTTTACTGCCATGTATGGTACTGACACAACAAAAGAAAGAAAAAATTACGATAGAAAAATATCCATAATTCTGGCAACTTTTGGTTCTGAAATAGCTGCAACATTGAGGTTTCTGCCTGAAATAACATCACACTTTTGCTCATGAATGTGGAAATTTGTATTAGCATATAAACCAAAAAGGCACCAAAACACCCTTGAAAATGGCAAAACTAAAACTGAAAATTAGGTTAAATGGGACACAAAGAAGCATTTTCAAGGATTGCATTAACAAAATTACATTGCATGGCCCTTTAATTAAGCCACCATTGCACTGTGTTAATTGTTATAGCTACATGTAGAGGGGTGCTTTCATGGAAATAGACTTTCAGATGATTTCATGTCATTTGATTCACGACAATCGAGGCTTAGTTGGTACTTACGCTGTGGGATTTCAGGATTTATTCTGGTGAAGATATACTTGTATGAGGTCCCACAGAAAAGCCCTTCAATTTGTTAACTTCCAACAACCTGAATTGGAATATGTCAACAAAGACTTGAAATTTAGACTCCATTTGATGTTGGTAGAATGGAGAAACAAACAAATCTGCCAGCAATCTTAACTTGAAGAGAGTTTTCTCAGTCAAGATGATGATGTGGAAGAAAAATTATTTTAAAAAGTAAAGAAAATAAAAAAGAAATCACAGTAAGTAGAAGTAAGTCTGTTACCCTACCTTGTTGCACCACTAAACAGTCAATCCTACCATACGACGAGCCAGGCGACGGGCAAGGTACCTGAGCTCGACCAGCGAGTCGAGACAGCGCCACCACAGTGATAGGGACGAGCGCACGTCCTCAAGCGATCGTCGACACAGACGAGGTAACTGACCAATCCAAAAAAAACCAGAGATGCCAACTGGCTGATCCATTAAGAACTGCCCTGCGATATCTTGACCGATAACAGTGGTGATTACTGTCGGACATGCGTGCACTGAAGTCCAACGCGCGTGTCTGCGCGTATGACGCTCGCAGCTGAAACATACAGTTTGGTATTGAAATTGCGCACGTGTCGTTGCCCATGTGTGAGTGGGCGGGGCTTAATGGATCGGTTTCCTGGTGTTTATTTTAGGAATGTCTCGATCCAGATTTTCCCATAAGCCCCGCCCATTTTGGTTTGTGTTCATTTTCCGCATGACCAAAAGTCCTGATCTAATAGGTCTCTCTCACATGACGTCACTTCCTGCTGATTGGCACGTGCATCAACATTTCTGGCATTAAATTTTTGTGACTCGCATCGGCTGTGCGGTATTTCGAAGACATTTTGAGCAACATGCAGCATGTGTGGAACGTTTTGCACAATGCACGTACATGTTCACGTATTTGGTGGCGTTGAACACGCCTTTGTAATTTTCCTACGAAGATGGCTGTCTATGAGAGGGGACTATTGGTCTATCAGTATGATTGACAGGCACGAATGGTCCATTCAGAACATTATTTTTTACAATTTCCACCTTTGATAATTGGATTTTATGGTGATACCTCTTGTACTGATCTTGTACGCTAATCATACAAATGATATTTTCAGTAAAAGAATGTAGTGCACATTCATTAACATAAGCACGGAAGTCTGCATGCTGTAGCTTTTGCAATTAATTTGTTCCACTAAGGTTGCAGTTGGTCATTGTTGACTGTCTTCTTCAGCTTTGTCTCTGTGATAAACCAGACGGTCTTGCTTTAGTGTTTCTTTAAATGCACACTGCAGATTAATGTGTAGCACTGATCTTTCTTAACAATTAGGAGGTACCTCTATTACAATTGTATTCTTAAAACGCCTTAGTCCAAATTTTCTGTATGGACTAATTCGGCGACATCCATTTTCTGTGGTGGCACCTGACTCGCGCGAGTCGCACTCGGGTAATACGCATGCACTCCAGGCTCCTTTAACCAATATGGTTGCCAAAATGCACGCACCTCGTCTTTAAGAACGTGTGTGGCATGAGCGTGGACGTGGCACCACCTCAAAAATGGCCACCTCTTCATTGGCCCATTTTGTAATGTACAGTATGCATGCATACTACATGTATGTACTTGTATGTTTTCTTTTGTTGTTTTATCCAGGGAACGCATGCGTTTGTGGTATATGTTTGCTAGAGTGTAGTTGATCCCGAGTTCAGCTTTCTGTAAAATTCTGGTAGACTAAAGATTGTTGTCGTAAATACCTGTTCATCTTAAGATTGTCTTGGGGAAAGTGTAAACATTTGACATTTTGTTTTTTATATAATAAACGGTACAGTTGGCATCTCTGTATGAAATTGTTACATAGTAGATAAATTACTTACATATTTTTTATTTGTTGATTTCTCATGATTATCAGAATAACTAAAAAATAATGAACCTGTTAAGGTTATTTTTTCTGAGACTTCCAGAAATATCAAAACTATTTTGTTTACGTACAGAACTTAAACACCTGTCATCTGTCACCACCCCTCCCTGTTGAAAGCACATTTCTGCAAAATAAAAATTGCTAGTGGCTTTTCATTTCCTTGTGTTTTCTTAGTAAATTGCTGACTAGTAAGATGGATCTTAGCCTACACCCTATATCAAAGCCATACAAAATCATAGCCCTCTAAGGCAGAGTCAGTGGGCAATGGTTTTATATCGTTTGGATATATGCGTGAGCAAACCATTTCTGCATTCATGAACACGATGACAAGGATAAATTCATATCCCCCTGGCAAAAGGACAGCCTTCTCATACTTCAGCCAAAAAAAAGACTAGATCTTGCTTGGGTGCATACCTGTGTTCCCCATTACCGATGTTCCCCAATACCGATGTTCCCCGAAATCCCTACCCTATAACCCTAGCCCTAACCCTAGCCCTAACCCTAACCCTGACCCTGACCCTGACCCTGACCCTTACCCTAATCCTATAAGGATTTCGGGGAACATCAGTAGTGGGGAACATCGGTATTAGAAAACATCGGGCAGAGCCCTCTTGCTTTTGCTGTTTTCACTTAAATGCACCTTTTTTAAACTTACAGTTTTCTTCACACCTTTCACGTTAACCTTGTCTCCATCAGAGCTGAGACATTGCTGCCCAAACAGCTTCCCCCACCCTTGAGACTTAGACAAGTCTATTACAGTATTATATTTCTTCACTTTTCTTATGTTGCCATTACAATTTAAATATATTCATAACTTGGATCCATTCTATCAGTGACAAATGAGGAGTTCTGAAGCTTACAAAGGGCATGCAAGTGACCCCTTTGCCATTTCTTTATTGCATGAATTGGTCTCTTTGACAACTGAATTATTCCAGTTGGCACAGGTTTAAGCTCAGTGACAAAATGCTTATCTTTGATTGTTATAACTTTTGTATTGACCACCTGATTATGTATCAGTTTACAAATTTAACATTTTTCGCTAGAGCTGTATTTGAGTTGCATACAGGCTGCAGCTTGTAAACACATTTTGCACTTAACAGAGGGAGCCAGAGCTACATTTCAGTTGCAAACCTTCCACAATTTTTGCACAATGGAAATCATGTACCATCACTTGTACCCACATGATGTCCGCATGTCATAAGGATGTCAAACTGAGTAAAATGCCAAAAATGAAAAGCTTAGTATGCTCATTCTAATGATATCTGTGGGAACACAAAGAGAGAAAAAATTATTTGGAACCAAGTCACGCGGCAAACAATTTTCTAAGGCAACTTGGAGGCAAACAAATGTACTTCATGCTAAATGAACCCCTAGGAAGAATGGAGTGCATTTTGCCAACAGTTTATGGAAACTTCCTGAGACCATTTTTTTTATTGCATTCAAATGTACTTGTAAGTTTTCTTCTTTAAGATCACTCACAACAATTTATACCTGAAAATAGCCTTGTGTTCACAGCCCTTAAGCTCTTTTCATATGATCGGAGGCCAAGTTTCATGCTTAGCACCGAAGTTTGCTTATCAAAGAAAATATTTGCTACGCAAAATCAGGTCACCAGCCAAAATGTCATGAGATGTCTATTGCTTGCCACTGGTTCCCTGCTTATTTTCGCTTAGCAAATAAATCCGCTTAGCAGTAATTTCTACTTTCGCAGCTCCATAATATTTTGGCCCTAGTCGCAAATCTTACCTCATAAATTTGTTATTCCATCACTTTACTGTCACAGAGCCCAGGCAGACTACCCACCCTCCCCCCTCACCGTACCTGGCAGCCATCGTGAGGCGTGAGGGAAGGTACATGGCCTCAGCCCATGACGACTCGTCCCCCGGGTCGGTACACTGCTTCCAGGATGAGCATGGTAAGAAATGAAGGCCCGGCTTCGTCAGTGGCATAGCTGGGATTTCTGTCAGTTTGTTCAACAAGTTGAGGGGGGTGCCAGATGTAACATTTAACCTAGACGGATGGGGTGGGGTGGAGGGGGGGGTTAAGAAATTTACAGGCTTGTAACAACAGAGCATGGTAAGAAATGAAGGACTCGCCTTGTTAGTGGCATAGCTAGGATGTATGTCAGTTTGTTCCACAAGTGGAGGGGGAGGGGGGGGGGCGCGAAGGGGGTGCCAAATGTAAAATTTAATCTACATGTAGGACGGGGGGGGGGGGGGGTTAAGAAATTTACAGGCATGTAACTTTTCCTCGGATCCGCTGATTTCCTTGTTTTTTACTTCTCAAAAATGCCATACAAATTGAAACACACTGTTCAAAGTCTTGAAATGTCCTCGTTTCTTCCTAAATTCCCAGTTGCATGCCTGAATTTAGAGCACAGTGCGAAAAGCCACTTTGTGGGTTCCTTGCTCGACCAACAGAGGTTTTTTTACTGCTTTTAAGTGCCCAGTGGATGGGACACACCGCGTGTACGCACAGTCATATTTTACCATTACATCTGAGGACAAGGCATTGTCTATAATTTACAACACCATCCCACAGATTAAGCACACACACTTACGTTCAAGGCCCGTTTTCAACAAAAGATGTACGTTTCAGGACAACAAAGTTTCAGGACAACGTGTTGCTGTCCTCGGGGATGTATGTAATACAAGAGCATACTGGTTCGTGTGCATGTAGCGTAAATGAACGCAGGACTAATTTCATTCTAATTGTGCACAAAGCCAGTAGTGTGTTCGCGCTAGCATCAAGCGTTGCCGGCAGTGTACAAGCATTACATTCACTGTGTGGACTTCCGAACAAAAGATGTCCACATAAACCGGTTTCAGATACCTTGTGTGGACTTGCCCACGTCCACACAAGGTTCCCCTTCTCTAGAAAACAGGTTTAGAGGCATTTTTGGGTTTGGTTTATATGTCGCTAAATGAAAATAAACACTCAAGGGAATCATAGTAAAAAACATTGGGTCGAAATAGTTTTCATAGTGCGGGTAACATTAGTTCATGGGTTTTGCTTAACAACACGAAGGAAACAACACGAAACAAAGGAATGTCCACACTAGGTATGTAACATAAACATTTGAATGTCTCTCCCGGTGGTCTCTCCCAACTCTCCAATTCTTACCGTTGAGGGGGTACTTGTACACGGAGCCCATAGTATAGCACTGACTGAAATGAGTTTCATTACAGGTAACTGGATGACATACACGTTTGATGAGAACAGTCCCGGAGTAGCTCAGAGGCTGGACACAGACCCTAACCCTAACGCTGAGGCCTCACCGCCATCAGATCCTGAGAAACCCTCCATCGATTGGTAAGTTGTCCTTCCCCAAAACAAACTGGTTCCCAGTCATGTTTACATTGCATCCGGAATCATGCCAAACCAAATTATTGAAGATTTTGAATAAGCACGTGAAAAAGTTCAACGTTTGAAACAGTTTAAGGAGCAACCAAGTAGACAGACCAATTGTTGCTGTCGTTCTGAATTACTTCAGAGATCTCATCAATGGAAAATTAATATGTAACGTTTGCCTGTTTAAAACCAAGAACCGATTTGCTCCTAATATTACTAGCTGAAATGGGTGTCAAAGGCTACCACTACCATTTGCAGTTCATAAAACAAAGTGACCTTTTAAAAGACATCAGCTTTATTGAAATGTGTAGCAATTCATCCCTTTTTGTGAAGCCTTGTGGAGCTCAACTCAACATTTTTTGAGGTTGTAGTTGTATACAGTATGTTCAACATCGTTCAGTAAGATCTTCTGGTGATATTTTGGTGATATTTTATCCTTGAATTTTATCGCAATTTCTTGGCAAAGCTAAACAATTAGCAGTGAGGAGAATCAGACATTAGAGTAATATGCTAGAATGGCACTAGAAGTCTTGCTACCTGGGTAGCAGTTGAGTTGTTTTTAATTTCATTGTGTCCTTTTCCCTTGAAGCAGTCTTTTCATTGTCCCTCCTTCCGTTTTACCAAAAGGCCGGACAGTTCCAGTTGCCACTCTGACTCCACCGTCATCACCATGCCCAAGTCCTCAGGAGCTACCCTAGACAGCGGCGGTGGCCCCTCCTCTCTGGACAGTCACATCCCAAGCTCCATCCTCTTCAATCTCACCAGCCAGCACTCCTCCTCGGCGGCCGGTGGGGGCAGCCAGTCCTGGGAGCTGCCCCGTAACTTCCTCAGCGAGCTGGGCTTACAGAGTCTGATCGAGGACGTCCGGAGGCAGAACAGCGACCAGAGCACGCGGGACGAGGCTATCAGCCTGGCCAGCGCGGAGCGCAGCCGGAAGCGGCGTGAGCGGGCCCGGATCAAGCACAACTACCGCTTCTGGGTGTTACCGGGCCGGTCGTTGCGGGTGACCTTTGACCGGCTGGCCTTCCTTGCTCTGTTTGACAGGTTGGTTCTCAGCAAGTGCATCAATAGAGGGTGCAAGTTGATTTTAAAACGATGAGTCAAATAAAACACAAAGGGAAACTGAGTAGATGCATTATCCTCTCTGGCAATGTAAAAAATAACATTTAAAATTTGATTGATCATTTGTTAGGATTACAAAAGTTATGAAATTTCTAAGGAGACACTGAATGAAGAAACATTTGTCCACTCTTAGTTGTCAATTGTTTCAATTCAGCTTTTGAATTAGGTGCGGGACACTCCTAATTCAGCATAGACTTGAATCAAGTTGAAACAATAAGTCGATATCCCCAACACTGCCACCACAATCGAGCCCTGAATTTCATCAACAACGTTGTGCCAGTGTGTGCACGTGTACGCATACTGCACAGACCATTCCCAATACCCGATGCGAGCCAAGTCTAAATTCAGCTCGAGCGTGAAGCAAGCGCATCATACAAAGCTCATTATTTAATGGAATCAGTGCCTCTAAAAAGCTAAAAAAATATATATATATATATCATTCGTTCAAGGACATCATATTCTTAAAAAAAATCTTCAAAAACAAATCAGAAATCTGAAAAATCAAGGGGATGCTAACTTTTAAGTCTCATGACTATATTCATCTTTTATTTTTCAGGAATCGTACCTTCTTAGAGAGCATGATAGCTGTGCTGTTGTCTGTTCTAGTCTCTGTCCTGGGTTTCGCCGTGCTCAGTCAGGGTTACCTTCATGATTTCTGGGTCTTCTGGTTCTGCTTCGTCCTTGCCAGCTGTCAGTACTCACTCCTTAAGGTAAGAGAGGTTAAAATATGTGTGTCGCTAAAAACATCTGGCAAATATACTGTAAGCAAAGCATTCTAGTTCATGTACACAGAAAAGACATTAAATTGGCATTTTACAGTGCTCACTACATACGGTTAAAATGGCAATGTCATTGTTGTACGAGTTGCCATACCATTATTAAAGTTTTAAACACCACCCCCCCCCCCCCCCAACATAATTTGCTTTCCATTAGTACTTTATACTCGGTGGTGTCGAAGAGCTTGTGACAAAAATTCAAAGTGTCTAGTAGTGTCTTTTTTCCAATGCTGAAACTACACAAGTTTGTTGCTTTGGGTTTTTTGCCGATTCAAGGAGCAACAATAGTCTTAAATAGCTATAAGGCAATTTGTATTTTTCAAACTTGAGTTGAAGTAATTCTTGTCTTGTTTTGTTTACAGAGTGTTCAACCGGATGCAGCTTCTCCTATGCATGTAAGCCCTTGCTTTTTTTTATGTATTCGAATACAATTCTCCTCAACTAAATTAAACTGACAAAATTTAATACATCAACAAAATCAGAGCTGGACCTTGTAAAGGTCCTGCTAAGGATCGGAAATATATTTCAGGTTAATCCAGTCAGTAAGCAGTTTGCAGCATTTCTATTAATTTTCATGACAAAATTTATAATAGGCAAGGTTGTATTATTTGGGGGGGGGGAGGGTCATATATTTGCTATTTTAAATACCCCTTATCACCTGTAATAGTAGTGAGGGTTTGCGGTAACACTGTGTGGAAGAATCTCTTTTGAGAAGATGTGTGCTTCTGAAAAGAACCGGTTGGTTGTGAAACCCGACTTTCCGATCAGTATGCTCTGATCGTCTTCAGGAGAAGACGACACAAATTAAATACACTCAGAAGTCCATCAGCAGACATTGAAATTTTCATTCAACGACACATCCATCCGAACGTCGAGTTTCACAACCAACCGGTTCTTTTCAGAACCACACACCTTCTCAAAAGAGATTCTTCCACGTGGTGTTACTGCAAACCCCCACTAGTTTACGCTACCGCCATGTAAAGTTTCACACCTGTAATATGATGGCACTTCATTAATCACCCAAGACTGAGCGGGAAAGAGTCTGTTTGGGAAAAAATGTTGCAACCTGACGCCACTTTTTGTCTTCATATATCATCTCAATGAAGGTCAGTCATTGCAAAAATGATGATTAGATATGAATATGGGACTGAGAAACATTTCCAATTTTGTTAGGAAATACTTCGCAAATTTTCTTGACTCTCCATAGACTTTGTACACAACCGCAGAAGTGGCGTCATTTTGCAACATGTTTTCCTCTCTTTGTGTCTCTGATAACACTGCAGCATGAGGTTACGTAATGCCCAGTGACAACACAAATTAAATACACTCAAAAATCCATCAGCAGACATTGATATTTTCACTCAATGACACACCCATTGTTTGTCCTTTGCAGGGTCACAACCAGATTATAGCCTACAGCCGGCCCATGTACTTCTGCATCTGTTGTGGTCTTATCCTCCTGCTGGACTATTGTGCCAGCCAGCCCATGTTGTACCAGACTGCCCCCAGTCTATATGGGCTGTCTATAGGGGGGCAGGCCTTGCTCTGGCTGGGCAGGGATATGCTTATAGGTGGGTGTTTTGAAACTTGTCTACATGGGACTATCTCTAACCCTCCTCGTGGGAAGTCAATGTTCAGAGCAATATGTAAAAACCCTTTAAAACCCTGCAGGTCAGTTTCAGGTGTAGGGATGTGAAGTGACTGTGTCACACGGAGAGTCACTGCACACACTAATTGCAGGCAATTGCTTGCAAAAGTGGACATGACTGAAAATTGGAAAATTTGTGAAATCTTCAGAACTGCAAGCATCACAACTTCAAATGTGGCGTCAAATTAAAGGGGACAACAAGACCTTTTATTCGAGTGGTGTGCCAGTGAGATGGAATATAGTTATAAAATATTTGTCAAAAACTGGTTTATTTTGCAAAAGTTTTGGATATTAGGTTGTCATTTTGTTATCACATGCACAATATAAGTGTTATTGTGAGTTTTTGCTTTTGAGGCATGGACAAAGGTTCATATTAGTAAAAAAAAAATAACACACCGAAGTTAGAATACCATGATTCAGTGATTTTTTTAAACACGTTTGTGAAATTGATTTCAAAAGTGAAACGTCTGTAAGCTATATAATGTTATGTCCATAACACCAAAACATAACATCAAAGGAGCTCTTCCTAAGATGTCATTGGTGTTTGTATAGAATAGCGCTATAATTACCACAACATAGTTATTTCATTGAATTCTTGCAAGAAACTTCACTGACTTTTATCAATGCGTACTGAAAGTCGAAAACCTATTTCAGAATGCGTAACACCCGTAACGTTCATTTATAGTGCTTATATCTCCTTAAGTAATTCAGCTAATACTAAGTTAACCATGTCATGTAATACTTTAAGGCCTAAGCTACAGTTGTACCAAAAATATAGAATTTTTCTTTCACTACAAGTATTTTACTTTAGGGCCGTCCAGTTTCAAATAATTTGGTATTCGATTACTTGAAAAGGTGTTTGACCGAATATTCGGATATTTGAAACTGCCAGCAGCAAATGCGTGCCGCGCTTTTCAAAAGTTGCATATGGAGCGCCAGTTCAAATTTGCTTGCGGCGATGGATATGGAGTGTTTTGCAGTAAATATTTTAGAAATGTCAAGGGCTTTAACCTGCTAAAAGGATAGAAACGATGAAAAACCGTCGACAAAAAAGTTGTCGTCGACAAAAAAAGTGGCACCTGACAGTTGTGTGTGTATGTGCGTAGTTCTTTTGTTTTGAATATTCAAAGCGGCAAAAAAACTATTCTAGAGTTTGGTTGATGATCAAATATGCGAATATTCGGGACAACCCTGTTTTACTTTTTTTTCTAATTGGTCAGTAGTCTCTGAATGTAACGTCTGTAATGATGGAATTGCCCTGACCATCACTGACGAAGATTCTTCGTTTGTTTTTCATCTTCTTGCAGTGTTTGTGTTATGTTTTCCATTGATCTTCCTGCTGGGGCTTCTACCACAGTGCAATACCTTTGCTACGTACCTCCTAGAGGTCATCGATGTACATATATTTGGTGGCAATGGTAAGCACCCTCATTTGTTTTCAAATACTCTTCACATCTGTACCCCATCCCCAAACCCAGATACGGTCGCAGACCAAATGTTTTGGGCTTAAAATACATTAGTAAAATCCCATGAAATATCTGGGATTCATTCAGTCGTTCTGGTTTATTGGTTCAAAACTACCATCGCAGCCCAGATACCGAATATGCTGATATTTATAATAAAAATAAACTCATAACAATAATAAGGCAAACATTTGAAAGCATTAAACTGATCCTATTTAACTTTAAGCCAGATGAAGGTCCTAATTGGAGTTTTTGGGAATGAGAAAGAATTTGAAGAGAATTTATTTGGTGGACAAAACAGGCTTTAACATTTTTCGTTAATAATGAGGTTGAATTTCCTCATGCATCCTTTTGTAGTCACTGTCTTGTATTTTGTTTCTGGTTTCCATAGCAACTACCGGTCTCGCTGCAGCAGTCTACTCTTTTTCCCGAAGCGCCCTCGCTGTGTTATTACTCGTTGGTTTTGCTTTCGGTGCTCTGAAGGTAAGCTTTAAAGAGGGTTCCTCACTTCAAAAATTGTCAAGAAATTTCATAGTTTTCATATTTTAAACCACCCATTCCTTTGATGCCTTGAAGTTTTACCTAAGTTGATAATTGTTCAATAAAAGAATATGCTAAATACTTGCATATATTTGCATCTCATTATCCAGGACAATGCAACGTCTCAGCACCTGTTGTTCTCCGTGTTCTGTGGCCTCCTAGTAGCAATCAGCTACCACCTCAGCCGAAGTGCCTCAGATCCAAGTGTCTTGTGGTAAGAAACAGCCTCAAATCCCATCTTTAACCCCAACCGCCCTGAATCCTTCAAAATCCTCTTTGCCAAAGTGGAGGAATTTGGAGGATTGAGGTTACATGGAAAAAGTACGTTACTGATTTTGTAGGTTGCACTTTGTGTTGTTTATGCTCAGCCATGCATAAATATAGGCTTGGATTATGCTTGAAACCTCCATACTGCTCCAGTATGTCACTGGCCAAGCTTCAACATATTGACTGTCACTTCCGCAGGATTTTGCAGGATCCAGGCAGTGGTCACCCCTACACGGACCATATTCAAGAAATAATGGAGGAATTTGCAGGATTGAGGCTATATGCTATTTTTCCATGAGGCAAATTGGAGGATTTTGTAGGATTGAGGCAACATCCTAGCAAAAAGGCCTAGGCAGTTGGGGTTAATATTTGGGTTTGCAAGCAACAAATTTCTATTTACATAATAATACATAACAGTGTATATTGCAGTTTATATCGCAGAGATATACCCTGTTAAACTTGGCATATTCTTCAATAACCGTAGATTATTTCCGAAAAAGGGCCCCCAAAGAAGTTATGGAAATTTTACTTGTGAAATGTTTTTCTCATGCAATACTTTTGTTGTGAAACACTTTACCACTTACCTTTTTTCTTCACTGTAAAAACATAACATGGACTAGGAACAACCGAGCAAAACCAGTCCAGATTTGCTAAAATATGTCCAGGACCATTTGTATTTTCAAATTTTGGTTAGTGATTTTGGGGATTTTTTTAAATTAATTCATTTATTGTATATTTTTCAAAAAAGGTCAATTATCAAGAAATTTGTCATGACTGAATCTCAAGCCAAGCCGGAGGGATCCCTGGATGAAATCAGAGATCCCCTGCCTGGGAAACTCCAGAAATCTGTGGTAGGTCTCTCTCTCTTCAAACGTTCTATTCTCCGCGAAGATCTTTATTTTATAACATCGGGTTCTCCTGATCATCAATTAGTTCCAAAATTCTGTGTCTCAAAGTTGTGTCTCAATCAATTTTGTGATTGTTAGCTTGGCCCAGCTAACATGCCAACCGCAGATGGGATGATAATGTCAGCGAAACACTTGCTGTCAAATGGTGGCGCACTGTATGTCAGTATTAACATATGTCAGTTATACATATGTCAGAGTATAGATAGCAGCCTTTTTAAATCCTTGACAAATGTCTTACCACTGGAACTAAAATGTTGCCAGTAATGTATGAACCTACTGTGGATGTAGAAAAAGGAAAATTTCAGACCCGACAAAATTATTACATTCATTGTGTGTGTCAGCCATTTTGGAGAACGTAGCTAACAAGATCCATTTGGTTCCCCCCCCACCAGTGTGAGAGGCTGCAGTCAGACCTCATCATATGCCTCCTGTACGTCGCGGTCCTCTTCGGCGTCCACGCCAGCACCGTCTTCACCGTTCTCCAGCCTGGCCTGAGCTACGTGCTGTACGGCATCGCCGGGGTGCTGGGGTTCCTGCTGCATTACCTCATGCCCCAGCTACGCAAGGAGATGCCCTGGCTGTGCATCTCACACCCGCTGTTCAAGAACCACGAGTACTTCCAGTTTGAAGTCAGGGGTAAGATGCCATTGTGAAGCATTCGCTATTTGCATTGGGGGTTGAAAGTCTTGGATCTGAACAAGCAGTGTGTGGTTCTGACGCAGACTGCCTGAAATAATTGCACGAGGTACAAGGAGTCCATTAATTCTTGAGTAAGTAGGGAAATTATTGGCGGAGTGCCGTGGCCTTGTGGTCTGGGACGTTGAGTTTGTGGTCTGTGGGTAATTCTGCAGGTTGTGGGTTCGAGTCCAGCCTGGGGTTATGGTGTGTGTGCCCTTGGGCAAGGCACTTTGTCACTCATTGCTTCTCCCCACCCAGGAGTAAATGGGTACCTGTGAGGGCAGAGATGTTTATTGTAAATGATTTTAGCTGCTTTGCGCCGAAATGGCAGCATCGAGCTGTATACTCCCCAGGGAGCTGAGATTGTATTTGGAATGTTTCATTGGCCCAATGTGCAGGGTAATAATGATGTAGCGCCTGGAGCACCAAAACTGGTGTATGTATACTGTGCTTTATAAGAAATGCATTATTATTATTACACTACAGAAGGTACAATTAGACACAAAATATGAACTTGTCACGTACATTGTTTTGTGTATTGTCCGATTCTGCTTCTTACATTGTATCACAGTATGGATGTCATAAATAAAATGAGAATCGCAATAATTTTTTTTTTATTTGCCCAAAGGACTTCAAGCTCATATGTGACCGTTCACATATGCTGTTGTTGTTGTTGTTGTTGACAAATACAGGGTGTCCTGACAATAATGGTGCATGTAGATCCCTTCATTTTTGCCAATTTACAACCGGAATTTTCTGCAAATGTTAACACGATCTTTAACCCTTACTCTCTGAGGGTAGTTTACTGCATGTCAGTTGGTTATGCCAATGCCCTCCAGCTGCAGTTTTTTGGCAGATAAACTATCTTGACAGTGAAGGCTCCAATTGGCAGGAGTTGGAGGCCCTGGAGGGTGCCTGATACTGACCAGCTGGGGGCACTCACTTTGTTATCAGAGGACTCTCATTGTTCTCTGTGGCATGTATTGGAGTGCCTGTCCAGTTACCCTTGAAATGACATGGCAGATATTGGAGGGCCATGCAAAAAACATAGGAGATTTTCTTGAGGCACATATTGGCATGCGTTGGAGGGTCTAGTAGGGTAAGGGTTAAGGTTACAGATTTAGCTTGAGAATACCGTTTGTTTAATTAAGATTGCTTTTGAAAATCCAGATATATGTTTGAATAACCGCAAAGCCAAAAAAAATTCTCTGCCACTTTTAGGAAGCGAGTGCTTCAATGATCAGACAATGCCAGTATGGCTCTTTTGATAAGATTATCCCTAAGGGTGTGAGACAAACATTCCATTTACATGACAATATAGGGTTGTGTTCTTATGTTGAAACAATTTAATAGTACAGACAGGTTCATTCTTTAAAACTTCAATGAAAGAGTTCAATTAAATATAAATAATATTGCTCGCTCTGCTTAAAAATGTTAAAATCACTAATATAGGTTTTCCCGGACAATTTCGGAAAATGTGTACACGACTTTGTAAAAGAAGCATTCGTTTTCGTGCGAAATAGAATGAACGTTCCAAATCTCTGTTTCTATTTAACAAATGATAATTCTTTTTCCGTGACAGTGCATTCAGTTGTAAAAAATCAGCGTACGATTTCCCGAATGTGCACTGCATTTAGTGTATTGACATTTCATTTTAACGCGAAATTGAAGGCACATCCGCAATCCTGTTTTCCTTTTAATTTATCATCAGTCTTTTTCGCTAAGTGTGCAGCCGATTTCTCTCGCCGTGTTATTTAACGTATGCCTGGTCAAGCATTGGAATTCATTTATGTGTTAAAGTAACAGTTGAGGAATGGTTGATTGAATGATTAAATAGTCAAAAAGTCCCCATGCAGATCCCATGTAACACGACACGTGATGTGTCCCTTTACCGTCTCAATAATATGGCTACAAGATTATTTTGAGTGATTTCATATTGGTCATATTATATATCATTTTCACATTTCATTTGCCTACATTTCACATAGGACTTTGTGTATATAAGAACAAACACATTAATGATCAATAAGGTATACATTAATTAATTAATGAATCATTAATTAATGAATCAAAGTTGTTTCATGATTTGTATAGGCCTGTATAATTTATTTAAATTGAATGCAGAAAATGCGAATTGAAATTGTAACAAATGAAAAAGAATGTTCAATTCAGCCTGTTTCACAATAGACAATCGATTTTCTGCGAATTGGATTGCACATCCATAATAATCGGCAACGCATACGTCAAACTGAAAGCCTAATCACGTATTTGTAATCCCTTAAATGAAACGTTATGCACATTCATTCATTTGATTGACGCAAAATGAAATCGAACGCTAGCTATTGCGAAAATGAAACCAGGATGTACGTCGTTCTCAAACTCTGCGCCAAATTAAATTTATGTTTTCCAAATTCAAACGCACATTTTCCGAAATTGTCCGGGAAAACCTATAGTAAAGTGATTTGGTTTTAGACTAGGACTATACTGATTTTAACTGCTTCACAGAAAGTGGCACAAAATGGGTTTCTTGGCTTTGTCGTTATTCAAACATATCTTTGGATATACAAAAGCAATCTCAATGAAACAAACGGTATTCTCAAGCTAAATCCATTACCTTGAAGATGGTGTAAGCATCCGCAGAAAATTTTGGTTGCACCATTTTTTTCTGGATGCCCTGTACAGATAGTGGTCAGTAAATGTTCAAGGTTAACCAAGAGTGTCATAATCATTGCAAGCTTTCACACCTAAAACTTTGCCTATAAAGTTGACTGATGGAGTTAAACTGAGTTTTGCAAAGTGAGCTTCACATGAAGAAACTCTCAAGACACTGTCTTGAATGGTTTCAATATATTTTGTTGTTTCTATTTTTGTATGACAGATGCAGCAAAAGTCATGTGGTTTGAGAGGTTGTTCGTCGTCCTGTGCTTTCTGGAGCGTAACATCATCTACCCCTTGGTCTTCCTCTGTGGCCTGACCACAACGGGAAAGAGTATCACAGATTTCTTCTCTCCAATGTGAGTACAAATAATCTACGTTGCTTCTTTCAAAAGCCACAATTTATATTAACCAGTTCGCATCGGAGGACGTGATAACACGCACTGGCTGTTTTTATACACAGACACGGCTGACAGGTTTAAATGTCAAGATTGCCTTGACTCGCCTCCGGGTGACGTCTAAACACGCTATTCCCTTGTGCCTTTTTGTACACACACGCAAAGTCTGTGAAGTCTGTGGAGGCAGATCGTGTGTTGATCTTGAATTGCCCGTTGTGCACGGGTTATTGTTCTACAATTTATGCTCCAGTGCACACCTTGGAGTATTGATACATATGAGGTTTTTAGCAAGAACTATCGTACAAATACTGTTGAAATGACTCTTGTGAATCAGTATTTGTGGCGTTTGGCTGTATATCAGAAGTTGGCTGGAATATTTTGCCTTTTGCGAAAATCGAAATTTACAGCAAAAATAATCCCGGCATAAAAATGAGAAATCTTGACCAATAAATGTTTCTGTGTTCCATCTTCCTCCATCCTTCAAAATCCGCAAAAGCATACGGGAGGGCTAGGGTCAATAGACCAATAGAGAAAAACCTAACGGCCCCTTGATTCCCTTCATTGAGTGTGACATCATTTAAAGGCATATCTAGGACCATTTGCATTTATCCCAAAAGTAACCTACCAAATTATTATCAAAAAGCTTACTTGGATTAAAGATCATACTGGTACTAAACACCCCGTGAAATTATTCCATCTGGCTTGCTGTCATTGAGAAGAAATCAAGAAATGTAGGTGATTTCCAACGATCAGTTAATTGACTGATTTTTGGAAACACAGCGTGCTACGGATGAAATCGTGATTCTGATCAAAAGTTGTGCATGGTTTTTAACTGTTTTCTCAAAAAGTGTAATTTCCACTGAGCTGAAACTTCAACAGGTTATGTTTTGTACTTTCTTCTTGGGATTTTGTGTGGTGTTATTTTGGTAAACTAACAAAATGCATGAAAAGCAAATGATCCTTTATAAACTTCTTTTCCCCCATCGCAGTGCCGGTGCCTTCATTTTGACAGTCTGCGGACTCAAGCTTCTCCGTAGTGCCTTCTCCAACACCGCCACCCAGTACCCCATCCTAGCCCTCACTGTGCTCTTCTTCAAGTTTGACTTCCACCAGGACACCATCCTCTTGGACCTCTTTGTCGTCAATTACTTCCTGATGTCCATCTTTCTTCACAAGGTAAGAAGTCAGAAAGAAATGCAGATGGAGCTGAGCTTGCCAAGCTTGCTGGTGAAGGGCAAAACTCAATATTGAGTTTACCTCACCCCGACACAAATTCCATCTTATGAATAGTTTGGTTGCGGTACCCCCTGCTACATCAGATTCGAACCAGCCAGCTGGCCCTGGCAAGCTCGGTGGTCGAGTGGTAAGACGTCTGCAGTAAGCATCAGGTTGTGGATTCGAGTCCCACTCGAGTAATTTGTGAATATTTTTCTCATAATCACCCTGGAAAACACTGAGTATGCAGTGCTTATGAAAGAAACAGATAGTGAATAGACAGGTGATTTTTTGTTACCACGTAACATGAAAATTAAACCATGTGACTTAATTCAGACACTTAAAACAATTTATTGTGGGAGTTTTGTATGTGAAATAGAAAGCCTTATACTCAGGGGTGAGATTTGTCAGGATTTTTCCTGATTTCAGGATTTTTTGTGAGAATTTTTCCTGATTACAGGATTTTAAAGGAATCCCTTGTGAAATCTGGAATTCCTGAGGTTTTACTCTCAAGGTAATTTTACCTGTAAAAGTTCATATAGAACCAAAGAAATGGGAATTCGAAGGGGTGCCTTTAGGTAAATACACACATATATTATAGAAACTATGTTGCTTTGGGCCCTTGGCGGCCCTCAAACCATGCGCTGATTGTTTTGTGGATTTTTCATTTTCTCCCAATCTCACCCATCTTATGGTGAATTAGCCTGTACTAAGCTACTGTTGCATGTACTTTATAGTAGAGCACTGGGATTCAATGGTGTTTGAGTTCTTGGGAAGGACACTTTACGATAATTGCCTTTCTTCACCCATAAGTGTAAATGGGTACCTAATTTGGGCTGCTGCAGAAATCTTTTCTCGTGGCCTGATGAACAGGGGTAATAATTGTGAAGCGCTTTGAGACTTTGCTATAAAGTGCAATGGATGACCTCATAATTATTATGTGTCTTTCTCCATTCAAGCTGCATGAGTGGATTCTCAAGATGAAGTTTGTCTTCACTTACATCGCTCCATGGCAGATCACCTGGGGTTCGGCATTCCACGCGTTCGCTCAGCCATTCAGTGTGCCTCGTATCCTTTGGAAGCAAAAGAATCAATTGTTAAACACGCCAAATCTATTGGGTCAAGTTTTTTGTTTACCAATTGTTTGTAATCTATGTATCCCATTGGATTAAATAACTTGAGTTTACATCAGAACTTAAATATTGGTGTTTTATCTCATGAAATTGGCAGTGCTGTGTATAAGTGGACTGGTTTGTGTGGTTTAAATCAGAGTTGAAAAGCAATTTGACAATTTGTTTTGTGTCACATAGACCTCTCTGCACTATACTGTCAAGTATTTTTTTCTCCCAACCACTTGGGATAACACCGAGTATACAGTGTTTATAAAATACGTTGATGGCAAAACCCAATATTGAATTAACATCATCCTGATGCAAATTCCATCTTATGAGCTGTCAATTGTTGTAGTTGAGTCCATCAGGAGTATTCACAAGTCTCTACAAGTCAATCGGTCTCAAGTCAGGTCACATTGTTGTTGTTCATCCCCATGTTATTACTTGTGAAAGGCTTTGTGATTTACGTGTGACCTGACTTGTGATGCACTCGGTGGATACTCACCGAATGCTTTTTCTCCACACCACCCTGCGTCGTGCATTATTCTCCTTAACCGTTATCACCTGACCAGACTCTGCCATGCTGTTCCTGCAGACGCTCATCTCGGCGTTCTTCTCCACTCCTCTCAACCCCATCCTAGGCAGTGCAATATTCATCACCTCCTACCTCCGACCCATGAAGTTCTGGGAGAGAGATTACAAGTGAGATGACCTCTCTTTGCCTCGTGATACCTCTTTCAGAGAATCCTTTGCAGGGTTTTAGATCCAGCTTTTAATTAAAAAATTAAAAATTTGGGCGGGGGGGAGAATGAAATTTTTTTTTTTTGGTAACAGAAAAAAAGACCCAAAAAGATTAGATGTTGTTACCAATGCCAAATTTCATGGCACTGCTAAGCACACATTTTTTTTGTCAACAGTATTTGTCTATTTCACAGGGACCATTAGCAGTAAGCGCAGCAAAAGGCATGCTAACTTTAGAGGAAAATTTTGCTTAAATTCGATGTAGTCATGTAACAACAGAAATCGCCATGTGAGTGCAGCCCTATGCACATTCATGCTGTGAAATAGTGCTTAATGTCAGCATAATTTATGCCATAGTTAGAACACCTTTTCTGTTAAATGTTTAACAGCGCCACGAAGTCGACTCCTGATTTGTGAGGGGACTAGAGTCATTAGTCGACAAGTCCTTCTATTTAGAGGCATATAGGATAATTTGCTTTTCGTGTATTTTGCTAGTTTCCAATAATTACACCACTCAAAATCCAAAGAAGAACATTCAAAGCCTCTGTTAAAGTTTCAGCGTAGTGGATATTGCACTTTTGAGAAAATGGTGAAAAACCATGCACAACCTTTGGATCGCGAAACACGATTTTGTCTATAAAAGTCTTTATTTCCAACATGTCAATTGACTGATCGTTGGAAATCACCTACATTTCATGATTTCTTCTAAATGACGGCAAACCAGACGGAATAATTTCACAGGGTGTTGAGTACCAGTACAATCTTTAATCTAAGTAAGATTTTTGAATAAATCGGTAGGCTACTTTTGGGGTAACATGCAGATGATCCTATGTGCCTTGAAATCTTGCACACAAAAAATCTGGTTTTAATTGCGGCATTTTATCATGTGCAGCACCAAGCGAGTGGACCACTCCAACACCCGCCTGTCCACCCAGCTGGACAAGAACCCCGGCTCGGACGACAACAACCTCAACTCCATCTTCTACGAGCACCTGACCCGCTCGTTGCAAGAGACGCTGTGTGGAGACCTGGTGGTGGGCCGATGGGGGACCGTCATCGCGGGCGACTGCTTCATCCTAGCCTCCGACTACCTGAACGCGCTGGTGCACGTCATCGAGGTGGGCAACGGACTGGTCACCTTCCAGCTCAGGGGACTGGAGTTCAGAGGTGCGGACAAAAACGTTCAATCTTGAAAAACATGGATGTAATGTGTTCATACTGTTGATAAAACACTTGCACATTGTGCCTATATTTAACTAAGGATGAGATACCGCGCATAAACTTTTACAGAAGCCTTTACTTTGTCCTGTAGAAGTTCAGCATTTTGTCTTGGATTTGTTCAAGACAAACAGAAGGACTGTTTTCATACTAGAGGGCTCAGATAGGTGTTCCAGACAAGAGTGGTTTGTGGTTTCCAGAGATGGGCCTTGGATTTCTCCACATAAACTGTGACTTCTCCCTGTATATTAGTGCTGGGCGGTTCAGGCGGGTACCTGTTTCTACCCGAGTCCAACACGAGAACCAGAACCGTGAATCCAATCCTTTTGAGAACCATGTACCCGCTATGTTCAGTTCCGGCTCTAAAAGAATCGGTTTCAGGATGAGTTACTCCATTCTCTGTGCACAAACCCCGGAGCTGAGAATCGGCTCCATAAACAGTCACTGCGTCCAGTCAAAACATCGGAGGGGAAAAAACCACACAGACACACACACTGAGACAAACAGTACGGCCAAGCTCTTTTTGGCCACGAAGCATAGAGCCATAGACCATTTGTTGAACCCTACGGTGACCCTGTAGACTTGGGATTGGTATTTTTATTTTCTGTGCCCAAGAGTGGGGACTTTGGTTGAACTTGAGTGGAAATATAAAAATTGGCCCTATACTTCTGTACAGGTGATCCCTGACCTTGTTGAAAGTATACATGTTGTCTTATCTATCTTATGGTTGAAACAAAACAAAAAATATTTTACAGATATATTTTTTGCTTCCAGTGAAAAATGTCTTTTCTTTTGAAATGACTCCTGATGACGGCACAAATTATCATTTAGGTTTACTAAAAATTGCTTTTTTACTACTGAATTGCTGCAGGCATGAATGTTGAAGAGGTAAAAATGAGCTGATTTACAACATTGTTTTGGGTTTTTTTGGGGGTTAAATAGGAACTTACTGTCAGCAGAGGGAAGTGGAAGCCATCACAGAAGGAGTGGACGATGATGATGGTATGTACCAAAGGAAAGTAAATACTGATAAGCAAATTTATCCACTTAGTAAGGAAATCTGCCAAAAACCAGTAGCATCATCATTTAGTCTTGTGGCAAGTTGGCTACTGACTGTTTTTTTTTTACCCGAACAGAATTTTTTTGTGGTCAGGTGGATGGACAAGACCATTAGAAACACACAGAGAAATAGTCAGTGTCTTTACTTGGTTTATAACATTTTCAAAGCCATTTATTAAACTAAAGCTTTTTTACCCCTTTCACTGTTTTCATTTAACCAAAGGCTTTTTTGTGATGTTACCCTTAACGCAGCCCTGAAGACTATCAGAACTTTATTATTATTATTATTAGTAATTATTTCTGGTAATGAAACCAAGGAATCCTCAATAGTGCCCCAGGCACTGTAGCTCACAAGCCTGAAGAAAGCTGTAGAGATTAAAGACAATGAGAAGAAATTACACTTTTACACTTTTTTTTCCAAACTATTTCTTGTCAGGTTGTTGTTGCTGTTACCCAGGCCACCTACCCCACTTCTTGTCAGCCAATGCAGCCTTCAGTCAGCGTTGGTTAGCTTGGGAGGTCATCGCCAGCAAGTACATCTTACAGGGCTACAGCATATCAGACAATTGTGCGGCTTCCATGCTGCAAGTCTTTGATCTACGCAAGATCCTCATCACCTACTATGTCAAGGTATAGTGAATTTCTCTCAGGGACATGTCCAGCGACCACAATCGCGAGCAGTTACTGAAGTAAAACCATACTCATTTGCATGTCACACATGTTCTGAAATATGAGGCGTGTATGAATTTTATGAACCCTATTTTGCTAGAATGAGAATGTCAAAGGGTTGGCATGGGTGGCTAGTGCCTAAAGCACTCACCTCTCACCACTGTTGCCCAGGTTTGATTCCCGCCTCGGGTCATAAGTGTGTAGAGTTGTTCGTTGATTCTCTCCTGTGCCACGAGCTCTGGTTCTCCTGTTTTCCTCCCTCTGCAAAAATCAACGCTTTCAATCTCTGGCTTTGGTCAGAGGCTGCCTATTGCACCTTTACATGCCTTTGGCTTGACCACGTTGTAGGCGCATCCTTCGCAATTCAGCCTTATGGCTGTGAGTAAGGATAATTAGCACCCCAATATGATTATTATACAGGGTCGATAAAAAAACACGAAACGAAGATATTATTGCTAATTGGAACAAAAGTAGGGCACATGTGAATCAAAGGGAGATATCCTCTGTTAGGGTTAAATCTCCTCTTTAAAATGACACCCTGATCATGTCCTTACATTCACGGTTGACTGAGCAGTGACCAATTTTATGAAAGGGTCTATTTAGAGAGTTGTGCCGCTCTTCATGGTGAAATTTTTTTCCCCATCTGCCTTGATTGGCAACCATGGCCTTTCACTCTGCGACAAATGACACCACAAAAACCACAATTGGAAAGTGGCGCAATTCTCTATTTAAAATAGACCCTTTCATAAAATTGGTCACTACTCAGTCAACCGTGAATGTAATGACATGATCAGGGTGTCATTTTAAAGAGGAGATTCAACCCTAACAGAGGATATCTCCCTTTGATTCACATGTGCCCTACTTCTGTTCCAATTAGCAATAATATCTCGGTTTCGTGTTTTTTTTCCACCCTGTATTGTTATAAGTTTATTATGTTTTCTAGTAAACATTATATGACTTGTATTTCAAGATTGACTGGCATGTAAACGTTTAATCCACTGTTTAAAAGCCTGACAGTTGGAAATTGGCTTTGGCTAAACTTTTGAAGGAGGAGATCACCGGTTCTCCTCTGTTGTTGGGGATTTGACTTTGAAAATTTCCAGTTTTGTTAAATGTCTTGACTTGTTAGGAACTGGTCTGTCATTTCAGTCGATGTATAGTGAGGCCTAGGGAGAATGACCTTGTGGTTATGATTTCATGACTCAGCGATCAGATGGTCAGGGGTTCGAATCCAGCTGCTGGCCATCTATGTCCACGGGCAATCCATTCCAACCAACCTGCCTGTCTAAACCAAGGAGTATGAATGGGTACCGTCATTACCGAGGGAGTAACCCACAATTGACCAGCGTCCCATTTAGGAGAAATCAAAAATATTCTCAGTCATGTCGTGCCAAGGAAACTGGAGATAAACACCAGCCTGGTAGAGTTTTTTAAAAATCTTTTGGCCCTTAACATGTCCACACCTTTCATCTCTACAGAGCATCATCTACTACGTAGTCCGCTGCCCCAAACTGGAGCAGTGGGTCGTCAACGAGACAATCCAAGAGGCGTTGAAGGATTGCAGCGAGGATCGATACACGGACTGCGACCCGACCTTCACCCCTAAGATTGATGAAGACTACGACCTGCGACAGAGCGGGATATCTAGAGAGAGCTTCTGTAACTGTTACTTGGGTTGGATACAGCACTGTGCCAGCAGGAGAGAAGAGGTACATGATTTGATGCCTTTATGATTTGAAAGACATAATTGTGGGTGAGCACATCTGTAATTGTTTTGACAAATTCGGTTAAGAGTCCAGAAGATGTCCAGTGTCAGACCATAATTCATCCTCATGCACTAGTCCTTTATTATAGCATGCAAGTTTTGCCAGTCCATATTTGTGTTTTATGTGAACATCCTGGTACCAAACACTGTCCTGGTACCCAACACTGACTAGTCTAGTCACAGACTCCCGTGTTTGAATTTACCCATTGTTATCTGCGTGATTGTTTGAACTGAAGTTGAAGTAATTTTTTTTTTTAATTTTTAGTAGTTGTCCATTCGCAGTATTTTCAATAAGTTGTAAATTGCGATGATTTCAGTTCATTCGAAATATTTATTTGTTGCCCTTGATTGGATTGGCCAGTCAGGACAAAAAAATAAATGCAAAACGTAGGACGTCACACACATTGTACATACTTTACATTGTGCCCGAATGCATGCTCAACAGTAAAAATTTGTTTAATTAAACATTCCTGATAACACTAGCCCTCTGTTTCTCAGTCCGATGTCTATTACCATGAAAAGACTGTTGACAGATATTTTCCAATTTTTGCTATACCTACAGGAGTTGGACAGTAGCAAGCCGTCTTGGTTGGTAACCCTGTGTTTTGCCCTGTGTCTTCTGGGCAGGCGGGCGCTGGGTACCGCCTCACACCATCTATCAACGAGGTAAGGCATTACTAGTTTGAACACAGACTTAAAAAGGCGGATTTTGTGGAAAACCATTTAAAGTTGATTGTTAGGTTGACATGTGACGTAGGGTTCGACCTAATTTACATATCTCCTCGCATACCAATAAGGTGCTGCGTTAAGCATGATAAATGAGTGTACAGGAAAAGGTCAATCAAACTAAAGAGGAGGTGGCAAAGCCAAGACGTATAGCAACCAATAAGATAATAGAAACACGAGGCCGTTGCCTGTCCTCATATAAACATGTGTTATGGGGTCAGCTCTCTAAGGCAACACTGACAATATAATTGCTCTCTGCCTGACATACATTATCACACACAGATTGTTAAAAGTCGGCTGTTTTTCATCAGCAGTAATTTGTAGGGTTTTACCGTGTGTGACACTGAGTTGTAATCAAGTCAAAAGATCATCATAGGTCAATCATAGGTCAATCATAGGTCAATCGTAAATCAGTCACAAGTCATCACAAGTCAATAACAAGTCAGTCACAGGTCATCACAAGTCATCACAAGTCATCACAAGCCATCACAAGTCATCACAAGCCATCACAAGTCATCACAAGTCATCACAAGTCAATCACAAGTCAATTACAAGTCAGTCGCAAGTCATCACAAGTCATCACAAGTCATCACAATACAGTCCCGCCTGCGCCGTCTCTTTGCACAGCTGTTTTCATTGTTTTCTCCTCATTCTCTGTCCCAGTATTCTGGAGTCCTTCCTGTACGGTCTACACGCTCTCTTCAAGGGTGATTTCCGCATCACCTCAGTCAGGGATGAGTGGGTCTTCACTGATGTAGAGATGCTCAGACGTTGTGTGGCCCCGGGGGTCCGAATGTCTCTCAAGCTCCACCAGGTAAAATTAAGAATCATGTTTTTGAACTGTAAGGTAACTATCAGGAATAACTATACTTCATACATAATCATGATCCAAAGCTGAAGTCTCACTGTTCAATTCACCATCACGTGCCATATGTTATTTTTGCTGTTTACCAAGCGCGCTAGGATTCACGCACAGGGTAAACCTGTACGGGTTACCCGTGCAACAGTCTACAACGCATGCACTTTACAAAACAATCTTGGAGCTGTCGCACGGATGTAGTACACACGCGCAATCATCGCCCAAGCTACACACGAAGAGATGGTTGCATGGTACGCATAAATGTTCGTTTTCCCGAGCTCAATGATGCCGAACTGGAGAATATTTATGGACAATAGAGATGCCTCCTGTACAAAAGAAAGTTGTCCACAAACTATTGTATCTACAACTGTACTGTATTGCAAACGAACTGAACTGGTGAATTTGAGCAATAATATTCTTTCTCCGAAGATTTTGTTTTAGTTCCATACTGCAATGAAAAAAAAATCGGCAGCTGAATGTGCATGAGGTATAGTAATACAAATATAACATGGTTTATTTCGGGTGGACAGTCGATATTAGCTCCCCTCGGTATTGGAAGTTGACAAACTAGTTCCCTCGGCTTCGGCTCGGGAACTAGTTTGTCAACTTCCAATACCTCGGGGAGCGAATATCGACTGTCCACCCTCAAACCATGTTATATTTGTATACTGTCAAATGTAAGATGAAGCCTATGTCCTTTATGGCTGTGACACAGGGGTGTGTCAAGTCACAATAGGGTGTCAATCAGTTTGATGGTGTGTCAAATACGCATCACTCTTCTTCAGTTAGTACAATACAACCTGGAAGCAGTTTGTCAAAATATTGCTAAATGTGGTCACAAGTCTACATTGGGAGTCAAGTTGGTGTAACGGTACTTCCCTCACCGTCCACCTCTGTGACCCGGGTTCGAGTCCCACCTCGGCCAATATGTGGATTGGGTTTTGAGTCCCTACTTGATTCCATGAGTTTCCCTCGGAATATTCTTATGGGGTTTTCCTCCCGCCTCTAAAACTGTAATTTCTTCATATTGTCTTCTCTTTTACCGGGCCCCATGGAAGACCAGTGGATTCCACTGAGTGGGTTACCCAATTAAGATAAGAAATCATAAATAAAGCATCACTACTCTGACGCAGGGGGTGTGTAGATCCCACACAAGGTTGCCTCACTGTTGGACAGTGGCACATCTCTCCTGTGGGTCATGGGGTCCGTCCTATGATCGGTGGGTTCGTTACTGGGATGAATCTGCGTGTTTATAGTTACTTGGTGTCTGGTCTGTACTGCATTGCAAGGAAATATGAAGGCTCACGCACACACCCTCTTGTTCGTTTTCAGGATCATTTTACGTCCCCAGAGGAGTACGAGGACCACCAGCCATTGTACGATGCCATCACCAGCCATGAACAGAACCTGGTGATAGCCCATGAGGGTGACCCTCAGTGGAGGAATGCTGTCCTGTCTAACACCCCGTCACTCCTAGCTCTCAGGTAGGCTGGCCTAAGCAGTATGCTCTACTCCTGGAAAGAAGAAAAATCAAGCTATGTGGCAGGACATTTTCGAAACCTTGAAATTGTTCTCCTCATCTGGATCATTACTACAAACAAACTCCCATTGGGGATGTACAGGTTGTACATGCATGGGCTCTTCAACCAATTCAGTTTTTTTCTTGAAATTTTTTTCTAATTTGTATTATTATTTTTTTTGGGTGTATGTAACCCTCTGGAAAAAGGCTTTTTTTATTAGGGTTGCTTTTGTACCTCTTTTAACGCACAAAAGGAGCCACCTGAATTATTGTCAGGTTGCAATTATTCAAATTTGTAAAGTATTTACTGCATGCCTAAATATGGGTGGCTTTTTTGTGACGTCTCATTCAAAGTTGAGTAACTTTAGTATTGATAGAGAATAAGCTACTCAAAAATAGCATCGGGAGGGTAACTTCAAGTTTTTCCCATGTGCTGATTGGTGGTACATGGACGTAAATATTAGCAAGTGCCATGGTTGTATTTTACAACATGTTATTTTTTTTTAAATTGAGGCAACGTCAATAGATATGTGTTTTTTTGCATGTCGCATGCTTTCCTAAAGTCAGGGGATTGCACACATTTTGTTACCCCATTTGTCGAGGTGCATTGAATGTGAGTGAATGACCTTTGCAAAATTCTAAGGTTGCTGAAGTTGTCTCTATATGTACCCCTAAATGCTAATGTTTTGGCATCCTCAGCTGCCAATAAATAAATATTCTGTTTTATGGTGGGTTTTGCACTTTTACCGACGTATTATAAAAGACAGTATACTCGTCATTGTCCGAGGGTTTGCAAGAAAAATTCACAAGCTTAATTCGGGTGGGACTCGAACCCACGACCTCCTGCTTACTAGTGCAGACGTTTTACCACTCGACCACCAAGCATGCCGGGGTCGGCTGGCCGGTTTGAGTCTGATATAGCAGCGGGTACCGCAACCAAACTTTTAAAAGATGCATCAGGGAGGAATACATTTGGTTTTGCTCTTTGCCAACATATTTTATTTACATCTCCCCGACACAAATTCCATCTTTTTAAAAGATATTCTGCTCAATTTAAATTGTTCAATGTTTTGTCATTTTTTTTTATTTGACATAAATTGTTGGCTCTGTCTATTCAGACATGTCTTGGACGAAGGCTCTGACGATTACAAGATCATTATGCTGAACAAGAAATACCTGAGCTTCAGAGTTATCAAGGTAGGTTTTGATTACTTTTAAAGTTGAACAAAGAAATTGACTGGAGCGGGGTTTGAACCTGCCACCTCCGGATTACTGTTCCGGTGCTCCTCCAACTGAGCTATCCAGCCCTATGTTGGCGGTTCCCCATTTTGTCGATGTCTTTATTCAAGGGGTACTAGTCAGAAGCCATGTAGCCAGGGAACATGCTATTAGCAACATTCCATTTTTTACAAAGAAGTTTGAACCATGTCTTTTAGGCAGATGATGTGTACATATCTGGGACTATCTGCATCATCAGTCATAGTCACATCAAGGTTGAGTGGTTCTGGTCTTAAGGAATGTTAAAGGTACTGTCGTTGCGGGAAACTTTGAATAGGTTTGGTTGGTCCACGAGACTTCTGCTAGCTTTGTGTCCTTGGTTGGTCTTTGTCTTGATTAGGTGTGGCAGAAGGCTTGACAACAAAGTGCTAATCGCCTTACTAGCAGAAAGTATTGCCCTGCAGCTGATTTTGCTTGGAGGGGGGGGGGGTGCAAAATGCAACAAAATATCTATCTGATGTTCTCTCTTTGCCTTGCTGTTCTCAGACTGTATACAATACATGCATCTTTACATTTTCAACTTGTTGTTCCAGGTGAACAGGGAGTGCGTGCGTGGATTATGGGCAGGCCAGCAGCAAGAGCTGGTCTTCCTCCGTAACCGCAACCCAGAGCGAGGCAGCATCCAGAACGCCAAGCAGGCGCTGCGTAACATGATCAACTCATCCTGCGACCAGCCCATCGGATATCCCATCTACGTCTCGCCGCTGACCACGTCCTACGCAGACAGCAGCGAGCAGCTGGCCAGTATCATCGGAGGGCCACTGAGCTTCGGTAACATCAAAGCCACGGTCATCAGCTGCTGGAGAAGGTCCGTATCAGAATTGTTCTTTCTTTTTTTTTAGTTCATATTTTGGTTGATTTGTAATTATGTGAGCCCTGTTTAGAGATGTTTAAAGATATAGTCCATCATTTGTAATTTGTGCATTTTGTTCGTTTGAAGCAACAAAGGTGCTCAAAATCTAAAGAAGGGTACTGAACAACTAACCTGATGAAGTTTCAGCTCAGCTTCAGCTGTATATTCCAAGAAAAACAGCATTCTAGGGTCTCAATTTCAAATCAAAAGTTGCTGAATCATGTTTTGAATTGGGCCTGAATTCAGCATCTGAGACACGTTCTCACTGAGCCGATTGCAGTTACGCGATGTCGCGCACTGATCCGACGAATTATAGCAAGTGCGTGTGCGTCGTGCCAATGCTTGCGCGCGCTTCGCCGAATAACAAAACGAACTACTAATTAAAATTTTCCTATGGTGCGTCTTAAGAAGCACCGTTGGAAAGGCCTTCTTTCGTTGATTACTTCAAAATGACAGCTTGCCAGAAAGAATAATTTCACAGGGAGTTTAGTCCCCTTACTATTTTTCAACCAAGTACGTTTTTCAACAATAATTACGCCAGTTACTTTTCGGATAGCTGCAAATGATGGACTATAGCTTTAACAAATTGACTGATCATTTAGGCCCTGCATATGTGGGCTTCAACATGTGCATGCTCCAGATGCGTGCATCATACGCAAATCCATGTATGTCGGAGTTTTTGTGCATGCGTGTCAGGCATAAATCACAGCTGTGATTGGTTAAAACATTTGTGGGCGGGGCTTAGTTGATCAGTCTTTTCATGATTTTACTCTCGCATGCATAAATGTGAGGTGTTCTGGCAGAATGAGACAGAACTGGGCAGAGGCCGTAGTGGAGAAAAATGCAAACAAGAAATGATTGGGTTGATTTTTTTTTTCAATTTTGAGATTTATTGTTACTTGTAATCTTTGATGTGTCTACTACGCGTGTTGAAAAAAAAGGTAAAAATTGTGAAATAAAGTGTTTTTAAGGAGAAAAATATTGGCATCTTTCATTTTCACGACTAGCAAACTCAAAACTTTAAAAGCCTTTTTCTCAATGTTTTACATTTTTGACATGTCAACAGGGTTTGCCCTTAACTTTTTTTTTGACTATCCAGCCGGACCAGTTGGCTAGAATTTTGACTGGTCCGCCAGGTTTTTGACTGGTCCGTCTTATACAGCGTGTGCCGACCAGTTAATCAGTTTCACATAATTAGACTCACAGATTATTAAAAATGAAAAACTTACTTTTTGTGGTATTGTATTGTTCGAATTTGTAAGTCATTGACATGACAAGGTCCTCTAAAAAATAATGCAGATCATCGACCGATGCCTGAAGCCTAGGCTAGGCCGACCACGCGACGATCCTAGCGAACGTATGCTTTTCAGTTGGTATCCCTTGTGAGCGATTCAATATTAAAAGCTCATGCAATTTATGCCGGCCACCAGCGACTCCTTCATGCTTCATGCCGGTGTCATGTGAAAATCGGACTCCTATAAAAGTAATCGCACTCCTCACGTAATTGGTCATTCTAATAATCATCACATGTTAGACATGCGCAATTGTGGAGGCTGAAGTATGACGTTGTCGGTGCCGCAACCTTCATAACGAACGGACCAATCATACTAAAACAGGAATGGGAAATGTTTTGAGCGCCGTTTTAGATGGCCAATCAGCTCGATCCATGCAGTGCGTGGGAAACAGCACGTGTCACGATGTTTGCTTGTGGACCCAGCAGGACGGGCGTAGGGGGGCTCTTGTAACGTGATCGCACAGGTTTTTTTCCCACGATGAGAAATCATGGCTTGATATTACGCTTTCTTTTGGAGTATTTTCTTTTCTCGACTTTTATCTGGACGGCTCATCGTATGATTCATGCGAGTCCCTTCCCTTTGCACGTCGGTACCGATGAATAATCAACGGACCAATCGTACAAAAACATGAATGAAACAAATGTTCCGAGCGCGGTTTTAAATGGCCGTTCAGATTCTTTTAAAAGGGCGTTTTTAGATCGATGAATGCAGTGCGTGGGGAAAAGCACGTGTTTCAACCCACTCTGTGCGGAACCAGTGTGGAACTGCGGATATGCGTATCATGCACTGACATGTACAGCCACGCACATGACGCAGGTGTATTCGGGGGCTTTCGTAAACAAAGTTAAGTGTACGCTTTACGGTAGATCGGACAAGAGTTTTCCCCACGATGAGAAATCATAGCTTTTTTATTGCGCTTTCTTTGAAATATTTTTCTCTCTCAATTTCCCTGCATTGGACGGCTCAGCATCGCATGTGAATCCAGGCGAGTCCCTTCCATTTGCACGTACACCTCGCACGCATATAGCGCGGAATCTTGCTCCGTGACTGAAGCCTGTAAGTTTTGGCGGTCATAGATATTGATTGACACGTTTGTTCTTGTTGCTGATATTCTTGAGAACTATGTTTTGGCAAAAATTACGCATGATGCTGTAGATTTCAAATCTCTCAAACAATCACGGAGAAACAATTATCAGACCAGTTTTTTGTCAGGACCGTCAAAACATTGTTTGAACTTTCCGTGAGCACACTTTACACACAAAGAAAACCGCAAACACAGCAGCGTAAGCAGAACTACAAAGGCCTTAAAGTATCAGGTTTTCTAGTCGAGCTTAACAATTGCGTCTTATCTGTCAACAGTAATTGACAATGCAGACATGAAAGTGGATGCCTGGAACCACAAAGAATGGAATCAAACACGTCAAAGAGGTTGTTTGACTTTCTGTTTGAATTAAAGGCTTTTGCGAAGATTCTGAACACTAAAGATGAATACCGCGGTATTGAAATTCCATACCGAGTTCACGGTTGCATAGAGCATTTTTGATCTGTGATGCCCTTGCCGATTTTTTCGGCTGGCCAGCCGGACCACTTGGCAAGGTGTTCAGCTGGTCTGCCGGCAATTCAACTGGCATTTGGCCAGCGGACCACCGCTAAGGTCGAACCCTGGTCAATAAAGACGAACTTTAAACAGCCATAACTTGTCAACAAACAGTATTGTAAGGAGAATTTTATTCTCTTTCCTAATACCCGCAAACCCTCATTTCAAACTCTGCCCAGTTCTGTCTCATTTCGCCAGAACGCCTCACAAATGTGAAGAGGATAACTCACGGAGTTAAAGAAGTGTTTACTTTGGCCCTAAGTAGGAGTGCATTCTTGTGTCTAAGAGTTAAAAATATGACACCCCCATCTGATAAAGTGTAGGCTATGCATTGTGCATTTTCATCAAGTTTGTAAAAATGATTGTGAATTATTTTCAATTAATTTCAAATTGAAACAGAGTTAATTGTGAATTGATTTTTGGTGAATATCATGTGGGCAATTCCACGGTTACTCACGTTACATTTTTGATGTACTTTGGAGTTTCCTTGGGCTGTAATTACCTTACTGAAAAGGTTTAATAACTGTTATCCCCATGTTAGATAGAGTAGACCTAGACCGAAAATGTAACGTGAGTAACCGATTTTGTGCGTCTTGTTTATCATACCTAACACATTTTTCTGGATGTCATCTTTGGTGCTTAGGTAGGTCTAGGTCTACTCTATCTACCATGGGGATAACAGTTATTGAACCTTTTCAGTAAGGTAATTACAGCCCAAGGAAACTCAAAAGAACGTCAAAAATGAAACGCGAGTAACCGTGGAATTGCCCATGTGATATTTCTAATACTCTGCAAAATTTATAGGTGAGGTGTCATAGAACAAAATATTGACCGTTTTTGTAATAATTTGTGAAACTAGCTGCCTGCAGTGATTTGTGGAGCATTGTACATTATACATCAAGGAGGGCGGTATAGTTTTAGAAGAGTAAGTAATTGTGTCCATGTTTATGACAGGATCCGCATGCATTGTGTGACGGGCTGTAGCAGCGGGGGTGGGGGACCTGACGGAGGGGACAAGGATGACACAGAGACGGTCACTGGGGGAGGGGCCAACACAAGCCACACCCTCAACTCACAAGGTACGAATTGTGTAACGTTGCTTGACAAAGAAAGGCTTTATAATATGATTCAGGAAATCTCTAAACTCAAGATCTTCCCGAAATGTGGAACACTTCTTTTTCATTCAACATTTTCCCTTCTGGAAAAGGGGTTATCAACTGAAGATGTGCAAGCAAAAAGAGTGTTAACCACTCCGCACCAGGATTATTTTGACATTGACCGGACCCAGGGGCGGGATTGTTTTTCACAAACCTCGATGCCAGACGGGTTCAGGCCATCATCTGCAGGTAGCACACCCTGATATTTCCAGCCTCGCTTGCTGCGAGTGGGTGGCAGACAGATATTTCTGGCCTCACTCCCTGCATGTTTATCTGTCATCCGTTCCGAATACCGCAAAACCTTTGCGTGTATACACGTTTTCCGACGTGATCTAGTTAAAGTATGATGAGCCTTTTTAAAACTTTTCTTTAACTCTATCAAATTCAGGAGAGAACACGTCTCAACCCCAGCAGGGCTCCACGGGCCAATCCGACACCTCCTCCCAGCAGCTACAGACCCCAGGTCACAACAGACACAGTCTTGGGTCCAGCACGGGGTCCGTGGGGAAGCAGGGGATGGGGCGCATCCCGCTGGCTACTCTGTTTGGGGATTCGGCGTACCACAAGGACCCGTACCTGGGCCACAGAGTTAGGGTGAGTCAGACCAGGGCCCAATACCATGGCTCTGCTAACCACAGCATTCTGCACTTACGATCACTATTCTGTGCTAGCAGCACTAGCAGAAAAATTCTGCGCTAATTCTGTAAGCACAGAATCCTTAGTTACGAGATGTACGCATGCGCAGAAGCCAAAATTCCTCGCTAACCTGTGAAATACGCTTACCGTAAGCACGGAATTATCTGCTACAGTAAGCAGGGATTTTTCGCTAACGGTAAGCAGAGCCATGAATTGACATGTGATTCAACTTGTGATTGAATCAACTCAGGCTTACACAATGCAGTGCACCACCAAGAGTTTGCTACGGAGAGTCAATTTTTCAAGTTTACGGTCGACAAAACATGGCCCATTTGAACGAGTATCAGTAGACAACTTGAGCTAGTTTGTTATAGATTGGGGCATAGCGTTCTGCCGCCTTACAAAAAACACCATATTGATAAAAAGAAAAGAAAAGGGTAAACAGATACTCGAATCATACGCTTACAAAACTACTGACCAGACAAACTAACAATTTCAAATAGCCCGCGCTACGAATTTGTCAATCATCTCCCACAATGCACTGGGAAAAATGAACTCTCCATGGCGAACTCTTGGTGGCGCACTGCATTGTGTCAAATTCCTGAATTGTAACTTCATATAAAGCTGTTTCAGTTTATACAAGGTGCTCATTGACAACCACAATAAGGAGGCATGATTGAGGTGGTACAATGCCCCATCACATAGTCTTATAGTTGAGACCTAAAAAAAATAAGGGCAACCCTATAGCACCTGCCTGCACCTGTTTGCAGGTGTGGTGCTTCTTCAGTCATAGAGGCAGCTGGATCAGTCTGGAAGCATTCCATTGACCATTGTCTTGTTTCCTACACACCCACCCACAGATTATGGATCCAAGTCTGGTCTACGACACCCTCAACAATAGCAAGTTTGTCATGTGGCCTGAGGAGAGCATGCGATCAACGGGAGGCAGGAACTCCTGGAAGAGCTGGTACCCGGAAGAAGGCATGGAAGGTGCAGTGGTCCACACTTGGGTACCGTGCCATCGGGACCAGTCTCGCAGGTCGCACATTGACAAGACGATACTCTTGGTCCAGGTCGGCCACCGGTATGTCCCCATTCCTGAAGGGGCGGTCTTGGACCTGGGCGCTGAGGTTTGACGAAGGTTAATTGACACTGTGAGACAGACAGCGTGACGTCAGTGGTGGACCAATCACAGATGTGCTCCCATTCCAGAATGGGCCTTGGCTTTGAGGTGGGATGATGCCAAGTGGCCCACTGTGAGAAACGGAGAGAATTAGAAATTTGGAAGTTGAACCAATCACAGATCGATTCCCATTCCAGAAAGTCGAAGTTTGGGACCTGGTTTTGGGTTTGTTGATGTCAGTTGACGACCCTGAGCAATAGAGAGAGAAATTGAAAGTTGACCCAATCACAGATCTGTTCCCATTCTAGAACGGTCTAGACCTTGGCACTGAGGGTTTGATGATGCTTATTGACCCCATAAGAAACAGGGGGAGGAGGGTTGACCCACTTACAGATCTGACCCCATTCCAGAATGGGCAGCTGTTTTGATTGGGACCATGAGGTTTTCAAAGTCCGCGATAAAGACTTGCCGATGAAGAGTAGCATCAGGCCCTATTTTGCCCATTCTTGAATTGGCTGATTATGACCCAGGCACAAAAGTAAAATGGCGAACCAAATTTTTACATCTGCAACTTGAAATAAAAGGCAGTGTACTTGACAGGATATTGCTACTTGAGAATTGCTGCTTAAACATTGCTGCTTGGAACCTTTTGGAGAGGGCCCCTTTTCGACCTGGGCAGAAAGTTTGTTGCTTTAGCTTTCGAAGATTGATCACGGCTTAAAGGCCAGTTGATACACGGCATTCAGAGGTTGCTTAAGCTGAACCCATTTTAACACCAGCACATTTCACTCTGCATTGCTTTGCAATGTCAGTTCCAATTTCATTTGCATTCACCTGAAGTATGTACTGACCTTAATTTCCGAGTGAGACCGCCGTGTTATATAAGATATTTATTCCGTGAACATCTCTGAACGGGTGGTTCGATGTGCTGCGCAACTCCCCAGTAGAGGTATCTTCAACATAACCTACACCACTTAAGAAAATTATTTGTAGAATTACATCGTAAAAAGGGATCAGAAGATGAAGAAAGAAAAAAAGGTCCAAGAATCCATGGTAGCAGAGGTTTTAGAATGCTGTGTCAAATGCACAAAACACAGTGACAAGCCCATTCCGACTTAATGCCACAAACTGAAATGATGATTTTTGTATTTATTTTGTAGCCACTGCGATGTAGAATATTGTGCAAACTGACAATGACATGACTGTTTTTGAAACGACTGGCTTTGGCTTCGTCTTCGGCTTAAGGAGATTTTAGGCTGCAAACTTCTTGAACTCCAGCTACATTTTGGTGCCTGATATGCTTCAGAAACATTCAATCGGTTGATATGAAACCAAAAGTTGGAATATTTTTGTTCATTTTGCCTCTCGGTGATTCAGAAGTAGGAGGCACAGCCGAAGACGAAGAAATGGTTTTGAAAAACCCATAGTGTTAGGGCTAGGGGCATCAAAATGTAAAAGTGATCAATACTCTGATGTAAATATCAGACAGTTTTGGAAAGCCTCAGTAAGTAAAAATAGATTATTTGGGAAAAAAAGTTGTTGATATTCTTAAGATAAACATTATAAAGTGCCCCTGCTCGGCGATATTTGTTGAATTTTAGGTTGGTTTTTCCCTACTGAAGATAAACCATTTATATGTCGTTAAAAAAAAAGATTTTGTATTCATCTGCTTGTGTTCAGGACCACCGGAACTGAAAATGATTTTTTTAAATGCAAAAGCTTTTGGGTTGATATGGAGCTCTTGAATTATGACATATTTAGTACAGCACTTGCAAAAACCAAATTCGCTGATTCTAAAAGGTGTACTCATATATATTGTTTTTCTTTTATGTCTACTCTCTACTTACCCAGACTTTTCAAATCAAGTGTACATCCTATATTTACGAGGTCATTCCATTGAAAGGTGGCGTTTCCACTCTAACTTAAAACCCCATAAATAGATTATAGACCCTTTAAAAGTTATAAAATGTAGCAGATTTCCAGTATATGCATACCTTTCATGTAGAAGGAGAATCTCTGTGCAGTTTTGAACTCATTCGATGATACGTTGGATACATTTCACTTCGCAGTTTTCTGAGAAGGTATACTTCAGACAAATCTGAGTAAAACAAGGCCTACATGAATGAGCATTACCACCAAAGCCTGCGCATTTTGCAATACAAGACCAGATTCATGCAATTTTGGGACAGTTTTTATCATCGATGTTGCTAACACTTTCGTTTTGTTATGTTTTTATGTACCACTTGATCTTTAGTGTTTGATCATGACCATATTTTTATTAATTTTGGCACAGAAAATCCTTTATATAATGCTCAATTTATGCTGAAGTAAGAAAAAAATCCATCCTGCTTGCAGTGTACCAATAGACCTTATTTGTAGCCGCCATCTTAGAGGGCAGCTTTTGTTATTTTAATTCAGTAACAATGAATGCACAAAAGGTTCACTCATGCCTATACCAGCAAAACAGAGGCATTGCCCTTTAAGATGGCTGCTACGCATAAGATCTATGTAGCTAATCGGTGGTGGCGGTGTAAACAAATACATTGCTATAGGAAGGAGAGGCTTCGTATATTTTCATTTTTCCAGAGCAGAATCGAAAAATCCAATTAGTAAAGAACCTTTGTTTCTCTTTGTATTCACCGATTCAAATAACATTTTTACATGTAATTATGTCCACGTTTAGGTACGAATTAACTTTATTAATGCACAAATAAGTTGCACGCTCGAATTTCACATTACGTGTGCACGGGCCATTGCCCATACACCCACACACGTGTTGCGTGAGTAGTCTGGCACCCACGCAAACAGGTCAACAGTGTGCGTTTCTTTTATTTAATAAAAATGGGTGCCAGCCATGGCGCTCGGCATCATGTTATTGACAGAAAAACATTGAAGTTTATTAAAATGTGAAATGTCAAAAAAGCAAGGTGTATAACTTCAGATAAACGTGTAAATATTTTGTCTGAAATCCTTGGAAAGGAATGTACAGATTTCGTACGCGATTTCTACTTCTTTCTCTTTTTTATTATAGTTCTAAACAAAATTGTGTCGTCGATTTTTTTTTTGCTTCTGTTTTCAAAAACAAGAAAAGTGGAATTTTCTTCTCTGTAAATTTCTGGCCATCACTCAGGCTCCCTTCTTTGTGTTTTTCCCTAAATTTGATGTAAATATGTATATAAAAAAAATCACATTAAAAAGTTATGCCATGGTTGTTGGTATGCCTTTACAGTACTTTAATAATAAAAAAATCAGTGTACAAAAAATCAGAAATTATAAACTAGTTCAGATGAATCTGAACCGTGTTAAACGAAAAAAAAATCTATGAAGTGTACTTGCGGCAGTGGAGTAACCATTATGCAATATGTAATAACGATCGTCAACATTTACAAATAAAAGCATTTAAACGGCTTCGAATTCAAAATGTACGAATTCCATATACCTTTCGGCCGTGCATCTGATAGTTTTTATTATATATACCGCAGGAAATGTGTCGCATTGCAGATTCGTGAAATAAACAAGTTGACGATCTATCATAATTGTATTGGCGTAGGTGTTTGGTACATTTATGACGTGTGTTTGATATTCTCCTATTTCAGTGTTTTGTGGTTGGTTTGTTTGTTTCAATGTTTGTTTGCTTGTTTGTCGGTTGGTTGTGTGTGGATGGCCAAATACCGCGTTTGCGTTTCACCGTCGCAAACACGTTTTGTTGTACTGTGCAGTCCACTCGTATTCGTTGATACCTTTCTTTGCGTCGACAGGAACTCTTTTTTTTAACTTCCTTTTAACTTCCTTGCCTGTTTATTTGTTAACATGATCGTAAGAATTTAGGTGGTTTTTCAAACTACAAATTCCACCCGACCGTCTGCAAGAGAACTGTGCCGAAGCACCGTTCAACTTAAGCCAATAGCGCCTGAAAGTTGACCCCTGGTGGCGCGCTTCCGGACCCCTCGATTAGGAAAATTAGCGTGTGAAAGTCGGAGTTTTTAAAACTTTTCTTTTTTTGGTACATTGATTTCTTAAGAAAATCACCCTCGGAAAAGGCCTTTGTAAAATTGTTACTAGCATCTCAATTTACGGAAACTGAAAAAAACTAAAATGTCTTTTCGGACACAATTGGTTTTTTTAAAATAAACTTGAAAGACATTCTCATTCACAAACAAATCTCAAATGACCGTTAGGCCAAAAAAAATATATATATTCGGTCTCTGGTCAGACCAAAGTTCCGGAATCGACGCGGCGACGCAGCGTTTTTTGGGGGGGGGCTTTTTTTTTTTTTTCTTCAAGCTTGGATTGTACAGACAAGGTGGGGTACTATTTTGCTTTTTTGGTGTCCTCATGTACATTGGTGTCCTCCATAATTTGCCTTGGTGCTTTCGATCATTTGCCTTGGTGCAATTTCCCATTCCTTGGTGCTCTTTGGTAAAAAAAAATTGAGGAGGTGCGGAAATAGAGGGCGCTGTTGGAGCTACCGCGGAACATTTTTGAAAAAAAAAAGATCGACGCGCATGATTAAAATCGACGCGCGCGCTGACCAGAGACCGACTTATTTTTTGTTTGGCCTAATAATAAAAACTGTATTCAAGCAAGCCCGACTAAATCTAGAATCCATCGGATGTAGGTAGCTAAATCTTCGCGTCGTTATCATTTTCGTTGTCAGGGAAGCATGAAATGTGAAAAAAACCGTGATCGAACGAGGAGACTTAGGCACGAAAATCCGGATGTGAAAGGTCGAAAATAACGTTCGTTTTTACCCATCTCCAACTGATTTCTCATTTTTTTTTCTTGTGGAATGCCAAGATAAAATTCCAACACGAATGTTTTTTGGGGTGATTACGGTTAGAAATCATTCTGTCAGTTACAGCAAGAGCAAGGGCAACCCCGTGTGAATGCCCATAGAAGGGTCGCGGAGGGGTCCGGAAGCTCAAAGACAAAACGGCGTACTTTCAGGCTCTAGGCTATATGCAGCTAAGTACAGAAATTCGTATACCGATATTATATGAATAGCCATCACGTTACCACAGTTTTCCAACTAATTGGCGTATATCACGCACTGCTTGTTTTTATGTCTTAGCTGAGTTTCACTCAGCATTTTAAATTTGAGCGATATTGTCCACTTCGTAGTTTTACGGCATTAGACCCACGCTACTCGGAATAAATAATCAACAAATGTTAAATAAATTAATAGAGTAAAAGGGGCAAAAAGCAATTCAACGTCTGTTTACCAAGGGCGGATCCGGGGGGGGGCAACGTGGGCCACCCCCCCCCCCCAAAAAAAAACCCGAATCCATTTTTTCTTTTTAAGTGACGTCGCAAGAAAGGCAGGCACTGCGTACACCACCATCTTTTTGTAAAAAAAAATTGGTTAAAGTGGTCAGAAATTGCCTCAGATCGCACCACAGAGCATCAAGAATCTATTTTTTGTCGGGGCCCATGAGCGAGCCCCGAACCTCTCGCCGTCATTTTTCCCCCACTTTTTAGGGGACCATTTTTTTTGCCCCCCCCCTAAAAAAACCACCTGTGTTCTGGATCCGCCCTTGCTGTTTACTATAGCATGCATTATCTCTGTTTCATTTCTCATTGAGAAAAAGGACGCGGCTCTGATACAGTGAGCAATTAGCATTTTCTTCGTGTAAAAGTGACTTCCGACTCCGAACGGTAACGAGGTCAGCGAAGCACACCCGTACCCCTGTCAATGCCGAATTAGTTTGTAAAGTGCCCTTATTAAAAGTCTAGTGCACAAAATATCAATCGTGCCACTGTCTTTTTGTATGGGAAATGATAGAAAATAAAGCCTTTGTTCTTCATTGGTTTTTCGGAGTGGTGTTGAACACCGGGTACATAACATCGGATTAAAACATAACTTGATATATGACATTTAATTTGAACAAGTGGTTGCTGTGTTATTGGCACCTTAGCCTTGATCTCTTCTGTTCTAGCAATTTCTATTTTTTTTCAAAGAAATCATCGTTAGGCCTAATTGTAGGTGAAGATAATGAGCTGCTCATTTCGCGCAACTGTCAATTCATCTTCAATTCTAGCTAATATGTATTTTTCTCGAAAAATCCATCGAGTTTATTTTTCTCCGATTTGTTTTTTGCACAAACAACTTTTCCCCACTGCATCATAATAATCTTCAATGAAGTGCCTGCACAAACAGTATACGTACCTAGTGCTAGAGAGAGATTATACGTAACTTATTATGCCCAAGTGCCTGCGTCATGCCTCCGGCACTGATATCAAGCCGGGACCGGAGCTCAACAATACCCCGTATTTCTCATCATAATATGCCCCCTTTTTATAGTCTCGTCATAATTTGATGCAAGGCCGATTCGTAATTATTCTCCCCCTTTTCCCCTTAGCCACTGCACTGTGTGTGAGACTTGAATAAAGCAAGGCTGCGATGCGGTCCTGTTGACTGCGTGCCCGTAGGGAGTAGAGGAAGTCGCCGGAACAGCGCGTGCGGTCTTGCCCATTCATAGTTGACGCGCGCCGCTGCTCATTATGCGCGTTTGTGCCATCCACTCGCTCTTTTTCCCCTCCTCACTTCTCCCGGTTTTGACGGGGGCTGCAAACTGCGGTGACGATTTCTCGGAGATCGTGATGCAGCAAACCCCAGTGTGTGGCGCGGTCTTTGTATCCAATCTCGATATAATACACGTGCTCCTCGCTCTGCAGTGCCTACATCAACAACGGATCTGCTGGGACACACACTACCACACAACAGCTGCGGCGTGATTTTCACATCACCCGGCCCGCGCCGGTCATCTCAGCTTGTCTTCTGATTTCATTGACACTTCAAGATTTCCTCAGATGGAACCAACATCTTCGGGAGCAGACTTTCAAGTTGCCGTAATTGTTGTTTAATTCTCCCGTGCCACTCCGGTCGTTTTATTTGCCTCGCCGGCCTGGGATATTTTCTTCCTCGGCAAAGAGTCTTATCGGGACCAACTCTGTCACGGTCTTTTGAGATTTGGCTCCAGTTTGCCCCGCCCGGGGCGCCAGAAGACATCATCTCGCCAAACTACGGTAATCGGACGGTGGGCTGCAGCGGAACGGTAAGACCATTTTGTCGTGATTTAATCAGTGATTGAGTGTGGTGAGAGTGTGGATCAGGCGTGGAGCTATCCTCCACGCGTTGAAAGCAGGGGATTTACTCAATGGTGCGTAGAAGCTAAGCGCTGTTTCAGCGCTCATTACAAGAGATCATGTAGTAACACCTTTGTCCGTCCTCGCTACTCCCCTTCGCGAACGGGGTATTTGTTGGTCCTCCCAGGACCGAGGCAGGGGCATATTTCTGTTTGTTTAAGATTGAGTACTCTCATATGCCCCTGACTTTTTACGTTATAATCGACTTTAAATCAAAATAAACTGCAATCTTATCTTTTCTGTCAAATCAAGTTTGATCACTGTTTTTAATATAGCACTAGTGATGTTTTATTTCCAGTGAATTTATAACAACTTATATAATGAATAAACTAATAATTTTTGCATTTTTTTTTTCATCAAAAGTAATTATCGGGCAAAGATAATTTTGTGTTATGCCATACGGAGCAGAATGGAAACCGATTATCCCAAATGATTCTTTGTGAAAGTGTTGCATTAATGCACCAATCATGTACGGCCTCTCGGGCTTACGTTCCCTTGTCGTTTTGATGATCAAATTATTCATAAACAAGTGTCAAATTTCAAGCTTGTATTTAGGCAGCAATGTCAAATGCATTTCTTTCAAACATCAAATTAAATGAATTTCAATGTTAGACTGCTATGTGTTTCCAACGTGTTGCTCGTTTTAAATGACAGGTGGTAGGGGGACGTCCGCGGGACGCTAGACCGCCGTCCGGGGCAACCAGCCCTTGTGCGGGAGACGGAGCGGGCATGACGGTAGCCGTGCCCGACAAAACAGCCCCAACGTCCCCATGGCGCCCTCCCCCCGACCCGCTGCCGCTCACCACCGCATCAGCCAGCCAGCCCCTCGGTCTCTGTTACCATGCCAACTTCTCTCTGGCCTTCCTGGACGGCGGGCGTGACGTCGGTGATGACGTAGTCGACGCGGACGACATACGTACCATCCTCGAGCTCGCAGGTAAAAAAACATCAACGAAGAAAAACAGTGAAAATTGCGTACGTGATCCTCGCACGGCATTACAGCCCAATCCAGTTCATTCATAATTTATTACTCACTGACGCTTTATTAATGAAATGACGTAAATATGGGAGGTTCAAATGAGAACAACCTCGTGCCATTTACAAAAGGGTGAACTCGTCTTCTTCTTTTTCATATAATGACGTCGAGTTTATTGACTTACAGTAGTGCCAGTGCTGATCGCATCGTCATTGCCATGAATGGCTATAAATATTACTTGCTTACGTTTTTGTGACCCGGTAAAAATACGCGGCAAAATTGGCAAGAGCCTAAAATATCTCGTTGCGCACGTAGGCGAGCGGGTTTTTTCAACTGTGACACAGGGCGATTTATAGATGTAGATGGGGAAAAAAAGGTTTTCTTTCAAAACAAGGGTAAAGAAAAATGATTTTTTTTTTTAAGCATAAACAACAAACAACATTTCCAACCAAAATGTAATATTATTTTTAATATTAAAATAAGGGAAAAACATTTCAGTCGAAGAATCGATTAATCCATAATGAATCGGTAGCAAGTTAAAGAAACAATGCAATAAAAATACACGATATTTTAGCACTTTTTCGTGAATATGACATGAAAGCTTGGACCATTGCGGCATTTCGCTGAACCAAAAAATGGGAGAACGTTTGTTAATTCAACGAAATCAATTCAACAAATTCACTGACAAGGTCAAACAGCCCCCTTCCTCCATTTTATTGAAGTGGGGAAAAAATAAGAAATAATAGCACCAGTATAGCTCACAGCCGGAACTCGTAGTAATACCCCGTCCTGCTTTTAAAAAACATTACAAACGAAAAAAAAATACTCCAAAATGGAAATCATTGGGAATATATACCAAATTGTTGCATTTTATAACCATACATTTTTTGTTTAAACTCTTGATTGCAGAACAGTGTGCTTTCGGGGTCTCAGTTAAAGATTGTGTCGACACATCGCAGGATATGTACCCGAAAGAGGTATCTCCTCCTCCAACGCCTTGCGAGGAGCCGACGGCCACCTACCAGCCCTGCCGCTTCACTGCCGGTGTCAAACGAAAACTGGACTTCGCTAGTTGCGAGGAGGGGTCACCGGGGGACCCGAGCTCGCCCCTGGGGAACGGGGAGGAGGAAGGTAGCGGCGAACGTGCCTCGTCGGAGTATATGGACAGGCAGCGAATGCTGGAGGTTTCCCTGGGCAAGATGCGGCGAATGGAAGACCCCGAGACATCACTCCGTCGGTGTGTGCTCATCAACAACATGACGGTCAAACTCAAGCGGGAGCTGGACCATCGAGATCATCACCGGACCCTGCTGCCAAAGAAGCGGCACATCTTGCGGCGCACCGATAGCGGCACTGTCCCGTTGGGTTCTGTGGGGCCGCTGGCGCACCAGAGCCCCGGGTGTGGCCAGGAGAATCACGTTGGTGATAAGTTCCCGCGGAGGACTTGGGACCCCGCAGCTGGCGAGACGTGTGAGCTGATGGCGACGTCCCCAACGAGCCCTTGCAGAGGACAGGAGGAGGACAGCTCGAGAAATCAGCCACAAGCGTGTGACACAACCACCATCTTGAAAGAAGTTGAGGTTGGTCAATCGCGAGATAACCAAGATGCTGCTCAGAGTGAAGCCACCAGCGAGGAAACATCCTCCATCTTTGGCGACATCGATAATGTTTTTCAGAGCCTGCTTTCGTGCCTCGGTGAACCTATATAAACAACAACTGCCACGGATTATATAATGTACCGAACTATTATGCTTCAACTTTCTTGACTGAATCATCATTGCTTCTGTTATTTTTTTAGATCATGTACTGGACTTTGCAGTACGAGTGCTTTCTTCGGACGGAGAGTTTTCTTTGAACGCTATGAAGTGTCTTTTTTCCTGTTTCAAAATACAAGCCACCGATAGGTGGCGCTATCCATGTTGACTGTACCACGCGTCGAACTTGTGAAAGTTTGACTTCATATTTGGCACTCATGAACAGAAACAACCACGCTTGTTCATTTTGTTAAAAAAAAATACTGTATATTTTCAGCGAAATACTGCCAAAGACGTGTGATGAACATGAATGTAACAATTCATCTTTTTCGATACTTGAAGAATTTTCAATTGTTAAAACTAAATGAACAAAGACAACTTTCACATGCCGACTTCATTCTCGTTGGTGTTATTTTGTAGCCTTGTTAACCTGTATTCAGCGTAATGCAATTATTTTCTGCCATTCGATAACATTTCTGCTTCCTATGCCAGGTGTGATTTCCATGTTTTGTAACTGAATCATTTCGTACTTTGCCGTATGCTTTCTACATTTTAATTGTTCATGCTTTAAAATGCCCCCTCTAAATTCCCCTTTTCGGGGAAAAAACAGAATTGTTTTGGAAAAATACAGTTTTTACTTTGTAAATAACGAAGTAAATGTTATGAAATTGAATTTGTTATTACTTAATTTTGGTCCATTTAAAATTTAATAGCCTCAGCAAAAAAAAAAACGAAAAAAAAAACCGAACAATCTTCACATTGGTTCATTTGATTTCTTTGAATCATTTTCGTAACGGCCTTTTTAAAATTCTACAAAGATTCATAAAAAAAAGAAATAAAGTGTTATTTTATTAACATATTAAATTCACGATTATTGGCAATAACGGTGCAAACAATGCTGATTAAAGTTTACGATTTTACATTAAAAAGCTGTATAATGCAGTTCCTTGTTGCGAAACTAAATCTGGAGACATTTTGTGTTGATAATTGTCTGCGCCATTTCTTTTTTTTACCTGTAAAAACTCGTGCCGTTTTTACTTTTATACTTGTGCATGAACACACATGGGCCTAAAAGTCCGGTTGATTGTGCGCCTCCGTCAAAAAGATCCACCCGAATTATTTGCCGTCCGCAATATTAATTTTTAGCCCGCAAATTATTCAAATAAGTATTCCATAATTAAACATGCATGGGGTGATTGAGTTTGCATTAGATGCATAGTGATAACTTTTGTATTGTTTAACAAAATAATTAGGAAATTAAGTCTTAACCAAAACAAATTCGGGGTAAAAATCGAAAATTGATATAACTTTGGAGACCACATTTACAATGCGGAGCACATTGAATGCCATGGGTATTTAGCAACTCCCCTTAACGCCCAACCAAACGATCTTTCGAAAGCATCTATATTTTTTTTGGAAAATGCCTGGAATCTTTTGTTTTCTCGAAACTGCCCTTTGAAATATCTTGTCATAAGAGAAAGAAAATAGGGGAGAGATCGCAGGAATAATCATGAGCCGGAAAATTCCCGGAATATAATTGTTTCTTTTTATGAAAGTCGCCAATCACAAAGCCCACCGAAGTTGCGGGCTACACAAAAAAGAAAGGGATAGAAAAAGAAATCTAAGAAGAAGAGAATTTACTTCATAGAAAGATAAGTATTGATGAAGGTAAATCCGTAGAACCATGGAAAAGACCACTTTCCAGTTAAACTCTCCGACTTCAGATCGTTGAATACAGGCTAAATTTGCATATTTTGGGAAAAGCCTCCAAATGCTGCATCGTATTGTAATCCTGCTGTGTGGAGGAGTAGTCGATATAAAGTATTAAACTAAGACGTACAATTGGGGAAGTTTGGCTTATGGTTACTTTGCACGTAGGGCATCGCAAGGGGAATGTGGCTACAGGGGGAAACGGGGGGGGGGGGAGTTACGGTAAGTGAAGCTATAGTACGGCCGTATACTGACTGAATTGTTTCCCAAAAGTCTATCAAACCCAGGGGCGGCGGAACCGGGGGAGGGGGGGGGGGCTGGGGGCACTTGGTTCATTTGATTGCTTTGAATCATTTTCGTAACGGCCTTTTTAAAATTCTACAAAGATCCATAAAAAAAAAGAAATAAAGTGTTATTTTATTAACATATTAAATTCACGATTATTGGCAATAACGGTGCAAACAATGCTGATTAAAGTTTAAGATTTTACATTAAAAAGCTGTATAATGCAGTTCCTTGTTGCGAAACTAAATCTGGAGAAATTCTGTGTTGATAATTGTCCGCGCCATTTTTTTTAAATTTTTACCTGTAAAAAAATCGTGCATGGATGGGCCTAAAAGTCCGGTTGATTTTACGCCTCGGTCATAAAGTTCTGCCCGAATTATTTGACCGTCCGCAATATTATTTTTAGCCCGCAAATTATTCAAATAATTATTCCATAATTAAACATGCATGGGGTAATTGAGTTTGCTTAGATGCGTAGTGAACAACTTTTGTATTGTTAAAAAAAAAGTTGTAAATTAAGTCTTAAACTAAATAAATTCGGGGTAAAAATCGAAAATTTATATAACTTTGGAAACCACATTTACAATGCGGAACACAGTGAATGCCATGGGTATTTAGCAACTCCCTTAACGCCCAACAAAAAGATCTTTCGAAAGTATCTATATTTTTTTGGAAAATGCATGGATTCACTCTCTTCCCTCGAAACTACCCTTTGAAAAATCCTGACATAAGTGAAAGAAGGGGAGAGGTCACAGGAATAAACATGAGCCGAAAATTTCCGAAATATAATTGTTTCTTTTCATGGAAGTTGCCCATCGCAAGGCCCACAGAGAAAGGGATAGAAAAAGAAATCTAAGAAGAAGAGAAATAACTTCATAGAAAGAGTCTTGATGTAGGTAAATCCGTGGAACCATGGAAAAGACCACTTTCCAGTGAAACTCCCCGACTTCAGATCATTGAATACAGGCTAAATTTGCATATTTTGGGGAAAACCGCCGAATGCTGCATCGTATTGTAATCCTGCAGTGTGGAGGAGTAGTCGATATAAAGTATTAAACTAAGACAATTGGGGAAGTTTGGCTCATGGTTACTTCACACGTAGGCCATCGCAAGGGGAATGGGGCTACAGGGGGAAACGGGGGGGGGGGGGGATAACGGTAAGTGAAGCTATAGTACGGCGGTACTGACTTAATTGTTTCCCAAAAGTCTATCAAACCCAGGGGTGGCGGAACCGGGGGGGGGGGGGGGGGGCGGGGGCTGGGGGTACTTGCCCAGATTTTTCCAGTGCCCCTCTCGCAGTTATAAATTAATGTGCCCCCTCGAGATGAAAACAAAACTGCCCCTCAAACGCGCACATAATGAAAGCATATGATCGCGCTTACTGTCTCCTCTCTTGTAATGCAAAACTGCCCCTCAAAAACACAAGTACCCCTCTCGCATTAACAAGATGGTGCACCTTCTCGAGATGGAAAACTTCCCTTCGAAAGCACAAATACCCCTCTCGCAATAATAAAATTCTGCCCCTCTCGAGATGGAAAATTGACCCCTAAAAATAATAGTGTTCTTCACGCGAATAAAATTGTCACCGAACTGGCCATCAAAAGCAAGAGTGCCCCTCTCGCAATAACAAAAAATGGTCTTGCTACACAACTATAGGTAAAAGAAACACAAACAGCAAGATGAAAAACGTATTTTATAATTTATTCCTCGTCATATAGGTTTATAGCGAAATGAAGGGACCATATTCTTTTCTTCCACTTTCACACTGACGAAAGGTGCTCCTTTTTCTGAGCAAGTGCCCCTTTTTGGTGTCCACCCCCCCCCCCCCCCCCCCCCCAGTTTGAAAAGCGTTCCGCCGCCCCTGATCAAACCTACAGGTCGAAAACTCTGATTAAAGATTCAATAAACTTCGGTCGAGGGAAACAACTTTAAACTTCGGGATTACAATTATGGCTACTAAATTTGAATACCAAGTGCTCTTAAAAAAATGATATTTTTTCCCCTAACGAATTTTCAATTTTTATAGTTTGTTCTATACATGTACCTTGGCTTACTATTCATAAGATGAATTTGCGTCAGGGTGATGTAAATCAATATTAGGTTTTGCCCTTGACCGACGTATAAACACTGTATACTCAGTGTGTTACCTCCTGAGAGAAAGTTGGAAAAAATCACTCGGGTGGGACTCGAACTCACGACCTCCTGCTTTCTAGTGCAGACGTCTTACCGAGCTTGCGGGATCGCTTGGCTGGTAGATAACACACTGAGTGTGCAGTGTTTATGTGTCGTCGAAGGGCAGAAACCTAATATGGATTTACGTGTGCCTTATTCTGATTTTGGGCGTCTGCAACCCTCTGAAAAAAAGATTTAAATTTTGCCCACAAACGAATCTGCCCTGCGTACTGCGCGAGCCAAATTATTGTCTGGCAGCCAAAAAAACCCTCGATTTTTGTGAAATAATAATTCCATATATCGAAGCTTTGGTGGATTTTTTTCTTTCGATTTCTCATTCAAAAGTGAAAAACTTTAATATATCTAGAGAAACTCGAAAATGGCACAACTTCATTGAGTGAACGTTGAGTGCACAGTCAGTCAGTCTGTGGCTAGGTTTTGGTCAGTTGAAGTCAATAGAGGGCGCTGCGCATTACTTACAGAGACCACAGCAAAGCCATATCCGAACTACTTGGCTACGGCTGGCAGTTGCACACTTGGATGAGAAGTGGCTTCAGCCGCTCCCATAGGCATAGTGTGTCATTGCAAGCCGAAGCCAAATATTTTTGGACACGGCCTGAAGGTTTGCCAGAACTAGAAATAGACCCCGTGTGGTGCGCCCTCACCGAGGGTAGTTTATGTTATGATGCAACTTCAGTGACAATGAAAGTAGTGTCTACTTTTTGAGCCCATCACCAGAAAAAAACACACCTTGAGGTTTCATGCAATGGCACAAATTGTTGGTCATTTGGGGATCTCGAAGTATTTTTTGATTTTTTGCATTCAAAGCAATTGATTTAAAAAAAAAATTGCAAAATTGCTGGTGGGGGTGTGGGGTTTGAGATTGGAATGACCAAAAACAAAAGCAGGCATATATTTACAGGGTAAATTACAAAAGTGGAGACACAGATATAACTTTAGTATCTATGCGGAAGCAAAGAACAAACGACGCAGTAATTGATCACACAAGAAATTAAAGAATACACCTCAAATAACCAGTTACGGCTCTTGTATTTTCTAATTTCAATCACTACAAAATCAATATTCTTGTAAGAATGAAATAATTAAGTATGGCATAAAACCAAAGACAAGAAACAAATGAGTTGCCTTTAGCCAGTTCGTGCTGGATGACGTGTATACCCGCAAAGGTTTTGCGGTATTCGGAACGGATAATGGACAAACACGCAGGGAGCGAGGCTGGAAATATCTGTCAGCGACCCGTTCGCAGCGAGCACGGCCGGAAATATGAGTGTGCTGCCCGAGGGTGATGGCTTCAACCCACCTGGCATGAGGTCAAGTGAAAAGTAATCCCGCGCCACGTTCCGTTTTTGTCAAAATAATCCTGTCGCGAACTGGTTAAGAGGACAACGTTTAAAATATGTCCTCTGCTGGAAAACTGCACACAAAAAAAATATCAATTTAGATGAGTTACAAAACATTGATGGGTAAAAGAAAAGAAATTATTCGGGGAATAATGAGAAACCCTTGATGTAATTATGTACATCATAAACCTGTGTTTTTTATGGATGTGTATGTTGGGTCATCTAGACTGGTGACCATATCTCAAATTATACATCTTATCTATATGAGGACAGGCAATATCCTCAAAGGCTCTGAAATCTTATTGGTTGCTTTGTGCCACCTGTTGTGATGCCGCCTGTTCTGATTGGCTTAGCTACTTCTCCAGTACATGTATGTTTTAAGTTGGGTCAATGGGTCAAGTGGAAAGAAAACTCAATAACTAACATGTATTAGGTTGCACTCAATCGCAACAAAGCAATAAATGTTATAAAGAGTTATTGCTTCATGTTAATTGCATATCTATTATCACTTAAACAAAAAGAGTGGTTTTAACGTAAATGTTACAACAGAATATGCAAGTTATTTGAATTTTGTTTTGTCTGTATGAAAGCTCGAAAACTTTTAAAAGCTGATTTAATTTTTTTTTCCATGATTAACTTGATGAACTTTATCTGAGGTGAACGGCAAGGGGAAAAAATGCAAATATGAATTAGGAAAAGTGAGAAAAGAACTAGCAATTTATTGAAAACACAATTAGTTGAAACCAGCCCCTCGGAAAATTATGACAATTTCTTAATTCTACCGTTTTACTCTACAATCCTGGACCTGTGTAGAGATTCCCCATTAAAGTTCCTTCTTTCTTTCAATTTTCATCAGCTCCACCTCAAAGATCAGAGTAGAGCCACCTGCAGAAAAAACAACAAAGAAGTGTAAAGAAATACTGATGTGAATTGTCAATTTACAGAACAGCTTGTTTAGGCCAAATAAAGAAACAAACATGTCCCCGCCCGCTTCCTTTTTGGAGGCTGCATTTTTTTTCTTTTTAAACGAAAAAATGATAAATTTTAAACAGTGACATCATTTTGGCCTCTTTGTCTGATGCATCTAGCCCATATAACGCTGGTATGTCATTTCCTGAGTCCAAGTGATGGTCATTTAAAAAAAAAGAAGCTGGTCGGGCAGCCATTTTGGAGGGGAAAAAAAGGCCTCTTCTTTCCTTTTTTTCAAAAAGGCAGGACGCTAAACATGTTTTTTTTTTATTTGGCCTTAAAGTAGCACTTTAAAAAACCTTTGCTCATCAAAAACAAATTTTCATTTTGTATGTTTTGTTTCAACTGGGGAAAGGGGGGGGGGGGGGGGTTGTATGCAAAGCTATAGCCTTTCCCTATTTATTCCAATTTTATTAATTAGCCTCCATCTGTTGACTTCAAACAAAAGGGCAACACACAAATAGCGTCAAAGCAGTACATGTACACATTGAATGTGCAACAAATAAGGCTGTCATCTCCCTATGCCACTTAAAAATCGTCAGAGAAAACTTTTGGGGGACAATTTTTGCTTATTCGTTTATTTTTCTCTTCTAAAATTTCTTCCCTTGCCTACTGCAAGTTGGGTTGATATCTATTTTTGAACCCACCTAATACACTTTCAGTGCAATGTAGTTTAAATTCAAGTAAAACAGCTAAAACCACTTGTGGGTGGTGCACTGGCACCCCCCCCCCCCCCCCCCCCCCTCTGTTGAAGGATTGAGAGGTTAAAGCAATGCTACAGAGCCTTGGCCAGTTCATACTTAGCGTACACGAATGCAAATTTTTGAAGTTGCATTTCTGAATTTGCAAAAGTTGAACACATTTCAATTCTGGTGAATTTCGCAGCGAACGATTCATGCTGTGAAAATTCGCATTCGTATGAGGTATGCACTGGCTTTACGAAGGCACGCTTGTACGCATTGCTGCCGTAAGCCTGACGCTCACATGAAAACAAGTTTTTGCACAGTTGGAATCAAATGTATCTTCGCATATTTGTCCAATATGAGCATGAACCTGCTCCTGGTTGCAGGGTGTCCTGAACACAGCGCTCTCACTAGTTGTCGTGAAGCGACCACTAGTGAATCAAGCCCAAAAGTGCCTAGCTTTCAACCGCAGTGAAGTTAAATGAAGGAATCCTTTGATACAATTATACAAGAAAGATTTTGGAGAGAAATACCTGGGATTTTCGGTGGAGATCCTCTGTCTCCATAGCCGAGGTCCGATGGAATGACCAGTTTCCTCTTTTCACCGACACACATGCTGGAAATAAGAACGAATTGAAACAGGATTTTAAGCGTCCTTTACAAACAGTATAACACACATCAATATACTGAACATTTTGGTAAAATGAACATCCCTGGATTATGTGAACAATAGGTAGCACAATGCTTTCGCCATTAAAGGGGCCACCGTGCTAGAATTGACAGCATGCCTGGATTGGACTATACCAAGTTTTGAGGTCGAAACTCATTATATCAACTTTACCAGATGGTCTGTTTTGGACCCCACTATGTTCATTGCAGTGATTTTTCTACTGAACTGGTGTCGCATATGTTCTATGGCAGATCATCCATCATGTGAGTTTGAAACGAGCAAGAGGATCGTGCCTGGTGAAACTATAGTTTCTGGTCCAAGTTAATTATTCCGGGGCAGATCTAGCTTTCAGGAAATAAGGGGGGGGGGGGGTTGAGGGTGGGTTGAGTGAAGACGTTCCAAAGGCATACCCTAATAACGGGTTCTTATATATAGCGCTTTTTAACTAAGATAAAAGCGCTTTACATTATTATTACCCCTGATCATTGGGCCAATTAAACATTCCAAATACCATCTCAGCTCCCTGGGGAGTACACAGCTCGATGCAGCCTGTTAGGCGCAAGGAAGCTTTTCAACCACAATAACCATCTCTGCCCTCACAGGTACCCATTTACTCCTGGGTGGAGAGAAGCAATGAGTGACAAAGTGCCTTGCCCAAGGGCACATGCACCATGACCCCAGGATGGACTCGAACCCACAACCTGCAGCTTTACTCACAGACCACAAATCCAAAGCCCTTGACCAAAAGGCCACCCTGTTACCAGGGTTAAGAGGCTTGCCCCTTCCTCTCTCCCCCCCCCCCTCGTAAAATTTTGAAATCTATGATGCTTTTTTTCTGCTTTCTAACATAATTTGAGAATGAATTTAGGAACTTTAGTATTCCATTTATTATTTTTGGCCCAATTTTACTAGTATCATAACATTATTCAGCGGCTGACAAGAGGGGGAGGGGTGGGGGTGGGGGGAGGGTTTGCAACCCCCTCCCCTCTAGATCAGCTACTGATATCACAGAAATGCCAGAGACTTCTGCCAAGGTTATCCCAAACTTAAAGCAATAATTTTGAAGTTGAACAAATTGACTGGAGTGGGGTTTTAACCTGCGACCTCCAGATTGCTGTTCCAGATCTCTACCAACTGAGCTTTCCGGCCCTATGTTGGCGGTTCTGATCTTGTTAATGTTTTTGTTCAAGGGGCGCTACTCAGAAGTCATAAACCCATATATATACCATGTAGCCAGGGATCACGATACTAGCAACATCAGCAATGCTGCAAACCCGGGAAATAGCAAACGGGAATCACTCCCAGAGGATACTGCTTTTTATTACAAATTTTCAAATAAACCACACAGCACAGAGAAGCCATGAATGAAGTCACTAAGAAGCCACGTCTTGCATTACTTGGCTACGGCTTGCAATTACACATACGTCTATGGAAGCGGCTCAAGCCATTTTCCATAGACACATATGCTGCCACCAGCCGTAGCCAGGTAATTTGGACATGGCTAGACTTACTTGAGTAGTCCCTGGTCCCAGCCTTTAATGACCTGGCCTGCACCCAGGGTGAAGACAAAAGGTGAGCCCCTCGGTATACTGCTGTCAAACTCGGTCCCATCCTGTAGCGTTCCCTGTGTTTACAAATTACAGGCACCAACACTTGAGAGTTTAAAATTCTTCTTGAACAGTTGAACACTTATGCAAGTAACAAAGTAGTATTCCGGTTCTCATATAAAGTTATCACAAGTTAATTACAAGTCAACTACAAGTCAATCACAAATCTATTACAAGTCAATATTAAGTTAATCACAAGCCTTAAAGTTGCAAAGTTTTGTTTTATTAGTGTTGTGTCACTTGTGTGGTGACAGTTTCTGAACTAATATTTTTTTATCAAAGGTGATCAATCTTGAACTATTCTCTTAATTTTCAATGTAATTTGTTTTCTTAATGTTTTACTTACTGTATATTCAACCCATCAGTTGCTATATATATTGTATATTTGTACAATCGGTTGTGTGCTCGGTTGGCTGGTTAGAATCTCATGCAGCAGCGGGTACCGCAATGAAACTATTCATAAGGCCAAAAAAAAATAATAGTTCTGCTTCCGATTTCCCTACCTACCCTATTCTGACAGCCCCTACCCTAATTTTTTATTGGAAAAATGAGAAAAAAACACCCAAAACTATCACTTTATACCTTTTACCCTGGACTACATGCAGACGCCTCCATATGACCGTACACAAAAAAAAATGGCCAAAAAAACCCTACCCTATTTTCGAATGCCATGTAATCGGAAGCAGAACTATTTTTTTTTTTTGGCCTAAGATGGAATTTGCGTCGGAGTGGTGTAAATTCAATATTGGGTTTTGCCCTTCACCGATGCATAAACACTGTATACTCAGTGTGTTACCCCGAGTGAAAGTGAGAAAAAAATCACTCAGGTGGGACTCAAACCAACAACCTCCTGCTTTCTAGTGCAGATGTCTTACCACTCGACCACTGAGCTTCCGGGATCAGTTGGCTGCTTCGAATCTGATGTACCAGATGCAATGAAACTATTCATAAGATGGAATTTGCGTCGGGGCGATGTAAATTCAATTTTCGGTATTGCCCTTCAGAGAATTTTAAGGGTGAGTAAAGTTGGCCAGATTTTTTTTCTGCACTCAAAGTCCCAGTCTGCCAGAGCCCTGCCTACTTATTACCGTGTAATGCATGTGCAAGGTGTCCCCGTTCTTGGATCTCTGCTCACAGTTCTCCACCTTCTTCTTGACACCAATTTGAAGCTTCTTGGGCTTGTCCGCCGCCTCCACAACCACTAGGAACATGCAGCAGACGACAAGGGTCGCCAAACCACCGGCGCTGACTAAGGACTTGCAAAGAACCATCTTGAATTCTTTCCAGAAGCTGATTAGTTTGAAAATAATGGGGAAAGAGTCAAACCAGACAGAACTTCCTACTTCCCTTTTTATTGGGGGGCCCGGGGGGGGGGGGGGGGGGGGGCAAGGAAGTCAAAGTATTTTACAAAGTAGTTTTTGCATGTGGTTTTAAGAAAAAAAAAAATAAAAATTGGAACTCTCTACAAACTTCTTGAACGATTAGAAGTTTGGCACGAGGCTTTAATTTATTCTATATCATTATCAGTATATGAAACACCAGGGGCGGATGTATAGCTTTCAGGAAACGAGGGTTAATATGAAGGGAAGGAGGATGTTGTGTGAAGGCCAAAGGCATGCCCATCCCCTCCCCCCTTCTAAGGCAACATCATGCAAAAACTGAAAACATTCAGTTAAACTAATTAGGCAGATGCCCTGTACTACAGAGCTTGTGATAATACTAGTGTGGGGTGGGGGGGGGGGGGGGGGGGGGGTAGGGGGAGCTAGGGCGGAAGCGCCCCCTCCGCACCCACTTGATCCGCCACTGTTGTCACTCAGGGGTGGATAACACAATCTCCTCCCCCCCCCTCAAGTTAAAACATTAATCCATTGACTGAGTTTGAGTTTGAAGAAATAACTTAACAAATTGTCTTTGACTGATCTCTTCATGCTCGTTGATTGAACGTCCTTGTCTATCTTCATTCAACACATTTGCAACCCTTGACGTCAAACCCCCAAACCCCCCCCCCAAAAAAAATATTTTCTCTAAAATTTCAATCAGTTCACTATCTATGGTTCACTGTTTGTTCTTATTCCTCCATGGTAGCACCTAGCTTTATTCATGGAGGAAAAGAGGAAGGAACTAGGGCTCCAATTCCAAACTCATCCCACTCCCAGCATAATTAACAAATTGCTCAAGCCTGTATATTATGGCGAAAGTGACATGGAAGTATTATATTCTATCTAGCACGAGCAACCTAGAATGCCAGAATCTGATGGGATTGATGGTCCCAAAATATTCTTTGCCTACCTTTTGACTTCAGTTCACCTGCTCGATCGAAGAAGCCGGGACTCACAAAACACACACTAAGTACACGTAGCTTTAGCACGCGTACAACTAGCCCCACTAGTGTGGCCGTCGGTATGCTGCGCTGAACCTTTGGCCACACACCGTGGTACCGCGCGCTACTGAGGACGAAGTTTTTCGTAAAATTCAGGGCAGTTTCTTACATTTTCAGTTTCTTACTTTCTTATGGTTGTATTCTATGATGTCTCCTATCACTTCTGGGATGCTTAGCATGTGCTTAGATCTAATGATGTTCCATTTTCCGAGATATTCTTCAATCTTTCTGGAGCCCATAATGCACTCGTGAAACGTCTGGTGGTGGCAGCCATTTTGAATGTGACAAGAGATGACCTCAAGCTGTGACGTCGCGTTTATGCAAATTGCTTGTCGAGCGCGCGAGGGCGTGAGTTGCAAATGCGACGGCTGTTTCCTGTGCCGTAGATCCTGAATAGAGATCGGTGCACGTGGCCCCCTGACGATAAATGCATGGTACAGGAAACAGCCGTCGCATTTGCAACTCGCGCCCTCGCGCGCTCGACAAGCAATTTGCATACACGCGACGTCACAGCTTGAGGTCATCTCTTGTCCCATTCAAAATGGCTGCCATCACCAGACGTTTCACGAGTGCATATGGACTCCAGAAAGATTGAAGAATATCTCGGAAAATGGAACATCATTAGACCTAAGCACATGCTAAGCATCCCAGATGTGATAGGAGACATCATAGAATACAACCATAAGAAAGTAAGAAACTGAAAATGTAAGAAACTGCCCTGAATTTTATGAAAAACTTCGTCCTCAGTAGCGCGCGGTACCACGGTGTGTGGCCAAAGGTTCAGCGCAGCATACCGACGGCCACACTAGTGGGGCTAGCGTACAACGCTTTATCATTATCCCGGCAAATTCAACTTGTAGCATGAAGTGAAGTTGTGTGCGCACACAACTACTGAAAGAGTCCCGGAGAAAAAGGTTGACAAAATTGCCCTAAACCTCGACTCCTTTGCGTGAATCATTGCATAAGCATAACAATAATTTAGAACCAGACTAAGCTAGAATACCCTCGACCTCACACGTCACCTACACGTACGTGTGTACTGCACTATACTAAAGAGCGGCGGCGCTAGCAAACGTTTTCAAGACGTGCACATAATTGGCTGAACGAAGGGGATACGAGTATCGAAGAAAATCCGCTGCATCAGAGTTGAAATCATGTCGTAAGTTTATCCTTTTTACCACTAATTTGTGACCAGTATATTTAAGTTATAAACTGGCTTCGTATTTTTGGTGTATTTATTTATAATATGCGAAAATGAAAATTATTACGAGTGGGTGTAGAACTGCCTCATACTAAACAGCGTCAACACAGCGTCAACACACTCCAAAGCGTCAACACAGCGTCAACACATCCAAAATGCATTAAAATTGACAAAAGCAGTATGTAACCCATACAGTATGGACAGAAACAAGATTTTGGCTTAAAATTAATAGGTTAAACGTCTGAAAATTGCGATTTTCAGTTCAAGAAAATTGGCTCTCCGTGCCGCTCCGAAATCGGCTGCCATGTTGCCTCAGTGGCAGTGCGGACCATACCATTATGCTAAAGGGTGAAAGCGTTGTACAATAAACCAACAGAGAGGGCGCGGCCGGCCAATACCAAAAGATGTCCATTTCAATAAAGTAAATGAAACATAAACACAACTCACAAAATAATGATCCACCACTCCGATCCTCAGTCCTCAAATATCTGGAATCCCTCTGTTGTTTATGACAAGATAATGTCATTACCTACACACCCCTACTTGAAATGGTGTAGTCCAAGCTTTGTGCGAAGTCAAGATGGCGGACAACGGCCGTGCGAGTGAAAGGTCATTTTTTTCGCGTGAAAATACGATATTTTTAACAACGAAATGGAAACTCAATCCAATGGAAATTCTCTTTTATTGTATGTTTCACAATTATATGCCCTTTTTGTCAATTCAGAATGTGTTTTGGATGTGTTGACGGTGTGTTGACGCTTCTGTCATGTGTTGACGCTGTGTTGACGCTGTGTTGACGCTGTGTTGACGCTGTTTAGTGCGACCCTAGCTTAGGCTACGGCAGTAATGTATAGTCGGTCTCTGTATTATCGCGGCGGCATCGGAAATTTCTTGTTTTGCGTTGCCAAAACTCCTTCAAGTGGCGATTTTATCCAGTTCACCAGGCATTTAAGGACTTTCTGCCAAGTTATATAAAAAGGACGATTAAAAAATGTGTCTTTCGGGGCTTTTATTTTTTAATGATTTTTAATAAATTATATTCACGTTTTCCAAAACTCGCAAATTTTCCCTCACCGTGTCTGCTAAAAGGTACCGTCTATATTTTAACGTAAATTTGTAATGGAGCTCTGTCCGTGAAAGTTCCATTGTCTGGTTCCCATTCTACAGCTGCAAACGTAAAATGACATTGACGGACGATATTTCCACCGCGAAATCGTAAGAACTTGTACATGTTGTACGGGATCAAAATAAGGACAGTTTTTGTTTTTCGTTTACTCAGGTTGTTAACGAAACCCAAGAGTGAGATGACCTCCGAGGAGCTGGCTAAGCGCGAGGAAGAAGAGTTCAATACGGGGCCCCTGTCGGTCCTGACACAGTCCGTCAAGAACAACACGCAGGTCCTGATCAACTGCCGCAATAATAAGAAACTGCTTGGCAGAGTCAAAGCGTTTGACAGGTAAGGAAGTTTACGGCTTGAGCTTTTCTTTGTTCAGCCGAGCCTTCGGACTCCATGCAAAAGGTGGCCTTACTCAGTTAACGTGTCTCAAATACTGGGCTTATCAAGTGGAAAAACAGTCTAGATTCTAAAATTGAGGGAACTCCATGAAATTTGGCACGTGTTGCTGTGTGTGTCCCTGCCGAGGAGCTCTCAGGAGAAGTCACCAAGCCCCAATTACTGTTCACGCATGGATGGGAGTCCATGTATTTAGACATTCCAACCAGGTGGTGTCTTTGTATTTATTGATTTGGTTAGTCTTGATTTTGTTGTTGAGAATACTGAAACATGTCCACTGTCGTCCCTGTCCAATGAGTATACTCAGTTCTATGAAAAAATATATTGAAAACCAACCTTTTCAACTTTTCCTTGTTTTTTGTCGTCTGGAACAATGCAGGCATTGCAACATGGTCCTGGAGAACGTCAAGGAGATGTGGACGGAAACCCCCAAAGCAGGCAAGGGAAAGAAGAAGTCCAAGCCGGTCAACAAGGATCGCTACATCTCCAAGATGTTCCTGCGAGGAGACAGTGTCATTCTGGTGCTCAGAAACCCCCTGGCTACTGCCAAGCAGTGAGCCCCCTTGGAGAAACTTTTGTAGACTCTGCTTGTAAAAACCCAGCACTCCCAGATCTTTCAAAATCCACCAAGGAGAATTTTGGAGGATTTTGTAGGATTGAGGACGGTAGAGCACAGCCACTAATACATGGGAAGCGACTTGATGCCTCTTGAGAGTTTAAGAACACAGTGCGCAGTGGAGGATTTTGGAGGATATTAGCCTTGTTGGAGTATGACGGACACAATAGGAGGGCGCTATGTGAAGTGGGTTAAACTTCACATAGGCACTAGGTCCTGAAATCCCCGAAAATTTCATGTTTGGATTGTTTACTTAGCCTATTTCAAACATCTGGTTGAAAGGAAACCAACCTAATGTCTTACCGTTCCCGAGAAAAGACGAAAAACCCCTGGTTGTTTACATCGGACACGACAGAGTACGAATACGTTTTCGTGTCGTTCTCAGTGTACGATATACACGTTGTGTGTCTCGGGAACTGCGGTGACCAATCACCAATGCAAAAAAATGTGGTTTCTTCAACGTCCGCAAAAGGCGAACACTTTACGAATGAAATCACAACTAGCATCCAAACAGCTCGAATTTATGGGGTTCGCATAATACAGGAATAACACAAAAACGCCCAGATTTTAAAGGATAGTTGTGTGGACGTGTATTTCCTAGTTTTAAATGTTCTTTCCGATTAACATAATCTCGTTCAAAGCGCGTTTTGTAGCCCAATTGGGCTGTTCCAGGACCCAGTGTCCCTTTAAGTAGAGTAAATACAAAAGAGTTTCCCCACTCTGAATAGCACCCTCTTCTTGTGTCCACCACACTTCAAAAAGACTAATAGAAAGGTTATCAACACCAGTGCCTGGAGAGTTGAGTCCTTTTTTTTAACTGGTGTGGTCTCTTTTTTTCTAGAAACGGAGAGATACCATGTTGAATTAAAAAAGACATGGGCTTTTCATATGTTTGCACTGTGTGCGGAAATGATCTTGTGGAAAATGCAGGAATTGGTTTTTCAAGAGTTATCCGAATGTATTGTACATATACAATGTATGTAGAAAGGCGAATTTGTTGGAAAGGTATCATGCAGAAAAAGTTTCGCGATATTTTTTCTTTCTTCTGATGAGCTGTCTGTGTTCTTGCTTGTGTTGTCTTTGTAATTTATGATTTCTGTACCTCCTGTGTTGGGTGTGTTTTACTTCAAATGCTGACCTACCATCAGATTAACTGATTCTGAAAGGGGAAAAAGTGTTGCAACCTGATGCCACTTCGGCGGTTGTGTACAAAGTCTATGGAGAGTCGAGAAGTATTTCCTAACAAAATTGGAAATGTTTCTCAGTCCAGATTCATGTCTTATCATCAATTTTTGCAATGACTGACCTTCATCGAGATGATATATGAAGAAAAAAGTGGCGTCAGGTTGCAACATTTTTCCCCAGAAAAATACTGACAGAAGATTTTGTTTGATGGGGGATTGGGGGCCAATCAAAGACAGTATCCAAATGACTTGGCTATGGCTGGTTGTTACATACGTGCCTATGGCAGTGGCTGAAGCCATAGCCATTAGCCAAGTAATTGTACACTGCCAGAGGCTCAGTGATTTGTTGAGGCACAGTGTATGTTGTAAGCGTAGCTTATTTCTCAGCTGCGGTGGCTACTTATTTTTCACCTAAAGCAGACCTCCCCTCCAAAAAATTGTGAACTTCGGAAAACTAAGCCAAGAGGAATACAAACAGTAAATTCTTGTAAATAAATGAGTTTGTATAATGTTAAGGTTGTCACAGTAGCTAGTTTGTGAAGGATGCCCTTTTTAGATTCCATGTAAAAACATGAATTTTTTGCACTTTTTGAGTTCCGTCTGTCCACAATATAATTGTTTCATTCTTTCTGTACATGAGCTACAGCAGGAATCTTAAGAGAACAGTGTTTAGGTCAGATCTGTCACAAGGCATCCAGTAATAAAGTCAAATCACAAGCAGTTCAAATAAGCCTTGATATTGCTTGTTTGTGATTATTCGGCAATTGGCCGGGACAGCCCACAAAAGTCTTTTGACTTGATTTCCAGCGGGATCCCTTGGTAGAAGATGTGGAAGGAAATTACAGTTCAGGGGTGGGTGGAAACTCCATAGTCTAGGGAAAACCCAATCTACATATTGGCCCAGATGGGATTTGAACCAGGGTCACAGTGGTGGAAGGCGAGGAAAGTACCGCTACGCCAACCTGTTCATTGCTTGGGTATGGACTTGTGATGGACTGGACTACAACACTACACCAGAAAGCTGGATGGGATTCCTTTATTTTAATTAACCTCTTTTCTGGCTCTGAAATTTGGTTTTCATGAATTTATATGAAACCACCGAGTTGGCAAGAAAGACCATGTATCTTTTCAGTGTCGTAGAGCAATTAAAACTTTTTGAAAAATGATCCTTGTGCCTCTCTTATTTTTGTCTTTGTCTGTCTCCACCTCCCCCCCCCCGAAAAGAACCTGCCCTCCAATTTATGCCTTTCAGGGTGACCGTAAGGCCATGGCCAAATTCTGCTAAATGGACAAAAATCTGCCAAATTCCCAATAATTACTCGAAATACACTATAAACGCTTAAAATCACATGCAGATGTTGTAGTATAGCCTTAATTAAGGTTCAAATTAAATTACAATCTATAGTTACATAAAGATGTTATGAAATTGCATAAATTTCAGACAAATCCAGTGAACCTCGGCACCTAGACCAGCCAAACTGTCCCATTATGCAACTGCAAGGGTTTGTTTGAAAAGATTGAAGCTTTTTTGAACAAATGTACCATTATTTTTTCAAATTTGCTGTTTTTCTATCAACCATTTTTGCAGAATTCTGCCAGAAATCTGCCAAAAAAATCCAGTCCAATTTTCTGTCAAACTCGTTTTTTTAACAAAAATTCTGTCAAAGTAAGCCAAAAATCGACTAAAACGGTCACTATGATGCCTTTCAACTTTATCAGTCACTGCATAGCGTATTTACCCATAACATGAACAGACCTTACGCATTGCAGTACTTCAGAGGTTGCTCTTAGTTATTTTAATTCAGCAACGAAGGAATCCACAAGGTTTACTCGTGCCTATCCAAACCATTACCCTCCGCCTAGCGCCTCAATGCACAAGGTATATTGTTGACTGAATGGTATTCTAGTCCGCGATAAACATGTAAATTAACAACTGACAACAAAACACTCTCACTACAAAATGACTTCTCTAAAACATAATGTAAGGTACGACAAAATTTAATCTCAGAATCACAAAAACACAGAACTTGATACTGAAGGTGGACATAAAATATTTAACAAACTAATAAGAAATGAGCAACATTACATGAGACATATGGTCCGATCCCCCTCCCCAAAATCTCAAATGTACAGCAAGGTCAACAGCCAATTCTAATTATCAAGGAATGTACATGTATTGTGGATGAAATGTATCCCCAAGATTCCCAAACTTCCAGTTTACATTGACTTTAATGTTCGTTTTTAATTAATCACCAGCTAAATGAGCACACAGCAGGGAGTGTATATACTAAGCTTTTTTAGGCACCCAAGTACCAGAATCAAGTCTGCAACAGTCCCACTTGTGTTTCTCGCTCTAATTTATCAACTTTGTGAACATTTTTCACATTTTCAGGGGTAAGACAAGACATCGTTTCCCTTCAAAAATATTGCTTTCACAAACAAAACTGAACAGAAATCAAGTATCTCAGAAATTACACAACCCCAAGCACATTTAATATACACACGGTTAAAAACTCATCCACCTACTTTCTGTGCTTTCTACTAGACTTGACCCAGCCCAAATGTAACGGAACCATTTTAAACCATGCTTTCAAAGAAATAGACGACAAATTTTACTTTAAACTATTGACCGATATACCTGCCAAATGGGCTCACAACTTGTACATCATCTGGCCTTTAAATGAACAAAATTCGCTATCAAATCCTTTAAAAAAAATGCAGTTGAACAAAGAAATGTACTCTATCCTTCGTAAACAATCAAAGCAACTAAAATACAAATAAACGCCATTAAAGATGTCAGGAGGATGATACTGTAAACTGGTGCACCACTGTCTAGTTTTGATATGCAAATGTAGTGTGATGGAAACAACAGGTCTTGGGATAACAACTTCCACTGAATTTCTTCTACGTTTTCTGTGTCACCATGGATCAGGTTCTTACATCAACTTGTTGAATTTGGACATCCCTCAGAAATTTCAAACCCGTTTTCACTTTTTTAAATGAGCCACTTTTTTTAATATCATATCCCGTTTCTTTTACAATGATTACATGTACATAGAAAAGACGTCAAATTTCATAGATATTTACATTGAGATACTACATGTTAACATGTCACCAACGCATTAGCCAGTTTGTTTATAAATTTACACTTAAACCCCTGCTTCAAATCTTAACTTTTCAGGATGGCTTTTTGTTTTAAGCGTGTCTGAAAATGCAAATCACGATGACTAAATCTCGGCTATCCCCCCTTCCCCCAATCTGCTAAACCCAACGCCAAACTTCATGTTGGTTTGTCATGTCTAACAAAATGCAAATCACGACGACCAAGCCTTGACTATCCCCCCCCCCCTGATCCGCTACTCCAACGTCAAACTTCAGCCGGCCATCTTTAATCCTTGGGACTGCGGGATTTGGATTTGGAGCGCGAGCGAGACCGCGAGCGAGAGTGGGAGCAGGAGCGGGACATGGACTTGCGAGGCGAGTTACGTGGGGACTTGGACTGGCTGCGTCTGGCACTCTTGCTGCGGCTGCGGCTCTTGCTGGCACTTCGAGAGCGGCTCCGGGAATGGCTGGCTGAGCGGGAACGACGACGTCGGGGGGAGCGTGACCGAGAACGGCGGGGAGAGCGAGAACGGCGGGGAGAGCGAGAACGGCGGGGCGAACGGGAGCGAGAACGTGATCTTGACCGGCTGCGAGAGTAGTCCCGTCTGTAAATCAAAAAAAAAAAGTAATGAAGATGATTAACAATGGAATCAGGAATCAACAGTTATGTATTTTAGCCCTTCACAATTGTGAATTTGATTCCATGAAAATTATGTAAATTTTAAAATAAATCTTCAAATACATTGCCCCGTTTGACTTTTTCCCCCTCGTTTTTCTTACTTCTTCTTGTGTGCGTTGTCCTCAACGATCCTGATAGTCCGTCCATTCAGCTCAGTCCCGTCCAGTTTCTTGATGGCGCTGCTCATGTCTGAATAGGTCGCAAACTCAACAATCCTGCATTCGAGAGGGGGGATAGAAGTTTTCCATGAAACGGTGGACATCTTGTTTGAGAGCAATTCCATATACCCAAGTATATATTTATCAATGCAAATGATCTTAAATACTTTTGACAATTCTCATAGAATCAAACGACAATAATGAAAGCACATGATCCCTCTGGACAAAAGCACCACAGGGGCTTATTGTGTCAGAATGGGAAACCTGCCTTATCCACAATGTTCCCCTAAGTAGTCAAAAGAACGGGAAAAGGTGCAACTGCATGCAACTGAGAATGTAGAAGAAGCGAGGAAATTCCAAACCACACAATACTTTGTACAGTGCTTTTCAATTTGTAGTGGCATTCATGAGAAGTAAAAAAAAAAACCGAGGAAATCAGCGGATCCAAGGAAAAGTTGCATGCCAGGCAACAAATGCGAGTTGAGACAAGCTTACTTGTCTGTGGAGATTTCTGTGGTTAAGAAACTGTGCCTTCTAAGAACCATGAGCAAGTTACAGTCTTGTGATGGCCCACTGCTCAAGGTTTGAAGGCAAATCATTTAAAGTGTAATTGTTTCCAAAACAAACAGAAACTCACCCTTCATTTTTGCGCTGTTTGTGTGCATCTGCAAATGTAACCTCGCCAGATTGTCGCATGTAATCCTTCAGATCCTATAGAAGGTAATGCAAACACACCAGAGAAGACACAAAACAAGACCATTTAGTTTAATTCAAGCAAATGAACCTCATGCAAGACATAACATTTCCAACTTCATTGTACTGTCAAATAAAAACACGGCTCACAAAATACAACAAGGGCTGCATGCTTGGGGACAAATAGAAAGGATAAAAAGGGTCAATTCGGTGAGTGGTCAAAACTTGATCTGGAAGAAATCTTTGGAATGAAGGGAGGGGAAACAATAGATGGTGATGCAAGACAAGTAAATGATAAAAGTATTTTGGCCATGGTTACAGAAATAAGATTTGATGACATAAGCAGCATTGTCAAGAATCGTGCTATTTGCCATTTACTGGACGTTGGTCCTGTGTGACACTGATTTTCTCTGTAAAATGCAGTAAAACAATCAGGATTTTCGGTCCATAACCACCGCAAGCAATCTCATTCAAAAGTCTCAGTAATGCCAGAATTATTGATTTTGACTGCCATTCCACTTATTTCTGCTACCTTGGAATGCTATGAACCATTTCAAACTTTTGTTCTTAACTTCTGAACACCGACAGATGGATCTCTCTCTATTTTTTCCCTGATGCAACACCAACTTTTTCATCTTTACAAAATTAATGTTCATAGTCTGAAAAAATTATGTTTGGTCAGGAAAGTCTTGAATTTAGATCTTGATTTAGTTATTTTATGGTCAACAATGATTTTTTTGGGTACAATACAGAGCAGTCAGCATTCTTACAAACGTAAGTACAAAGGCTGGCTTACAGTAGCTGGCAATCACATGAACAGATACAATGTACATCAAAACTGTAACAAATGAAGCAACACCTCGTCATCAATGAATGTGTTTCAAAGAACGACTCCCACAATAAGGGCTGAGAGACATAAAAACCCCCAAAATACTTCACTTGTGAATCCAATCTGTTGCCGCCACACGTTGGGCTACTGTAAACCAACCTTCAAGTCTGGCATCATGCACATAATTTCATTTCAATTGGTAATTAAGAAGTTAGTTGAAAACAACCTGGGGAAAAAAATCTGTAAAATAAAAGTGACCAAATAAAAATGGTGGTTGGGTCTGGATGACGTAGTCGAGCCAAGCGGAGTAGACTCATCATCTGCTGGTGTAGTCGTCAGGCAGCGTCCATCAGGGGCCATCAGTAGTCCATCCTAAAAATGGACCCTAAACACAAACAGTCTTGATCACTGGGGGATAAAGGGTATGCCGACAGTACCAAGATTACAAGCGTGTCCAAAAACTGCCCAATGTGACAATGTGACTGCCCAATGTGACAAGACAGTTTGAAGCAAAGGATTTTTTAGTTTGAAATTTTCCCATTGTAAAGCAGCTTCGATTGGTTGCTTATAAAATTAGTTTTATTTTGGTACTTGTTTTATCTTTTGCCTGTCGGCATCCCCTTTCTCCACCTGTGATTTTGGACTACCCGACTGTTTTGGGTTATCATTACTATACCTTCCAGCAGCCAGGCAAGGCTGAACCGAGGCTCTCACCAGCCCATCATGATATAAGGGGGGAAGACTGCAACACAAGACCCATGAGAGAGCAGCCAGGGAAGGCACACCCGCCCCGAATGGGGTGGGGGTGTGCCCCGCTCACTATAGCATAACAGCCAGCCAGCCAGCCTTCAGCTCAGATTATGGCCCGGGTGTGGTGGTGGTGGTGGTAGTCCAAACCATCAGTGGCATGAAGCACAAGTGACTGCACTTTTCAGCACCCAATATCAAAATTGGGCAGTGCGAAAAACAATTTGGGCGAGACTCATATTTCCTTGTCTCACAAGTGTCCAGAAAAGCTATTTGAGAGTACGGAAAATTTTGGCACCTCCTTTTTTTTTGTTGGTAACGATTTCTTTAGTGTTTGTTTTGAATGTCAGTGGAGGTGATTGTCAGTGGAGGTGATTGCAATCTTGAAAAAAAGAAGTAAAACTACTTTGGCTTCTTGGTATTTTTACTAGGACACTTTTTCATATTTGTTCAAAACTGAGGATGAACTGATTTTTTTTTTTATTTTTAGAAAGATTTTCAATTTTTTTTTGGTTCAAAAAGAATCTGAGAATCCAAAATTTAATTCACATTTTAGAGTGAATTAGTTCATTTGGTCAGTTTCCTTCTCCAAATTTCGTTTTGACTTGGAGTTTGATTCTGCTCTGGAAAGCAACTCTTTGTCCAAACAAAAAAGAACAAAGAACGTCTGGCTTTGAAGGCATCTGAAAGGCCAGGGTGACGGCCTGTGACTTTTGCATAGATCGTCCTTCAGGGGTTGCAACAGCAAGGTGGTGGGGTCTTCCAACCAGAACTGCCACCATGAGTGAGCCCTTCTGCCTCGCAAGCTTTCTTTGCCTCAACACACACTCAAAGTGGGGGGCGTTGGTTAGGAAGCTACAGCTGCGGCCGGCCAGCCAGGAACCCTGTCGAGCCTCTAAGTGCCCCTCAGAGCGATGGACCATCATCGTCTGTGGTCTGCCTGCAACCTAGCCCCTTTAAGCCCCTCGTTAGTGGTTTAACCGGGGAGAGAGAGCAACTTCCCTCAGATAGCATAGTAAGACAACCCTCACGGCTCTTACCAGGGGGCTCAGTCGCTAAAAACAGTGCTGAAGAAAGGACAACATTGCAATGGTCAGTTGGCCTCTTGGTTCAAGTTAAAAAAAAAAAATTATAAAAATGAGAGAATGTCATGCAAAAATAGGTTTTTGAAAAATCCAAAATCCTTCCCATTCCCATAAAAACAACTAGAAACTTTGGGGAGAATCTGATGATAAATCTAAGAAATGAAGAGAAAGTGGATGTTCATGAATGGTATATGAAAATTTGAAAAATTACGCAATGTGGACTAAAAACTCAGATGCTATTTTGAGGAAAAGTTGCACATCAAGGTCTTTTTAAGAGTAACTTAATGAAAAAAAAAAAAATCATCTTACCTGCCAACTCACACGACTGGACAGGTTTTCCACAATCACACGGTAGTCTGTGCGCACAGGCGGGCCATATCTGCAAATTGTAGAGAAGGTGCATTTACTCCAAGTCAGTAAATGATCATAATCGGGCATAAAACATACATCATATCAGTGACGCAAGTATACATATCCCCTAATGACTTGTGGCCAACCTCTGCCAAGTTTTTGGAACATGCTTTATAGATTTGTCAGTGTGAGGGAATTGCTTGGCCTATGAAAAATAAATCAACCCTAACTCCGTAAGCTCTCTTGTCCAGAAGCAGCCTGAATCCTCCAATATCCTCCAATGGCAATGAGATAAAAACTCTCGAGCACCTGAATCCTTCAAAATCATCCACTTTTTTCTCGCTGGAGGCCTCTGCCTGGATCCTTTGAAATCCTCCACTGGGTATGCAGGTATGTTATCACATAATCAGATTTCAATTCTCTTATGAGTTCATTAGCCTGTGTGACTTATCGAAATCCTCTATTGTTGTCCTGTATTGTGGATTGGGAATTCCAAGGCCCTAAATAGCTGGAGTAAAGAGGCTGTACAATAAACAGTGGTACATGTATATGCTGGATGCCTGACCAAGTACACATGCATAACGCAGGTAACGGCCTGAATCCTCCAAAATCATATTTCTTTGCAAAACCAGCCAGAGCCTTAATCCTCCAATTTCCTCCAGCCTCAGTTGGGGCCTGGATCCTCCATTATCCTCCAGAGGCAAAATCCTGTTACGCCCTCAATCCTGCAAAATCCTCCAGTGCCTCGATTTTCAAAGGCCCTCAATCCTTCGAAATCCTCCATTATGCAAAGTGGATTTTAGAGGCATTGGGAGGGTAAGGGTTAAGCAACTTGCAATATTCAGGACGAGGGACAATGTAATCAACGACTCATCATTACAGTATACATGTAATCACCAATTTGAAGCAAAGCTCGTAAGGCTCCACTTTGGGCATTTTAAAACAATATTTTATCTCTTACTCAATTATTGGAAGAAGGAAAGTTTTTGGGTTGCCTCACCTAGTTGATCGACCAGAACGTGATGCTGAGCCGTTCTGACTGAAGGAACAAAGGGAAAATATAGATTACATTGGCATAAGGCGGGCTCTTCGTACGATCAGGCAGGTTGGACATTTTCCCTCTTCCTTCCTTCAGTTTGGCCACCCAAGTCATCAGGGGATATTTATACAGTTTGGAATTCACTGGCACTCATTAATAAAACTTTACAGAAACTAATCTAAGAACTTGGCATGTTCTTCTTTAAATCACAGGTATTGTTTGGGAATTGCCGCTTGTACGGCAAGCGTCTATGATGCCTGTGCAGATTCGGCGATTAATTATGCAAAACAAGACTGCGACTTGACCTCCAGATTCTAACCATTCAGCGGAAGCCCTCTATCGGGCCTTGGTGACCCGTTGTTGTTTTACAAAAAGAACATGGAAGCCAATTGACCAATCAACAGCTTAGTTCACATTTCTGCACCAAATGACGTCACAATTTCTAAAGTTGACTCCGACTGGCTAGGGTCGCATAAATCTGCATTGTACACATATCAGGCGCTAGTGCGGAGCTAGCGTGCGGGCTCCGAACAAAGGATGATACCGAGACCATTTCTTGGAAAGGATTTGAGGAGAACGTTCTTACTTGTCAATCCAGCCTGGTCTCCTGTCTCTTTCAAAGCCTCTGCCGCCGCCGCCCCCGCCACCGCCGTAACGATCGTCTCTCCCTCTGGCTGGGCCACGAGCATGTTCAATGATCACCCTGTTGAAAATTGCCAAACTCAATCTAAGTATCTCAAATAAAATCTGCAGAGAAACCCACGTACACGCATAATACTCTTTCAGTATTAGCTGCATCGCTGGAAGTCGGTGCATAGATTACACATTGTGCGGGGGTTTGGCAAGGTGATTTGATGAAAATGTTGATATGATTGATGAAACTTTAGGAGAAGTCCAAGAAATCGCGCACGCCATGTCCCAAATGTAAGGAACGTTTAACCCTCTAAGATATTCATGGATCTAAGTAATTTTTTTCTACTGTTGGTCATCTGCAAGGAGAAAACCCACAAGAAATTTGATGTAATACGTCTTTGCGGGGATTATGTCATTAAAGAAAAGATGGGGTTACATATGGGACAAAAAAGGGACGTTTTCTTGGACTTACAATTTACACCAAAAAGGAAGATGAAGGGGACAAAAAGAAAAAAAGATGACTTAACCCAGTCCTTCTGATTTGAAAATCACAGGTGTGTGGAAAAACGCACACCTGGATTTTTCTAGGCGTGTGATTTTTCAAGGCGTGTGATTTTTCTAGGCGTGTGATTCTGTGGTCCACGCTGGGACTGAACAATTTGGTACTGTTTTTCAATATATTCACCTTGGTTTACAATAAAGCAATATTCTCTTCACCGACCTACTTTATTTTCACAAATTTTGAAGTATAATTATGCCGTAAATGTATGCTGAGGTGTGCGGTACTGAGGGATTCAGGCGTGCGATTATTCGCACTTTTCAGGAAGCATTGAGGCGTGTGATGGCATGGGGTGTGATCGCACGCTTCAAAACAGAAGGACTACTTAACCCTGACCTCTCCTTAAGCTACAAAATACTACTCAGTAGTATGCATTTCTCTCCATACGAGTGTGCACAACACATGTAGTATTCCGTAGTATCTGGTCCCTGACCCCCAAAGAGCCCTTAGGACGTTAGGGTTAAAGATGTCTTACTTGTCTCCACAGAGCTCCTTTCCATTCAGATAGTACACAGAATCTTCTGCATCCCTGCTGTCATCAAATTCCTGAGATAATTAACAGAGAAATTTAATAGATTTGAAGGGGGAAAACAGGACAAATATCAAGGAGTATTTAAATCGTGAATATTTTTTTTCAACCTCTTAAACTGATATAGTAATAACCACAAGGTCCACAGATTTATAAGTTGAATTTTTCTTTTTTTCGCTGCCACATTACCACAAAACCAAAGCCGTTCTTCAAGTTGATTTCTCTGATGTGACCATAACCTCTGAAGAATCGTTCAACGTCCTTTTCCCTAGCGCTGTAGCTCAGCCGCCCAATATATACACGGCTCATGTTGACACTGCAAAGAAAAAAAAAGGTTGGTCAATGTAACTAGGTTTACAGGTCAGTAATTGGCACAATTGCAGAATACGGAGTCACGGTTGATTGCCCTCAATAAACCTTCTCAGCGCTACACATGTATGTACTATGCGTCATGCTCCACTGCACTCCCACTCCGTAGTTGCGTAGCCGGCAACAGGGTAGTTGGTTTGGACTTAGAATTTTGTCAGCAACTCCCATTACTTTTGTGTTGCTTCATTCTCAAGCATTCTATTTGTGTGCGAAAGTGTGTTTCAAACTGGCACAGTTTTACCTTTTTTTGAAACTGGAAAAGTTCCTCTGACGAGATGATCACGGAGAGAAAAGATGGATTTTTGCAATGATATATTTGCTTTGGATGATTGCCGTATTCGAAATCATGAAATCTGGTGTTGAAAACGATGTTTATTTCCGGGAAGTTGTGATCGCAGTCGCTCTGGGAGCGGCCATCTTGTTTTTTAGCACATGACATTCAAACACCTTTTGTGGCGAGATTTGCCAAGATTTTGTTGGACAAAAATAGCAATGACATCATCGTAAAGCCAAAGAAATTCTCTTTTGACTCATACCAAGAACATGCACGTTAGTTTGTTTTTGGCCTTCCGAGTTTAGAGACTTTTTTGACAGTTTCATGCACTAATATGAGGTTTACCACTCGCATCACAGCTTTGGTACTGGAACCGCAACCGATAGTGCATGAAACAGTCATCGGGTGTTACGCTTCCGCGTGACGTCATGCGCCAACAGCCAGCGCAGCCGGCAAAAACGAGTAGTTGACAGCGCTCTGTGCCTGATAGTCCGCCATTCATTGTACACAATTTTTTGTGTGCACAAACCAATTGCGGTCCTGGCCATGCCTGCAAGGTTGTCAGGTTAGCGGTTATTCCTCCTTTTTTCACTGCAATTGTAGGCTGAATCTTCATCGTGGATCGTTTTTTACTTCAAGGACCTGTGTAATGGTTATTCCAGGCAAGTTTGGGGTGAGTTGCAGTTGCAATTAGTGTGTAACGGGGACAAAATTGAACATTTTCCAAAATTTTTGCCTTTACTACAAGTTACGAGAAAAATTCACTCCAGCCCTAATAGACAACCCATGATAAAACTCAGGGCTGGGTAACTCCAGCTACTTCGTTACTAAAATAAAAGGTGTCAATCATTACATTGAGAAGTCTGCTTTACTAGGTTGACAATGTCATTTTTTAGAAATAAAAAAATCTTGATTCTAATATGATCGAAACAAAACAGAGGGGCCCCACACAACACGATCGCCTCTAAAACGACGAGGTCCTAATTTGACGCACCCGCATTCAATTTGCGTTGGACAACGCGCGCACATTGCAAGCGTTACCTGCGCCAATCCAATGGAATGCCTTTTACTTGGGTCAAAATAAACAGACCTAAACCAAAAAAAAACCCGAAATATGTTAGTAGAAACTGTGGTTTGAAAACACTTACAGCACTTGCAGTGAAAGGGCAATTTATAAAGGAACACAAAGCGGAGCAGAGGAGGAGATAAAGAGCGTCGACTTCAGTTCGCCGCCCGCATCCGTAAAATGGCGTCTTGCGTGGTGTTTGTCATGCGCAAAACTGAAATGTGTCGGGTTTCTGAATCTTTTAGAGGGGGCGTTTTCTACGGTAGCTTCTATGTTACACAACCCCTGGGCCATCACGTCGGTGGCGAAGCTGGTACCAGTCAAAAATCGAGCCTGTTTTAGTATTCAATGCCTTTTTCAAAATCACTGAACTCGGGGTACAGGAAGGTCCAACTCATTTTGCAAACAAACAGGGTTTTTAAATTATGAGGGCCAGCTGGTGCTTCCCTTTCGCCATGGGCGTAAATCCGGGGGGTGGGGTGGGGGGGGGGGGGGGGGGGGCAGGGGGAGGACAAATTCTCCATTTGATCATCCTCCAAAGATTTTTGTTGTGGTGAGAACCACAAAAATTCCGATTTTTAGGTTATTTTGTTACCTTCCAATGACCCATATTTCGGTAAAAGTTAAAAAAAAAAAACTCCGGAGAATAAACAGAACAAAAGCTTTCAATGCATTGTTTTTATGTAAGGATATATCGGGGGATGTACTATGAGCGCAAAGGTGTTCATACGTCCCCGCGGTAAGGATCGTAATGTTGCGGCCATCTCCCCCCCCCCCCCCATTCAAATCAACGTAACCAAAGCGAGGCTGGAAGGATAAATAGCCTGGTTCATTTTTGCACAAAAATCATTATCATTCAGTACTGTTATTGGATACAGGGAACATGACTGAAATGGTGGAAGCAAGCGTGATAAAGGTCTATGCCACTATGGTCAATTTACGCCACTGCCATGTCCATAACAGTTTTCACCTCCGCCATTCTGGAGTAGTGTGAGTATCACCCGTTATCCACGGAGCCAAGTCTCCTGTATAACGTCTGATATGTCAAAGCATGCAGATTTATGCGATCTCGCGCCTACCCAACCTCGTCTCCAGGGTGTCGAGCAGTACGCGCCCACCACTACCTGCTCTCTCACCCAGCTATTGGATCATTTGCATATGTGCAAAAATTTTGAACACGTATGCAAATGAGGAATAGTCTGGTGCCTGCCTGTGCGTTACATTTGCGTTTGTTTTTGTATGCGGTGTCTGGGGTAAAAACAGAATTAATTCGTCGCAGCGCAGCGCGAGCATGGCGTGAGTAGCGAAAACACGATTTTATTTTAATTTAACTGTAACGATCTTAACGAGACAACATGCAGTATCACATGTCATATTAATATTTACAAATTGGAAAGGAAAAGAATATTTTCGAGATGCGTGGACGAATGATCGCGAAAACACGTACTGCACGGTGTGAATAGCAACACCAAGTACACGATATAAATCCATTTCTAGCAAATTGCGGTATCGAATCAGGATACAGGAAGAAAGTTTCCTATCCAGGGCTTACTACTGGAAACGTGGTTGGAAATAAAGTAAGCACTGGGGACGAGGTTGGCGCCTACCCCAATCGGAGTCGACTTTACTAAATCGTGACGTCATTTCATTCCCAAATCAGGACTTATGGTTTGATTGGTAAATTCGAATGCAGTGTTTTGTAATACAACAACAGCCGCGTGACGGCTTGTGTTGCTGTGTCTAGCGTTTTTTTTTTTATCCATGTCTAGACGCGACAACTGGTGAATGACCGAAGATCCGACACAGAAAGCGCCCGCTGATTGGTCAAAATCTAGAGGTCAAGCTGCGGTTGTCTAGCATTATTAATCAGCGAATCTGTTCAAAAATTAAAAAGGAAAGGGCAGAAATTTGTATTGACGACTGGGGTATAATAATGAACTTTCAGGGACGTTGGAAATTCGAAAAACGGGACCGGGGGACCGGGAGCTGATCATGACATAGGCATTTCACCGTTTTTACGCCATTTACAGAATGTTTACTTTCTGCGTGCTTGAGTTTACACTCCAATGATTATGTTGTTTAATTCCCCCTCAAGCAATACTAAAGTTATTCACTTTTGAATGCACAGTGAGGCCCACATTTAACGGTTATGAATAACATCTTTTCAAAATCTCAAAATTTTAGGTACATCTCTCTTTTTAGGCAAATCAATTCCAAAATAAAAACTACATCGTTAAGGCCCCCCCAAAAATGCTCGGTCTCTGGTCAGCGCGCGCGTCGATTTTAATCAATCATGTGCGTCAACCTTTTTTTCCTTCAAATTAACACGGAAGCTACAACAGCGCCCTCTATTGCCGCACCTCCTCAAATTTTTGTACCAAGGAGCACCAAGGAATGGGGAAATTGCACCAAGGACAATGATAAAGGGCACGAAGGCAAATGATGGAGGACACCAATGTATAATGAGGACACAAAAAAGCAAAATAGTACCCACCTTGTCTGTACAATTGAAGCTTGAAAAAAAAAAGCCACCCCCCCAAAAAAAAAACCGCGTCGCCGCATCAATTCCGGAACTTCGGTCTGACCAGAGACCGGTAAATTTTTTTTTTTTGGCCTAAAATAAAACATATATTGTGGTTTATTTGAAAAATTGAAATTTCGTTAGAAAACACCGGCCTCTGTGATCTTTGGTCTCTCTTTTAAGTCTTTAATCTTTTTACACCGTTCTTATTTACCTGTGATCGTATTAACAGGAGAACGTTTGTAAATTTTGTTTATTTTGTTCTATTTGTCACCACTTAATATATAATGCTAATGCAACAACTAATTAATACAATAACTCAACTTAATAGATTGTTAGTGCAACAATTTGACTAATTAAACATATATGGTGACAGATGGGGGAACCAGGAAGAAGCCTAAGCTTACACAGATCCTGGTCCCGTTTATGAAAAACTTATGAAATAAACAATAGTTATAGCTATAATTCAAATCATTTATCAGTAAATTAATTAAGTTAAAACAGAAAAATTAAGGAAAAGGTAAAATAAAAAATCCTAAATCATGGAGGAAGGAATTTTCTCATTAGTTTTATCAAGTGCTGATAAAACTGCTCAGGATCTTTTGAGTTTTCGACAAAGATATTTAATAGATTTCTTTTTTATTCTGTATGACCGTATTATATAAAAAATTTTAAACATTATTTTTAAGAGACAACTTGATCAATGTAATGTCTTCTGAAGGCTACCGTAGCTAAGCATTTTGGCCAGCAAAAAAAAAAAGCATGGTTCATTTTCCGCATGGCGATGGACCCCCCGCGAAGCGGGAGGGCAGTCATGCCCTCTGTGCTTGGCGGCCGCTGTTCCATGATATCCAGCCAATGCCGCAGCTTTGCAAAATCAGCCACTACTTCGCCATCTTGCAGCGTTTGTCGTGCTGAGCTCAGTGCAACACAGAGGCATCGTTCGTGGTGGATTTCTCCCGGCTGAGGGTGGGTACTGCGGCCAGGATATTTTTGTTCGCGCCCCTCGCTTGTGCATTATGGCTGGCATTCGGTGTTAGTTCCCTGTTGGATTTGTTTAGGGACGTCTGGTCGGAACTAACTCGGAAGGTTTCCTCTTCGGTTGTTGCATTGGATTCCTGGCTTGGATCGTCGGTTGTCGGATGGTGGTAAAAGCCGAAACTGAACAATGATGTGCACGCACAAAGTGCACTCTGGTTATCGCTAGCGCTCTTAATCTTATCTTTACTTCAAATTGGCTGCTGTACTGGCAATGTCAAAAGTTTGGCCTGAAGTCCTATATCCACAATAATGAAATAACTGGCTAGCAATTTACAACTTACAACAGTGTCAAATTGTGCAAACTTTAATACGTTGCCGTGAAGTTGAACTGGTTTGTTTTTAATGTATTTTCCCCAGATTTTGTTTAGTACTTAGGGCCTAGTAGGTTTGCAGGCAGGCTGCCAAGGCTTGCCATTTTTTTGAATATTATGGCTTCATGGTCTTGACAAGTGAAAAGGTTTTACCCTGGCTTAATTATCATAAAACTAGAGTTTGCAATGCCAATGTTGGGCTGAAGGTCCAACCGGTGACCTACTTTTTTTAAATTTTGAGTACTTGGACTAGGCACTAGGCTATATCTTTGCTCAAATCAGGGGTCTTGTCAATAATGAACCGGTAATTTAGGAGACGCATCCAAATGTTATATTATAACCCCTCCCATTTTTTAGTTTACATCAGTCTTTTAATTTGGCCTATCTAGGGTTGCGGGTTATAAACTTTGAAAGTCTTAAGAAAGTTGGGCTTAAACTAAGAAATGACCAGTGGTTTTGTAAGCAGAACTTGGTCCAGACTTAGTCCGAAAATTTGGGACTCTCAATACTGTGTATGAGACTAACTTGTCCCAAAACTTAAGAAAACATGCAATACAAGAAAATAGACTGGCACCTGAAACAACCAGTCCAACACCGCTTCAGTACTGCATCAGTCAACTGTGCCAAAAGAAACATGTGGCATGAACCGGGAACTAGTTTCTTTTACTACACATTTCTTAATAGTCAGCCACCAGACTACAGGGGTGTGAAATCTCAGCTTTAATTTTAAAAGCTGATTTCAGCTATTGTTTGTTTTGGATTTCAGCTATTTTCCCTCACTTGCTGTGAACAAAAGTATAGGAGATTTCCAAAGTTCAGCTGTTTTACACCCTTTTCAGCTATTTTATCAGTGGTCACTCACACCCCTGCTCAAGACTAATTGCACTGAATGAAGAGGTCAGTCTTTTCAAACAGTTGGACCATGGTTGGACATGTAACAGTCTAGTCTTTAGCCTCATTTTGAAATCATTTGACTTCCATCTCATGTGCAAAATATTGAAGAAAAGTCTCCTTTAAAAATGAATCGAGTCTGCAAACTTGGTTGGTGAAATACTGAGGCCCTCTTCTGTGCCCATTGAAAATTTTGGAGAAATTTGCTGGCCAAAGAGTGAGTAAAGTTGGCCTGATTTAGTTTTGCCAGACTGGGAACTCAAGTGCAGAAAAACATGTAAAACAAAATCAGGCCAACTGACTCGCTCAAATTCTCCAAAATTTTTATGAGGCAAAGACAAGGTCCTCTAGCTCTGTATTTCACCAGTCAAGTTTGAGGTCTCAATTCAATTTCGAAAGGAGACTTTTCTTCAACATTTTGCACCTGAGAGTGAAGCCAAGTGATTTTCAATTTGAAACCTAAGACTAGACTGGTACATATCCAACTTTTTGAGAAGATTGACCCTTCAGTAGTCTGGTGGCATGACTATGGAAATGTGTAGAATTTAGTGACTGAGTGGGTGCCAGATGTTTTTTTGTTGTTGACACAGTTGATTGATGCAGTATTAAAGGGGTGTTGGACTGGTTGTTTCATGTGCCAGTCTATTTTCTTGTGTTGCATGTTTTTACTGTCATAAGTTTTGGGGCTCTCGTGCACAGTATTGAGAGTCCCACATTTTTGGACTAAACTTAAAGGGAATATACAACATTTGCAAACATCGAAAAATAAAACTACCAAGTTTTTACGAAATACCTTACTAGGATGTTGGTAAATGACAGTCTAAAGCATCCTGTAAAATTATGGCACCTGGTTTCAAGTCATTTTCAAGAAAATTGTATTTTTGTACAAATTTCCAACGGTGGTTGGCCGACCACTGTTGGAAAAACCTATCTATTTTTCAACTACTGCTCTAAATTTGCAATTTTTTTTTTAGTCCAATTTTTTTCATGAACGGGTGCAGGCCAGCTAGACTGGTTCCTTTACCTTACAATTTTCCGACAACTATAAATTGATCCATTTTATCTTTAGTGGAGTCAGGGAACCAGACAACTTAAACATTTCTTGTTTTTCTTGGTTTTTCAAGCATTTTCGAAACACTAAACTTCAAACATGTTGAGTTAAACAATATTTGATCTATTATAGGCTACTAACCCCTCAAATAGTTCATTTCTGAAAATTACAGCAAAAGCCTATGATGTACATTCCCTTTAATTGGTCGATGTGGCATGGAATTTTCAGTAATATAGTCGGTCACGAGTTACCATAAGTGTCATCCTTGAGTGCTGAAAAAACATGCAAAACAAAATCAGGCCAACTTTACTCACTCTTTCATTTATAGCTGACAAAATTCTCCAAAATGTCCATGAGGCAATGACAGGGTCCACAGTATTTCACCAACCAAGTTTGAAGTCTCAATTATATTTTTAATTAAAGGAGACTTTTCTTCAGTATTTTGCACCTGAGAGGGAAGTCAAGTGATATCAATATGAGGCCATAGACTAGACTGGTACATGTCCAACCATTGTCCAACTGTTTGAAAAGACTGGCCTCTTCATAAGTCTGGTGGCTGACTATATGGGAAAAATGTGTGGAAATAGAGACAAGTCCCAGACATGCCAGATGTTTGTTTTGACACAGTTTGTTGATGCAGTACTAAAGGGGTGTTGGACTGGTTGTTTCAGGTGCCAGTCTATTTTCTTGTATTGCATGTTTTTAATACCTTTTGGGACTCGCATGTGAGAATCCCAAATGTTTGGACTAGGTAAGCCCTTGGAATCAGGTAGGGACCGATGAACTCATTCTCGCCACGTGAGTCAGGTTGGCGCAGTGGTTACTTTCCTCGCCTTCCACCTCTATGGCCCTGGTTCGATTCCTGCCTTGGTGCTCATGTGGATTGGGTTTTCAGTTCCTTCTTGATTCTTTGGGGCTTCCCCCAGAAAGTTCTGGGGCTTTCGTCCCACCTCTAAAACTCTAATTTCTTCTCATTGTCTTCTCTCTACAGGTTTCTTCAGGCTTGCACGCTACAGTGCCTGGGGCGCTTTTGAGGAATCTGTGCTTTCATTACCCGAAATAAATAAAAATAATAATAATAACCGTGATCTCACAAGTGGAAGACATAAAAAAGTACCACTTTTCCAATCTGATTTTCCCCCATGTTCTTCTTTGCAGTAGACAATGCAGCCAGGCCGTTGTCGTTATGAGTGAGGGGAGCAAAGCTGTCGGCAGTGACGCTGTGCTACCTGAGGGGCCAGTCGGAGGGGTCCCACAAGCTAAGCCGCTCCACATCCAGAGATTAGAGAAGGCAATCTGCCTCGAGCCCTACCTGGCTTACGTTGAGAAAGTCCTCACTGCCTCCACACCGTACGTAAACTCGCCATTTTAGCTCTTGATTTCAGCTTTTGTACCAATGAGTGAAAAATCAAGTGATTTGAAATTTAAAGCCTAAGCCGCATTTGAATTGCTTGGCTATGGATGGTAGCAACACACGTGTCTATGAGAAGTGGCTTCAGCTGCTTCTATAGGCACTTGTGTAGTTGCAAGCCGTAGCCATGCCATTGGGACATTGCCTAAAACTAGACAGGCAAATATCACAGTCTGGTGGCATGACTAGTGAAGGGAATGCATAGAAATGGAGGCTGGGCATCAGATTTTTGTTTCGATATTCTCCCTGTGAAATACTGAAGTATGTGTTTGTGGATTGTCAGGATTCTTTGTTTTTGCAAGCTTTAATATTCTTTAGATTTCAGACACTTAATTATCAATTCAAAAATGCCGAGCCCAGCATATGTGACCTGTCCCCACAAAATGAGCATAAATTGGAATTTTAAAGAATTGAGTTTTTTTCCCCCTGGATTCTGAGAATAAGAGCTTCCTAACTGTACATAACATTTAGGGATTCGGAGTTCAGTAGACTAGAGTTCAGTAATAGAAATATAGACTGCCAAAGTTGCAAAAGTAGTTTGTGAGAAAATGGCATTTAAAATCCCACAGTTTTGTATTACAGTGAATGAACAGTCCACATATAAAACGGGATGAAAACAGGTTTTAAAGATGTTTGATTGAATTAAAAAATTGGGAAAGGCAGAACAGGACTTTTACAGATTAAGGTTCACATGAAAAACCAAAAACTGACCATGCCTTAAAAGTTTGGCTTTTCCCCACTGTACTGCAAAATGGCAATGTCTGACTTAATCATGCTCATTTCGTGGTGATAGGTCACATATTTCGTCAGCTAGTACATGCCCTTCAGTTTACAGCTGAGATCAACAAAATTCCACAGGAATTGCAATTGGATTTAGCAGAGTTACAAGTCATCACAAGTCACCGCTTTTCAATCACAAATCATCCTGTCTCAGATCAAGTGGCAGGCTATTGGAATGCACTGTGGCGAAGGAATATGTTTTAGAGTTGTTCATCCCCTGTTAAGTGTGAATTTAACTTGTGACTTAATGATAATTGTCTTGCGATTGACTTGTGGTTGACTTGTGATTGTCTTGTGATTGGCTTGTGATTGACTTGTGATTGACCTGTGATTGACTTGTGATTGACTTGTGATTGGCTTGTGGTTGGCTTGTGGTTGTCTTGTGGTTGACTTGCGATTGACTTGCGAATGACTTGCGATTGACTTGCGATTGACTTGCGATTGACTTGCGATTGACTTGTGATTGACTTGTGATTGACTTATAATTGGCTTGTGGTTGACTTGTGGTTGACTTGTGGTTGACTTGTGATTGACTTGTGATTGACTTGTGATTGACTTGCAATTGACTTGCGATTGACTTGCGATTGACTTGCGATTGACTTGCGATTGACTTGCGGTTGACTTGCGGTTGACTTGCGGTTGACTTGCGGTTGACTTGTGGTTGACTTGTGGATGACTTTTGATTGACTTGTGATTGACTTGTGATTGACTTGTGATTTGTCTTGTGATTTGTCTTGTGATATGACTTGTCATTTTACGTGTGATTGACTTGTGAATGGTTTGTGAGTGGCTTTGTGATTGACTTAGATTGACGTGCCATTGGCAGTTGTTTTGACTTGTTATTGGCTTGTGATTGACTTTGTGATTGACTTTAGATTGACTTGTGATTGACTTGTTATTGGCTTGTGATTGATTTTGTGATTGACTTTAGATTGACTTGTGATGGACTTGTGAAAAACTTGTGATCGGTTTGTGAATGACTGATGTTTCTTACGATTTGACTTGTGATTTGACCTATGACTGACTCTTTAACAACTCTGACGTTTTTTCCTCCAGTGAGCACAGTCAGGAGGAACTTTACAAGGAAGAGATTGGTCGTGATGCCGTCCCTCCAGACGACGAAGCCCTCAAAGAAGACGACAACCGAGACAAAGACATAAAAACAGTCCACGGTCTGATCACCTCCAGAGCAGGTCTGTAAAACCCACCCCGGCCTTGGTTAGTTAGTTGATTGATTGACGGGCAGGAAAGGCCCATTTCCCCAAACTTAACCACAGTCTTCTAAGAGCAAGCTGTTGTGATTTCTTACACATGGCAAGTCACCAGGGTATCCTCTTTATAGGCAAATGTGTACCATTTGTTATGAGCTAATGTGCCTTCCAACTCAAAGCCCAAATATCTTCTTGTACACCAATTGTGCACATACAGTAAGTGGATTAGATAGTATGACATGTGTGTCTGGCCAGTTGATGACAGTCACTGTAAAGGTACATAGGAACAGGTGCTTTGTGCACATAATTTGTATGCCCCGCGGCGAAGCGGAAGGGGCATACTGTTTCCGCCTTGTCCTTCCGTGGGTGGGTGGGTGGGTGGGTTGGTGTGTGTGTCCGGGCAAATCTTGTCAGCGCGATAACTTGAGAAATACTTAACATGTGAACTTCAAATTTGGTTTGTGTATTGTTCTTGGTAATCCTAAGAAGCCTGTTGCAGTTGGGGCCAAAAGGTCAAGGGTCAAGGTCACAGTGGCTAAAACAAAAGAAATTTTGTCAGCGTGATAACTTGAGATATACTTTACATGTGAACTTCAAATTTGGTTTGTGGATCGTCCTTGGCAATCCTAAGAAGCCTTTTGCATTTGGCGCCGAAAGGTCAAGGGTCAAGGTCACAGTGGCTAAAACAAAAGAAATTTTGTCAGCGTGATAACTTGAGATATACTTTACATATGAACTTCCAATTTGGTTTGTGGATCGTCCTTGGCAATCCTAAGAAGCCTTTTGCATTTGGGGCCAAAAAGTCAAGGGTCAAGGTCACAGTGGCTAAAACAAAAGAAATTTTGTCAGCGTGATAACTTGAGAAATACTTTACATGTGAACTTTAAATTTGGTTTGTGGATCGTTCTTGGTAATCCAAATAGGCCTATCGCATTGGGGGTCGAAAGGTCAAGGGTCAAGGTCACAGTGGCTAAAACAATAGAAATCTTGTATTTATTCTGAGATCATAGGGATTAGGGATTAATTCAGACTGAGACCGTGAGTGCATAAAAACGTGCAAAATTACTACTGACGTTTTTTTACTCACCATTCGGCTAATTAATGCCCACACAACACATACATCAAAATGCTTAAGTTGCAAGCATGTCACCTGCAAAATTTGAGACCTTAAATCCAATTTTAAGGCAAGTTTTTGACAGTTCAAAAACCATCCACGTCATTCTCCATGCTTTAGAAATGGTGGTGTGATTCCCGAGGTATTCTGGGTAGGTGTAGGCAGAACCTTGTCTTACTTGTTTTTTTATCGATGGCCAAATGAACATAGTGCCCTCTGTTAAAAAAATGAAACATTCTGCATTCACTCAGATCAACAAGAGGGCGCTGTTTTATCTACACGATGAAAATGTTTTAGCTGAGGAGTCTTTTTGCACAATGCATTGCAGTACACATCAACGTGATGTTTCGCGTTTGGATTTCAATAAGTCCCTGCAAAATTAGAATTAAACGTGAATTTTTGGTGATGCAATGCTCACAACAGCAACTTTGCAGGGCAGAAGGTTTGGGGATTATTGAAGAAACTGTAGTAAGTAAGAAGCTTGCAAATTTGATTCACACTGGTTTTATTATGCAGCACAAACTTTTGCACGATATGGATACCTTAAGTTTTGGGACTCTCATACACAGTATTGAGAGTCCCAAATTTTCGGACTAGGATTAATTCATATAAAACCTACAGAAGACACTAATGCTGTCAATGAACGTTCCATGTGACCAAGGTACATGTAAGTTGATGTTAAAAGAGTGGTGTAATGTCATGGGAACAGTCCCGGTTGCGGGGCATTTGTTTTTGTAAACACACCTGACTTGTTTTTTTCTAGAGTGGGGCTACGTATTCCCCAAAACTACCACAAAGAATTAATACAAAAGAACTTTCCATGAGTAAAAGTCACATTGTCAACAGCCAGAAAACCACCATCTTACTAAATAGATGCAAAGTTATATTTTAAGTATACAGAAAACTCTCTGTTTAAGAATAATTAATTTCTCGTCTAAAACTCAAGCTGACTTGATATTTACAAGACACCAAATGCAATAACGTATTTCACATGGATATTGTTTAAAATGTGCAGACAGTTTTCACAAATTAATTCAATTTTTTTTAAAGAAAAGTTAGCATTATTGCTGAATGTTGGATACCCCATGCTCTTCAAGAGAATTCCATTTTTTATTTCTTCAAACAAATGTTCTAATTGAGTGTTATGTTTTAACAGAACATCCTATTCTCCTCCAATTTTGGACGTGTGCAACTCTCAGAAAAAAAGGCTTGCATTTTACGCACGTTTCAACCTGCCCTGCAAGAGTGGAAAGATCGTCAGGACGCAAATAATTTGAATTTTGTAAAGAAATAACTGAGTAACCAAACATCCAGGGATTGTTTTTGTTCAATGTCTCATCAAAAAAAAATATCGGGGTGAAACTTAAAATAGCACAGGGAATGCAACTTTAAACTTCAAAGACACTTTACCCTTCTCACAATGACAACATCAGTGCAGAATATATTATATAAGTTTAAAATATTTATCATGTATTTTTTTACTCAAATACCAATTCATACTGCTATACCAACATATATATATATATTATACTGTGTGCACTAATATAGTGCAAGATCACTTTTCAAAATGTACATAACCTTTTTTAGGCATTCCAAAAACAACATTGTGTTATTTTCTAAAAATTAATTACTAAGGCACTGTACTTTGTCACAATTACAATATGCGATCAGATGTCCTCCCTTTATTTTAGTAACATCAATACACAGGAATTTTATGGTGAATGCTTCAATATTGGTAATTTCTGGAGCCTTTCTGAATACTAAAATCGTGAATGTAAAGTTAATCCAATTTCTGTCATCAACAAGAAAAAAAATCACTTTTAAACTGGTAAGTGGACAATCAGTGAGTAAAAAGTAACTAAACGAGTGGCAAAGACATCGTTACATTTCAAGTTTGTTTCAGTAAGTTCATGTTTTCATTAACAAAGTCCAGTTGATGTCACTGAAAATTACTTGTGTGTAATTTGGCCAATGTAGAAAATGTCATCTTCAGTTAAATCATGTAGATCACGTGTTGACAGTTTCAGATTCACGTGTCTGTCAAAAGATGGTCCTGTTTGATGAAATGATGTTGCGTAGAAGCAGACTGTTGAGATAATTTACCTTGAATCAGAATCAGTCAAGTCTGTAGTTGGCGCAGCTCTCCCTGGTAGTCACAAACTTGTCAGCATCAACCTGGGAGATGGTGACATTGTTGAGATGGCACATCTTCCCTGACAGGTTGAAGGAGCGGCAGTTGGGATCCTTGCAGCAGGCCATGCAGCATTGTATCGGGTGCTTGATCTGGGTGACCATGTAGGCGTGGCCCAGCAGGCAGTAGGGTGTGGTCATCAGGCCAGCATCTTGCTTGCTCACAGCTTGGCAGCGAACTGAACCGCTCACTTTTTCTTGTTTCTCACACACAAATCGCTTTCTCCTGGAACATGAAAGTGTTTCATATTCTGATGTGAAGGGTTTCAGCACTGAGCATTTCCATTCATTGTTGAGCATTGCAAGCTGCTGTTGGTTATCATCAGAGCATGCCCGCCTCCCATCTTTCTCCTTACAGCCAAGCCAGAGCCGTCTGCCTTCTGAATTGCCAGGAAATGCTTGCTGCATTATTTCTCTTATAAAGTCTGTCTCTTCCTTGGAGTTGAGAACCAGCTGCTGAGCATTGAGACTTACACATCTCTTGTATGCCTCAATCCATGGGACTTTGTCTGTAATATACTTGATGTAGCAAGTGTGGTTGTAGTATGTCCATCCTTGTGGGCAGCTTGTACAGGTAGCATCAGTGCCAAGTACAGCAATCATCAGAGCAAGCCATCCTCCCAACAGAATGCTTTGCATCTCCAGATACATTCTGTGTAAATTCTTGCAGGCAGTTTTCAATGGTAACTCAATCCGAGCTCTCACTGCTGTATCTGTTAACGCGATCGAGCTGTATTCCCGTCGGCATCCAATCCTGAAATGATACGAAGCCTTTCCGTAGTGAGCCAGTAACTGTCCATAATTTCCAGACGGATTACTCTAATTGACACTGAGAGTGACATTTGATTGTTATTGTTGTCTTACTATCCATATGCCAGTCATATTGAGGTTGGGTATTTGTTTTGATAAGCCACAACCTGACAGCCATATTAAAATACTGAGATTTAGAATTTCAATTTTGGTCGCTGTACATTAAAATCTAATTACAACCTGTTGTTGCTTCTGTCATCCAGTCAATCATCCTGTCAATATGCAGGACATATTGAAAATGGATTTTTGTTTCCACTGCCCACAGCAGCCACAATAAACCATTGAAGTTTGGATCTTCACTGTCTGTCAAAACATTTGTTAAAGTCTTTGCTCTTCAGTGATTGTCAATCTTTTGAAAAGAAGATGTTTAAAAAGCTATCAATAGGAGTTATTCTAAAGTTGACTAAATGTACACAATTCAGAATTGCATTAGTTTCCATGTTGTTGACATCACTCTGAGGTACTGTACAGCTTAAGAGATACAGGTACTGGCGATTTTGTTGAGGAAAAGCTTGTAAACAGTTCCAAGTTTTTGTTGTGTTGAGCTCAAACGTATTGCATATATCAGAGAACAGTGCACGTGATTTATTCTTCTATACTTCCTGCTGATTACAAATCAATTTGGTAGTTGGCACAGCTCTCCAGGGTAGTCACAAACTTGTCAGCATCAACCTGGGAGATGGTGACATTGTTGAGATGACACATCTTCCCTGACAGGTTGAAGGAGCGGCAGTTGGGATCCTTGTAGCAGGCCATGCAGCATTGTATCGGGTGCTTGATCTGGGTGACCGTGTAGGCGTGGCCCAACAGGCAGTAGGGTGTGGTCATCAGGTCAGCATCTTGCTTGCTCACACCTTGGCAGCGAACT